CCAGCTCCCAACTGCCAACCCGAAAGACGCCATCTTCACATCCCTCCTCCTCCTCCTCTCCTGCATCCTCTTACATCCCCTCACGCCCGCCCCCCCGCCACCGCATGCTTCGCCCCCACCGCCGCCTCCGTCACCTTCTCCGCCCCCGCGGCCACCCCGCTCTTCACCGCCCCCGCGGCCCCATGCACCGCCTCCCGCACCGCCTCCGCCGCCCCCGCAACCGCCCCCTTCACCCCGCCCATCACACCACCCGTACCGCCGCCGGTGGCCGACCCCACGGTGGCAGCGGCGCGGTCAGCGGCGGCGGCGGCGGTGTCGGCGGCGCCGCCGACGGCGGTCTTGGTTCCGTCGGCGGCGGCGGCTACTGCCTGGGTGGTTCGCTCGGCAGCGGCGGCGGCGGCGTTCTGTGCCGCGGTGGTTGCTGTGTAGAGCAGCGAGGGGTGCTCCTCCGCCCTGTCTCGGTAGCTCGGGTCGCCCAGCAGCCCCACCAGCGGCGACCACAGCGCCTCCGTGGCGGCGGGAAGGTAGCCCAGCAGCGCGCCAGACAGCAGCCGGAGCTAGCCAGGGGGGAGCAGGGGGGGGAACCAGGAGGGGGGAAGGGGGGTTGACGGGAAAGGCAAAACTCACGGAAGCGCGCACAGCAAAGCAGACACCCGGAGTGCTACAGCGGGGCTCAGGGAGGGCTCAGTGAGGGGGTGCTTGGGAGTCCCAACCACCAGACAACTGCCAGTTCGCCACCCACTGCGCGAGCCCCTGTGTCCTACCCCCCCCCCGCACCCTCCCCCCCCCGCACCTCCCCCCCGCACCTCCCCCCCGCACCTCCCCCCCGCACCTCTCCCCCCCCCGCACCTCTCGCCCACCTACGGGCCCGCCATGCCGTCCCTCCCCCGCATCCAGCCACCCTCCCTTGCTCCCCCCGCATCCAGCCACCCTCCCTTGCTCCCCCCGCATCCAGCCACCCTCCCTTGCTCCCCCCGCATCCAGCCACCCTCCCTTGCTCCCCCCGCATCCAGCCACCCTCCCTTGCTCCCCCCGCATCCAGCCACCCTCCCTTGCTCCCCCCGCATCCAGCCACCCTCCCTTGCTCCCCCCCATCTCCCTTTACTTTGCCCCCCGCACCAGGCGCAACCAGGACACCTGCCATCCCTCCCCTAAGCCCCCACCTGTCCGCCCCCTCCCACGCCCCCACTGCACGGTAGGTGGTGCTCGTCACCCCCCACACCCGCACACCCCTCCCCCCACACCACCCCGCACACCACCACCCCTCCCCCCACACCACCCCCTTCCCGCGCTCACCGGCAGCGGCAGCTTGGGTGCGTTGTGGATGGAGCCGTCAATGCAGGTTACCACGTCCTCGCTGCCGTCCCCCGCACCACCCTTGGACACACGCAGCTTGACAGTGCCCTGAGGGGGGCGGGAGGGAGGGGGTGGAGGCGGGAGGTTCCGGCTGGGTTTCGGTTGGGTAAGGTATGAGGGGTACGGTATGGGGAGCTTCACGCGGATACGGTGCGCAGGTGGCTCATCCCCTGGCAGGTTCTCTCTCCCCACCAAGAGGGTCACAACAGCACTGCCCCTGATTCCCCACAGCACCCCCTCCTCGCCCACCACCCCACTCCGCCCCCTACCTTTCAAACCCCCAACCCCCTCCAACCCCCCCAACCCTTTTTTGTCAGCAACTTGTATCATTATCACACCACACTTTGGAATTTCTCCCACCCCCACTCCCACCATGAGTGTGACCTGCCGCGGCAGCAGCCAGGTAGCGGGCAGCCACCAGGGCCGGTGCGGCCGCACATGCGCCTGCAGCAGCAGCTCCAGGGCGGTGCGCTTGGAGTCCAGCTCGGAGTACTGGGGAGGGGGGGGGGAGACGGGGGGGTGATGGGGGGAGGCGGGAGACAACGAGGGGGGCCATGAGAAGGGACGCGAGGGCGGCAGCAGCAGGGTACGGCAGTGCGGTGTGGCGGTGAGGGGTCCGCACGGGCCTAGGAAGCCAAGCCGGCAGCCGCCACCAGCAAGCGGAGGACGAGAGCTCTCGACCCGAGACCCGCAACCCCCACCCCACCCCACCCCACCTTGACCATGAGCGGCTCGACCTCCACCGCCGCGGCCCACTTGGCTAGCCACACGGCCAGACGCATGGGCTCCCGACCCTGGGAGGGGTTGGGGGGGGGGCGGCAGGTAGGAGCAGGGGGTGGTGGGCGGGCCGGGGGGTGGTTGGAGAGGAAGAAACGGGGGAACTGAGCCGTGAGAGGGAGCATGGGGGGGGCGGGAAGGGGCGGCAGCAGGCGCCAAGGATTGCGTTGGTGGGTAAGGGAGCCCCTTGGGGGGGCGGCGCTCACCTACCTGGTAGTGCCCCAGTTGCTTCCTCCTACCTTACCTCCACCCCTTCCCCGCTCCTCCACACGTAATCCCCCCTCCTTCACCCCCGCCCCCTGCACCACCCCGCCCCCGCCCCCACCCCCACCTGCAGGTATATGGGCGGCACGTCCCAGGTCACCTCCACGTCCAGCTGCTCCGCGGCGTCCCAGTGCTGGGACATCAGCCGGGCGGCGGCCAGGGACTTTGGGGGGGGCGGGGGGGGGAGGAAGGGGGGGTTTAGGGTTAGCGACACGTGTGGCCGGACAGAAGACATCTTCACGCGACCAGGCTTCGCTCGTGCCCTCCCCCCACGGGTTGCGACCCCCACTGCCTCTAACCCCAGCCCCCCACCCGCACACCCCGGCCCCGCCCCCCGCCCAGCCAACCCCACCCGCAGCGCCTCCACGCTGGTCTTGTATCGCGGCGGCAGGCTGCCGTAGTCGCGCCACTCGGCCTCAGCCAGTCCGCCGTTGCCTGTCGTACCCGAGGCTGGGGTGCGGCTCACGGTGGCGGGGGTGGGGCCTGTGGGGCCGGCTTGGGGGGCCGTCTTGCCGGTGGTGGGGGCTGATGGCAGGGTGGCGGTGGTGGGGGCTGCCATGCTGGGTGGGGGTAGCGGTGTTTCCGTTCCGCGGGCGGGCGAATCAGCCGAAGAAGGCGCGGGAGGTGTGGCAGAGTACAGGGAAGAGAACAGCGGCGGCTCGGACGGCGGCTGAGAGGGCGTTACAGGCGGCACGGCGGCGGTGAGGCCCTCCAGCGGGATGACGTCACCCAGGCCTTCGAGCAGGAGCAGAGCGGCGGCGCTGGCGGCGGCGTCGGCGGCAGCGGCAGCGGCGGCGTCTAAGGCGGCGGCGGCGGCGACGTCGCTGTACGGCGGCTGGATCTCAGGTGCGCCGACGGCGGCGTCAGTGTCTGCAGCAGCGGCGGCGGTGGCTCCCTCCTCGGGGATTAGGTAGGCAGCGGTGACGGTTGTGGCGACGGTTACTACCTCGGAAGTCTCCTCCTCGGGCTGCGTGCCGGGGGCAAACGAGGTCGTTAGCGACTGTACTGCCTCGTTCAGGTACTGTACGGCACCGCTGGGGTCGTACACTCCGTACACTCCGGTCGGCGGATCTGACGCAGCTGGCGGCAGGGCGTTGGACACTGCCGAGTAGAACTCGGGATCCGACGAGTTGGCGGGCGCGACGGCAGCTGCGGCGGCGGCGGGTACAGCGCTGCTGTTGCTGTTACTGTTGCTATTGGTGGTGGCGCTGGTGCTGTTTTCCTGCGGCGGCTGACCCACGGGACTGCCCTCCAGAAGCGGAAGTACGTCGTCCTCGGGTACGGCAGGCTGCGCGGCGAAGGCGGGGTCGAGCTGCGCGGAGCCTAGGGTGTCCAGCAGGCCGCTTGGCGCTGTGCCGGCGTTGGAGGGCGGGCCGAGGGGGAAGGAAACGGGGGAGGTGCGGCCGGGGGCGGTGGGCTGGTCGATGGTGGGATCGGTGTCCAAAGGAGGCGCAGGAGCGATGTCGGAAAAAGTCTGCGAAAGCGGCGGAGGGGGCAGAACAGGCCAGCAGGAGAGAGCGGAAGTCAGGTTTGGCAGCAAAAAAGGAGTAATGGGTGGAATCGTGCTAGGGACTGAAAGGCTGCCAGGCACGGTGCAAGGTTCCGGGTTGCGTCCAACGTGAATTGCGCTGGGACAGGACAGGTAGCTGCGATGCAACAAGTTGCCGATACAGCACAATACGCCGCGAGTTCGGTTGGACGTGCGTCGATGTTCGCTTGCTGCTTTTCGCTGCTGCGTTTTCCCTAAAGGTCAGGCGCGCAGCCGACGCAGGGCTTTCCGACAAGCCAGTTGTAGGTGGCTGGCTAGTGGTCTCAGCTAAGCGTGGAATTGCGTGTTGACCTCACCTTTCGGGAGCTTTGTTGCTCAACAAACATTCCAGTGGGGATTGCGCCGTGTGTCGCCATCTTTATATACAGGCTCGAAACTTGGGACGTCGGAAGGCGAATGCTGGAGTTGGGTCACGTTTCTATGGAACACCTCGGTCGGTGAGGTCACAATGGAGGATGCACGACGCGAATGCACGACTGGAGTACGCTGCCCTCGAGGGATCCATGGATTTGCTGTTTACTAAGGCCAGTTACTGAACTTCAGTTCATGCTTGGCAAGCTGCAATTCGCGCAGTACCGGTAGACAGACTGGCGCAAAATCGTCCCGTGGGACCGTTGTTTTGGATTAAGCAGGGGAGCATGGACAAGTGTGTCATAGCCCCCTTTCGTGCCTCCTCACGCATCGGAGTGTAGAATTGCATAAAGCGTGACAGTGCTTCCTGATACCATTATCAAATCCAATGCCATTTGCCGGTGCAGGCGGATACGGAAATGTTAGTGCAGGCATGCAGTGAATTTTGCAATGACTCCTCCGAAGGAACAAAACAAGGCAAGGAGCTTTAAAATCAATTGCAATGCCCGCAACATTAGCCCAAGCGTGGCTCCTTGTTTATGCATAAGTCGCTTGCCAACGAACACTTTTGTGCTATAAACAGATGGGCGTAAAGGCAAAAGAAAAAGACCCGCTGAAAGTATGATAGCAAGTCTAAACCCTGGCCTGAACCCTGAGTACGGCATGAAAGAGGGACTGAATTCCTGCTGCACGCTCACAGTCCCCCCTCTTCCCTCGTTACCTCCTTCTGTGGTCGAAGGCAGGAAAAATGGTGAGAAAGGAACACAAGCTAAACATACCTTTCGCTTAGTTAGTTTCCTAGCGGGTTGGCGGACGCTTTCAACCATTTGTGGTTAAATGGCTTCAGGTGAACGTTCCTAAGACCAAGCGGGCCTTCTGCAAGGGGTGCAAGAAGCACATGATGATGAAGGTCACCCAGTACAAGACTGGCAAGGCCTCCCTGTACGCGCAGGGTGAGTATGCTAACATCCAATGTTGATGACATAGATCCTGGCGAGAGCTTGTTAAAGCAGCAGCAGCAGCCACGGCGGCAGTGGGCTGAGCGCAGCCGCCTCAACTCCAGGGCGCAAATTGTACAGGACTTTGCGGCCCCGTCAGTTACACCGTATAGTTGGCATAACCGGCGGCTCTACAACACGTTAAAGCCGCGCGCGGCCTTGATAGCAGTGGCGCATGCCCTCGGACGCCGCACATTCATTGGAGCTAAGTAAGCTTCTGCCTCTGTGCAGGCAAGCGGCGCTACGACCGCAAGCAGTCCGGTTATGGTGGCCAGACTAAGCCCGTCTTCCACAAGAAGGTGTGTCAAAAGCAGCGACCTGGGATGTTCGGGCAGGTTACATTATCGTATGCCTGGCGGCCTCACTAGGAGGGCTGGGACAACATACGATGGCGATCCTTGCACCGCTTGGAGGGGGCGGTTTACTCAATAGCGGGTTCGAGGGTGAAACATCCAGGGTTAGGCTCAGCAAACTGTTCGGGCAAGCCTGAACTAGCCGTGGAGCTCCAATTACACCTTGCGTTGGAGCATGGAAGGGGGAGGTTATGATGTTGTCCGGGGTTTCCGTATACCATATTCTCGCTTTAGGGTCTTACCTCCCTCTTCTGGCGGCAATTTTGTGGGGCCAGAATAAGATGGCGGTGTTCCTCATCATGAGGTTTACTCACGGCTTGCTGAACGTTCAGGGGTATCAAAGAAGGACCCTTGAATGAAGGGGTGCCCTGACATGGGTTTCTCTCAGGGGGTGTAGCAGGGGAGTGGCTCAAGAATGCCCCTCCAGGTATTCTGAGACTTACGGCGATTCCCTGTGCCCCGCAGGCCAAGACCACGAAGAAGATCGTGCTGAGGATGCAGTGCCAAGAGTGCAAGCAGACCTGCATGAAGGGCCTGAAGGTGCGTGGGGCTCAGGCACGTGCTTCTCTACCTCGCGGTGGTTATCCTAATGGCGTCATCAGCATACGGCAAATCGGGCTTCTCGCTGCTGCTGACGGATCCCTCCTCCTGCCCTTTGTCCCCACAGCGCTGCAAGCACTTCGAGATTGGCGGTGACAAGAAGAAGGGCAACTAAATGCAACGCTGCTTTGGGGACGTGTAACGGGAAATGCGCAATCCTCTTGATCCCCATACCTGCATATCATACTCTTGCACTGATATCGTTAGTCCAGCAGCACCAGTTACAACAGAGAAGGCGTGTGCAGTCCTGCGGAAACCCTGACACTGCGAAGATCCTGTCAGCCTGACTATGTATGAAGCATTTTTAACCATTAGAAGTTGACATCTGGTACGCTTACGCGACACGGCCGAACAATGTAAAGCTGCCCTGCAGTTCCTGCGTCATGCTAATCTGTCACTTATTCTCATGTACGACAGCGCTTACACTTCTAATCCACCGACAGGACTCGTCCGTGCTTTTCTAGCCGATGTACGCAGAGACATGACTTCACCTGTCAGTCTGGCTCCCAGACACGCCCCCTATTAAAGATTATAAGCTAGAAGCGTTTAACGCCCGGGTTATCACCAGCAAAACAGCTGTACGGACGTCTGTATTCACTCCCAAGCCAAAGCCAGAGCCACCATCACGCCTAAAACTTTTATGTGCTCAAACTACCTAGTGCGTGCGACCGGCAGTCCGGATCTACAATGCTTGCGGACAGCGAAGGTACGGCGGCAAAGCTCACGCGTCCTGAATGATCTGGTGGATGGCTTCGCTCAGCTCAACCGACTCGGCGCGGACCACGAGCTTCATCGCCACGTTGTTGCTCACGTCGATGCCAAACGACATCCGCACCAGCACCTGTAAACGGCCATTGGCAGTAGGGCAGGACAAGGGTTAGCTACGATATAATGCATTACCACTGCAGCAGCATGAACACTTAAGACACTGCCCGGCGAGCGCACACCAACACTGCTTCCCCCGCGCCCACCTGCTGGTAGCCCACGAAGATGCCCGCCAGCAGCGCGGTGTGGCTGCGCGCGTTCGGCGGCACGGCCTCGCTGCCCTCGCACGGCTGCATGCCCAGGATGCCGATCACGGCTTCTACCGCCTCCTGTAGGGGAGAACAAAGGACGAAATGGGGTGTCGTGCAGCCTAGCAACAAGACCACACCAGCCGTGGAGTTTCCTTGCTACAATTTCACAAGGATAAGTGGGGTGCACACGGTGTAAGCCTCGCCAGCAAGCCCCACCTGCAGACCCTCGCGCGTGCCCAGGCCGTACTCGTCCTCCTTCTCGGTGGCGGGATCCAGCTCCTCCCATGCTTTGCGGAAGTTGCTCAGCAGGGTAGGCTTCACGTAGTCGGCCGGGGTCACCTGGGAAAGGGCAGGAGCAAGGGTCCGCGGTTGCTGGCCTGGCCGTACACACAATACGTAAGGCAACGTGCAGTCGTAGCTCCCATACAAGCAATTTGGTATTAACAGCAAGCGTCACCCTCGGTGCCTTTCACAGATCAGGTTGTGGGGTTTGCCAGCGCAACACGCCTTACAAGGCTGACACTTCTCTGCAGCACTCAGCTACACAGCCCGCCGCACCTCCAGGTCCTCCAGCACGTACTCGTCCTCGTAGCCCTCCTCCTCGGCCTCGCCCGTACCAGGGTCGATCTCCTTGACCTACGGCCCGCGCAACAAATCAAGCATTCGTAAGACGTAAGCGGGAAGCCGCGAGAACAGGGGCATGGTAACATCTTAGATGTCCTCGCAGCAGGGTATGCTGAACGCAGCAACCATTCGCACCTTGAACTTTAGGATGTTGACGATCTTCCCCGTGGCAATAGCGCCCGGCTGCCGCTCAACGACCGTAAAGCACTGCCCCACGCCGTTCAACGGCATCGTGTCCAGCGGCACGGTGAAGGCCTCCTCGAACTCGGTCTGCGCACACGTCGCCGCAACATAAGCAAACCATGATGTGCAACTTTATGGAGGCCGCGTCCCACCCGCATGCGGTACCCCAGGGCTTTGCACCCGGCCACTCATTTTCCCGCAAGCGTTCTTGTATGACCCATGCGCCACAGCACCCCTACACCTAATCGCGCCACTCGACAGGCGTTTACAGTTCCGTGCAAGCATTGCATAGCGGACAGCGGCCCTCCGTGCCAGCAGGCATGCCTTGCAACCCCCCTTCCCCGGCTTACGCATGTTCCCCCTGCTTACCGCCTCCGCCAAGTCCATGGCAACGCTGACGTCCTCCAGGACTTGCTCCGCGATGGTGTTGGTGCAGTTGAACTGGAACACAATGTGCCCCTCATAAATGTGCTTAACGCAGAACACCGCATACTCCGTGTCCTCCTCGGTCAGCCGAACCGGCTCGCAGCTCTTGAACACCTGGAGGGAAGAAACGTGACCACCAACGGCAATCGTCAAGACGACACACGGCAGGTCCGCTGCGCTCTAGAACTGTACCCGCCTTTTGGTAGGTTATGGGAGCCAAGGCTTGAACATGCAACATCGCTGCCAAGGCCTTACCTCGCCAAGCGGCGCCAGCTGCGGGATGGAGCGCAACAGCTCAGCGTACTCGGCTGTGGGATCCTTGCGGGCGGCGCTGGTCGCCGGCATCGCTCCACCGCCGCTAACAGCTGCTGCACTGGTCGGCAAACCAAGCGCAGCGCTTCCAGCCGCCCGTGCCGCGGGTACGGCCTTCGGCACCACCGACTGTGAAGGCGATGGGAGGAGGTGAGAGCAAGTACGGGCACCGACGAGTTGCATGCGCCATGGATGTGTAAACCGGGCCAACAGGAACTCCGTAATGATAAGTGACAAGCATCTGCGTCATTAGGCTCACAGGCACCAAGCAGTGGCACCCCATCCTTTCTCTTCGCCTCAGGACCGACGGCATACATGCTTACTACCTCATTAACACCCAAATGACACCGCTGGGGCCCTGCTTACAATGTCGAAGGACTTCTCGGTGGGCCCCGCCAGGTAGTCTGCAAGCGCCTTCTCCATCGCCGACAGGTTGACGTCCACGCGCGGCTGCACGGTTTCCGGGCCACCCGCCTTGCCCTCCAGCTGCTGCAAGTGGAGCGTCGCGCGATCCCGCACCTGCATGGGGAGACCGTTGGGAGTTTGGACTTACACAATGCAGGATGCAGGTGACTTCACAACCCAAAGCATGGGAACACAAGGAATCCTAAGGATACAAGCACCAGTCCCGAAACTTATGGCGAGCATGGCAGACGCACCTCGTCGTCATTGTCGGACAGCGCCCGGCGTAGCAGCACTACGATGCGCGACCGGAGCGCCTCGCAGGCTGCCCCAAAGTTCGCCAATGCCGACACCGCTGCAGCGCGCACCGTCGCGTTCTCCAGGATGATGCGGTTGTAGATGTACCGGATGTACTTGGACGGCTCCTTCGTCTTCGGCCCCTCCTGACCTGTTAGCCGAAAAGGAGGGAAACGCATGGTGACTACCGTAACCTGACTAACTTGGCGCATGCCGGGTTTCCTCGCAGTGGACAGCTCACTGCTTACCGGTCCAGGAGACAGCCCCCTCGCTCCGTTAAACGCCCTTAACAGCTCATACTCGCAAGCGAAACCCATGCCATGTGCCCCAGGTTGTGCTCCTAGATAAAGCTACTCCCCAAACCCAGCTGCTCCCAAGCCCACCCCAGCAACATCCCCGCCTCACCTAGCAAGTGCAGCACCTGCGTCGACAGGTATGTGAACTCGCAGTCCTCAATGAACTCGCACAGGTGCCCCAGGCCTGTCTCCTTTGCGTCCGGGATCTCCTGGATGAGCACCAGGATGCTCTGGACAATCGCCTTCTTGTACTCAAACCCGCCCTCTTCCCGCAGCACGCCCGACAGGAAGTTCATCAGCGCGCGCTGCTTAGACGGGAACTTCAGGCACAGGGAGCGGATGGCCTCCACCACGACGATTTTGAAGTCGTCTGCGATGTCCGACATGAAGCTGCCAATCTGCTTGAGCAGCTTCTCAACGCTGGACTCGTTGCCCGTTTTGAGGAGGGTGGTGATGGCGAGCGTGGCGATGGAGCGGTTTTGGTCGCTGATGAGCGACTCCATGTCGATGTTGCAGTGGGTGACGGCCAGCGGGTGCGTCATGGCCACCTTGTTGAGGGTGCGAACTGCTGCGAAGCGCAGCACGGGCTTGCTGCTGCTGAGGAAGAGCTGCAGCACGGTGATGGCTGGTGTCAACTCCCGCGTGGTGACGTCGCGCAGGTTGCAGATTGCCCGTGCTGCTTCGAAAATCACCACCTCGGCCTTGTGCCGCAGGCAGCTCTCTAAGAAGTCGTAGAAGGGCCGCTGCTCGCCGTTCGGGCCAGGCTGCGAGTCCTGGATCACCTGCGCGACATACCGCACCAGCAAGCACTGCGCCAGCGGGCTCTTGACATTGGCCTTGGTAAGGCTGGTGACCAGCTTGCTGATGGCCAGGCGGTCCGATGCGCGCAGGGCGTGCAGCAGAGCCACAGCATGGAACTGCACCATGTTGTTTTTGTTCTGCGCTGCCTCCTGCACCTCGTTAATCCAGCGCTTGACAATCTCCGCATTGTTTCCAAGCAGATGAAGTGCGCTTACTAGAGCAGCGCTGGCAACCACCGCGGACTTGTCCACAATTGCCTGCTTCAAGTACCGCTCAATCTGCGCCAGCAGCTGCCCGTCGATAATTTTGCAGAGCACGCGCACGGAGTTAGAGCGGTACAGGTCCGTCTTGCTGTTCATGTCCTTCATGAGAGAGCTGGTGACGATGATGACCTCGTCGGCGCCCGGGCAAATGTCCTTGATGCACAGATACATCATCCGCCGAAGGTTGATATCCTGCTTCTGAAACAGCTTTGTCACGCCGAAAAACACCTCCGCTGCTTCTTTCTGCGTAACATTGCGGCCATGGCAGGGTTAGGCGCTAACATTGCACCAAGCCGGTGCACAACAGCTCGCACCTTTGTGAACACCTCGCCTTGGTTGAGCAGGTAGAGCAGCTTGGTGATAACCTGTTGATCGTGCCCAGCTGTCAGTATATTTTCTCAACCATCGCCATAACCTCCCCTTAAGACTCACAGACCTGCTGACATCTCCGGGGGTCAATTTGGGGGTCATTAAACACCCGAGCCTCTTGCAGCACAGCGCCCTTATCGATGCCATAGAAAGGAGAAAACTCCGCTGCATACAGCAAAAAAGCGGTTTACTTTCCGGGTCCTCGCCGTGCCCAAGCCTCCGATGGCTTACTCTCGTCCTCGCGGTCCTCGTCCTTCTTCTCCGGGCCCCGCAGGGGCGCCTGAGAGTCCTGAGCAGTAGCAGCCATAGCTAAAGCTGCGGCTTGCAATGTTTTGCCTCAGGGAGGAGTCATATGTATCGTCAGATCGCTCCTAACTTTGCGCTTAAATGCAAGGAAAAGCGTAATGTGGGGTCCAAGGCCAGCAAGCACAAGTTCAAGGTAGCATATGAAGTAGAGGTTGCAATGAGGAACTGAAGGAGGGCACTCCGGTCACTGTACGGCCGCACGACATTTCAACCGTCTTGCCGCATCGTTTTTGCGTCGATCAGGGTGTTAGAGTGGGGCATATTGTGCCCTTAGAAAAGTAGACTTGACGCAGCAAACCCACCCCCTTGGCACGCATGTTGCTGGACCACGCATTACGTTGGCCGGGACGCCTTTTCCTTTTCCAGTCCGTCTCTCAAGCACCACCTTCATTCTGGCGCGTATCTACAACTTCTCGCTGCCCTTAAGATAGTCAAGGTGCTACTATTGGTTTTGCACGCTCGCCCCCCGCCTTTTCCAGCCAGTGGCCCCTCTCCGGGCTTCCCCTACGTCCTCTCGCTACAACACACCGCCCCTATCAGTTTGCACATCGAATGGCACCGATTCCAAGCCTTCTGCTATAGTCCTGCCGCTTGTCACCACACGGTGCCCGGGACGCTCCAGTTGCTTCCCCGGCTGCCCTGTGTATGGCTCCCAATGCAAACCAGGCGTTGCTTGCTGTTCGGCTGGCACCGATGGAAGCGTCCGACTAACTTACTCGACACCAGGCCACGACCCTAATGTCCAGGTAGGGTGCATGAGATGCGGCTTAACTTGTTACGCCTACCACGTGGCGCTAAGGAGGGACCAGCTGGGGCTGCCTCGGATCAAGGTAGCAATCCGCTTTCTAACCGCTCTCCCACAATATCTTTCCAAGCCCTCAAGCCATCGCTCCGTGTGCCCTGCTGACGTCCAAGCAGGCACTTATTCCTACATGCCCTGCCGTCTAGTTCCGTGTGCACAGCCTCTGTACATGAGTGCACGGGTCATGATACCACCCCTGCCTCGTTACTCCTCCCCGCCCCCTCCTCCATTGCCGCGCACCTGTGCACCTGCCCTGTGTACCTGCCCTGGCGCCGGCTATGACTGCCGCACAGCGCTCGCTCGCATGTTCAGTCGAGGGGCAAGTCCATGGTAAGACCCGGTGCGATGGGTGAGCGCGCCGTTGGGTTTGGGGGAGAGTGCCTTTGGCGAATCAGCGTCAATGGACGGCTTCTTCGTGACTAGCTTCCGTACCCTGAGCAACCTATGCTTTCATATGTGCGCGCGCGCATCTGCATGCATTCACAGGGCTAAGGGCCATGGAGTCCCGGCTCCGCGGTGTACCTAAGCTAAATTGGCTACGATGTAGTGCCAAGACAACCATCAACGCTAGTAAGCCGGCGATAGCGCCTTTCCTTTAATTCCGTCGGGTTGCCTGGCCCAACCTTCTTGGGTTGTGCAGCATCGCATGGTATGCCACATCTGTAGTGTCTAGCTACCAGCATGCGCTGCAGAACACTACACACCGAGCCGTCAGTGGTTACTCGGACCCCGCAGCTTCAATTCATAGGCATTTGTCTGGCGGTGAAGCGGTTGCATGGGACGCTAAAGGGGCGCTGGGAACGGCAGCGGGGTGTACAGATCGTGGGTAGAGGTCCTCTGTGCGAACCTTCCAGCCTGGGTATCTTTGCATCCCCTCTCCGCCAAGCTGTGGCAGCGGCCGGCGGGGCAGGATGAAGATAATCGCACCATTGCTTGTCACACGGAAGCACTCGCTGCTAACGGGGTGTTGAGGCCCAAAGCCCACGTCGGAGTGCATCCGGCGTGCATGGGTTGCGGCCCAGCTAAAGAGTGCAAGTCGTGGGTGACGAAAAGTTTCAGGACGTAAACGTGGACAGCTTCTGTAACGGCATGTGCTGGGGTGCGGGACCTTAATGGCTGGGAATGGTGCCAACAGGGGCCACAGGAGACGGCGCGGATGGCCTTCGTTGACTGCATACCATTCCTCCATGCACATTGTGAAAACCTGCTGACCAGGCACGGCCGGCGACGGACATGTGACTGGGCAATTGGAGCTGCCGCTGCAGCTGGGTATGCAACCAGGCGGCGTCATGGTGCGTGCGCCAGACCTGGACTTTCGTGCTTAATAGTTACATGGCAAGTTGGCGCTCGCAGCTCAGCAGGTCAGGCCCGGATTGGAGCTGTACGACAACAGGATGCTTGCGCCTTCGTGTCGGTGATCATACAATGACAAAAGCCGAGCATGATGCCGGCTCCCGGCGACCAGGCTGTCGGATTACCAGGAGTCAGAGATGTGCGTGGTTAGGGTGCCGTACCATTGCAGCCGGCTTTGGGGTTGCGTTGGCTCTTTAGAATACGCAGCCAGCTGATAGTGCTCCCGAAGTCGAATCAGCAAAGCCAGCACGCATAGGCCGGTTCCCTGCGCAGAGTTTATTTCCATGATGTGGGCTTTGTTTCCAATTTATGGCGCCTTCACGTGTGCGCAGCTATTTTGCAGGTGCTGTGACCGTTACCGGCTGTGGGGATGTCGTGTGCATGCGTGGGTTCGTGCCAGCGGCCGGCAGGTGCGGTTGCCGGGTCGGTGGTTGCAGTTTCCAGTGCAGTTGCTTTGGTTAGTAACGGTGTATTTGTTGCTGTTAGTTTCAGCATTCTTTGCCAGCAGATCGGTGCAATTCTACAGCTGCAGCTGCTGTAGGCAGTTCAGCTTTGTCACCTAGACGCCGCCGTCCGTCTACAGTGACAACAGGTGGCGGGGCAGGCAACTTGCTGCCGCATCCCCGCTTGCGCGGTCGCCATTCGCGCAGCTACGCTCGCCGCCGTCCGGGCGTGGTCATCCTGCTGGGCCAGGGTTAGGAATCACTACCTCCCAATCCTGTGCGCGCCCTTCCCCCTGGCACAAACCAGCGTTGGGGCCTGACAGGGACCCGTCACCCGGCAATGAGGCCATTCACGCCCGTGGTGTGCAGGGGGAGCTGACATGCGTACGCGTCAGGTAAAAGACATGTCAGGGACGTGGCATGTGGTTTCAGATGGCACGGTTTGTCGCAAGACACCGCGACGATTAACACTGCGGTACATCTGGAAGAAAGCAATACGGCCTAGGGCCGGGCGCTGTCCTTCCATCAACACCCCGTGACGGATTTATCCCTAGGTTGGAGGGCTGGCATGGGAACCGTGAGAACCGGGGTTGGAGGGCTGCCGTGGAAGCAACGCTAGCAATGTTCCGTGCTATGTGTAAGGTTGCACTCTGCCTCGAGCTGTCATTGGCAGGAAAGATACTTGCAGTAGTAACCCAGACCCGTAAGGAGTCCTCCGCTAACAGGACGAACTAACAACTAGGCCCAACTAGGCCGTGATGGACCTGTTGCTGCAGGACAAGGCCTCTGGGGTTTGCTGCTGTGCGTCTTGTTTGCTGTGGGTTAAGCACACGTCAGTTGTTGCCCTTGCTCCAAAGCGCTAGGCGCGCAAGCGAAGGACGCATGGTTTGCCTGAGAACGGGCCTATCACACGGCAACATTCAGGGGTACGCCAGGTCACAGTCACAATGAAAGCCGCATGCACGGTGTGCTCTCTTCCGGCAGTTTACATCATCGTGCGCTAGCTTGTGCGACTGCATCCACGAACAATACCATCTGTGCCTGGTCTTTATGTGGAGACGAAGCACGTCATGTTATTTTGGCCGTTTACAGTTGAGGGCATGGCTTCGTTCAACCGTTCGATTGCGAAATCAAAGGCTTCCACTGGTTCTAGGCGGCATCAAACATGCAGATAAGCTTTTTGTCCTGAACGTACTTCATTGTATCTAGTACGTGCGCAGACAACTCTAAGGATTCAGCAGGAACGGCAGCCTTCACCAAGAAGCGTGAGCACAACAGTTTAATCGCCCATACAATTTAAACAAGAATCAATCGCTCCTTTACTTCTAGCTTGACGCGTTTGGTAGCATGGATTGTGGGTGGCCCCTCCTGGACTCGTGGACGCCCCTCCTGGACCCTTAGAATTATAGTGAACCGAGCTTCCTGTCACCTGCAATACGTTGCCTCTAAGTTCATCACTCACCAAGAGGCACAACCAGGTGCCTCGTGTCCATTAGGTGAACCTACTGGTGTGAACGCAGCACTAAAGGGACGTCTTCCTAACTAGTCCGCTTTTTACGGTAGCGACTCAGCCTTTCAAATTGGAGGTCTCGCCTAAGCTTTGGACACCTAGGGTGCATTAGGGGCGCATTAAGGCCCCGTTTCGGCCAGGGCGCTGCTCTTCGCGGCGAGTCCTCGGACGATGCGGCCCGCCTTCGTTCTTGTGCTGGCGCTTGCAGCCTTTGTGTCGGTGTCTGGCCAGACCGACCCTCCACCCCCTCCAGACCCGAGCCCCCCACCTCTTCCTTCTCCACCGCCTTCTCCACCGTCTCCAGATGGCGTCATTGCGGGGCCTACAGTGATTCCGCAGCGCGTGGCGCTTCCAATTGGTACGTCAGCTTTTTCAGTGTCTTTACAAAGCTATGGAATTGATTTACATTCCTAACGCTTTGCGCGCGACTTCCTGCAGACTTCAAGCTTACTTGCTATGATGGCTACGAGCTTATTTTCACCAACGACAACTACACCAATGGAGTCTATGTAGGACCTGACGCATATGACTTTGCCATTGGGCAGTGCAAGAAGTGCCCTGCGGGCACTGCCACCATGGATGGCTTCCGCTGCATTCCGTGTCCTTCGGGCTACTTTTCAAACGCCGGTGCACGCGAGTGCACTGCTTGCCCAGCTGGCACTATTACGAAGCCATCGGCGCCCACTGCTGGTGATACCTACGACCAGGTGCAGATGTTGAATAAGGGACCGCAAGCCACGGCTTGCCAGGCCTGCCCTCCAGGCTACTTTCAACCAAATCTGGCTGGCACTGTCTGCATTCCTTGCCCGAGCGGTAAGTTTGGGTTAATGCGATATGCAATGGTCATGGTTGTTGAAAGAGTTTGTTTCTCACGTTTTTTTTCTCTTGCAGGCTTCGTTTCCGGCGCAGGTGCGACCAGCTGCACTGCTTGCAACGAGGGTACTTTCCACGGCGATGGCTCCCAGCTTGCGGTCGCCGGGACGGCAAGCAAGACCTACGCCGGCATGACCAACGATGCGGGCACGACCACGGGTGGCGAGGCGTCTGCTTCCCAAGTCAGTGCAGTAAGCGGCACCGTTTCGTCCAGCGGGTATGACTACGTGGCTATCCCCAACACCTGCATTAAGTGCCCGAAGAACACGTACCAGCCCCTGAAGGCCCAGGCGGCCACCTCCAACACCGGCAACGCGGCCTTCAGCGCTTGCAGGTGTGTTCCTATGCTACTGGTATGGGTCACAGTTTCTCCTTTGTTTTCGTATTTCATCATACTCTTGCTTCTACCTCTTTTAACGTTTTTGTTACTACCTGTGCAGGCGCTGCGAGGATGGCTGGTACGCTCCTGCTGGCTCGGCCTACTGCGTGCCTTGCCCCGCTGGCTCCTACCGCAACAGCTACTTTGATGGCTCCGCCGCTAAGTCGAACGCTGCCACCTTCCAGTACTGGGCCGCGAACGAGTTTGCTTACGGCACTGGTGGCGCTTGCTTCAAGTGCCCCAAGGGTACCTACGCATCCAACCCCGGTTCCTCAGTCTGCCTGCCCTGCCCTGCCGGAACCAACGCCGTTAAGACCGGCTCCACTTCTTGCGAGCGTTGTGTCGCCGGCACGAACAGCCTGTTCGGCACTCGTGCTCAGCAGCTGTCTTGGGACACGGGGGCTACTGGCGCCAGCCTGGCTTACAAGACATACACCATCAAGGGCCGCCCCTCCACCGAGGCCACGGCTATCAAGCTCTTGCGCCTAGGGCAGGACGCGAACTATTGGCTCGCTGCCAAGGCTGATGTCTGCTCTCCCAACCTGCCGGGTATGTTTGCCTCAGCCCACGTTTCATGACACGGTGTTGAAACCCACTGTGTGCCGCTAGTAAATGTTTTTACCTGCAGACCTCTCTTTGATACAATTCCAGTTTTGTTTAAGTTCTTTCCTTGCCAACCTTGCAGGTTACTACACCGATGTCGCCGGTCTGGGTGTGCAGCTCCCTTGCCGCCCCGGCACCTACCTCGCCGCCGATGCCGCCGACAAGACCACCTGTCTCACCTGCGCACAGGGTACCTTCAACGAGGAGTTTACGCAACGTGAGTGCTTCTTCGTATATGCAGTTGCGTATGGAAACGGAGCTACTTCCAAGCGTAGCTTAGCGGGGCTTAGGTTGGGCTTCTGTGCTTTAAAACACGCCCTTTATGCTCCCTGTGCTATTTCCCCCCTCCTTGCAGCCGTGTGCAAGGCTTGCTGGCCTGGTTCGTATGCTGCTCAGCGCGGCATGACCAAGTGCACGATCACCTTGCCTGGCTACTACACTAACCCCAACACTGCGGCAGTCAACGCGACCTACGACATGTCGACCACTACCACCACTGTGGCTAGTGGCCTGGTGAAGGGTGCTGTGGACCCGAGCCCCTGCGGTCTGGGCTACTACCAGAACGAGTACGAGAAGAACACCTGCATTGCCTGTGCCGTGGGCAACTACGCGGATGTCACTGGGCTCTCAGCTTGCAAGCCCTGCCAAGCTGGCCGGTAAGCACTCCCAAATTCGCTTTTTTAAGATGTCTGGCATTTTACTCTGCTGTGGTTAGTGCTCCCGTCTCCCTTTTCACGTGAATGGCCGCATTCGTCTCATTGCCGATTTCGTTTCCTTCCTAACCTCCTACAGATTCCAAAATGCTATTGGCCAGGCGACCTGCAAGCAGTGCGATATGGGCTCCTACTCGGATTACGGCTCCACGATCTGCACGCGCTGCCCCGCCGGCTCCATCACCCCCAAGCCCGGCACTGCACGCTGCAGCAAGTGCGCCCCAGGCTTCTACGCCGACAAGCCCGAGGGCGCCACCGCTTGCCTGGCCTGCCCCCGCGGTTACTTTGGCCCCTACATTGCCGCCTTCTCTGCGGACGGCTTTGGTCCCGACGGCCCTCGCGGTTGCTTCAAGTGCGGTTACGATACGTACACGGATCGCCCGGGTATGACCACCTGCACTGCCTGCGCCCAGATGAGTGTGGGCAAGAACGCTTTGGGCAACGACATCATGGTGGACACCTGCACGGAGACCACTGGTGCTCAGCGTTGCAAGCCCTGCTCGCTGCTCATCAACCTCACTCCCACCCGCGCAAGCATCGACAGCCCGCCCCCGCCTACCCCGTCTCCGCCTCCCCCCAAGCCCCCCAGCCCTCTGCCCCCCAGCCCCAAGCCGCCTTCACCCAAGCCGCCCAGCCCGAAGCCACCTTCGCCTCTTCCTCCCAGCCCCAAGCCGCCGTCTCCTCTGCCGCCCAGCCCTCTGCCCCCCAGTCCCCTCCCGCCGTCGCCCAGCCCACCCAGCCCTCTTCCTCCCTCTCCCTTCCCGTCTCCCCCACCACCTGGCAACCCGGCTCTGCCGAATGGAACTGGTGTCGCTCCCGATGCTGACCGCACCCGCCTGCCTCCGGACCCGCCTGCCCCTCCTCGGCCCCCTGCCCCGCCTCCTTCGCCTCCTTCGCCTCCGCCCTCGCCGCCCTCGCCTTCCCCTCCTCCTGTCCCGCCTTCGCCTCCGCCAAACCCGCCTACACCGCCCTCGCCTCCCCCTCCCCCGTCGCCTTTCCCGTCTCCTCCTACATCGCCCCCACAACCGCCCAGCCCGCCTGATCTCCCGCCCAGCCCCCCCAGCCCGCCTGCCCCTCCACCTTCCCCCCCTGGCTACCATGGCCGCCGCCGTCGTTTGGGTGAGATGAGCGTGGAGGAGATTGCAGAGGAGGCGGAGCTCATGCACCAGGAGGACGAGATGGAGGATGACGAGTAAAAAATAAACATAAGAACAACGACCACATGTCTCCTATTCTTCCATTGCCTCGCGATTAACGCCTCTGTGACGCGCTATATCGGAGGTTACTTGGCGCCTGTATCTTACAGACATGATCTATGGTCATGCTAGTCGATGATCTCAGATCATGCTAGCTCGAGATTGCGTGATAAGGTTTGGAACTGGCTTGTGAGAGGGTTTTGTGCCGCACGGCTATCCTGCACGTGGGTCTGTGTGGCTGGGTTTTCCTAGGTGGTATGATGTCCCCGACCGTCGTCCAAAAGCATGCATTTCTTGACTCGTCGATGACGTACTTGCGAGGGACTTGAAGCTCATGTTAAGAGTTTCCTTGATGTGGGTTTGTAGATGGTTCTTAGACCTGTACCAACGCAGCGTTCCTGCAGTGATGACTCTCATCTTTGGTTGTAGCAGATGTTGAGAGCAGCAACAAAGATGACGTGCAATGGTTTGGGCGAAGCTGGGGTTGGTGCTGACCTCTGCCCGAGCTCATGTGTCTACCAAGCTCGCGGTTTTGGGATGCATGGTTGAACATTACGAGGACAGACGCGCGCGTTGCACTCGGCGGTTGCAACCAACCTGCCGGAATCCCCACCGTGCACCGGTTTATGTATAGCGGCTGTTGTGCGTGCGTTTTCCTCTGTGTGTGATCCAGCACGGCGCGCCAGGCGACGCTTTGGGTTACAGTACCCGCGAACGAGTATAAAAATAAGTTTTCGTATGCAAGGTGTTCGCGCCTCACCCATCCGTTCCGATGGTGTGATGCTGAACATGTGTAGTTGTCTTCCGTTGCCTTCTAGTTGAAAACTGTTGCGTGCGTCGGCGCTTGTGACTGCGCCTGTTCATGTTGCAGAGCGCACTAACTTGACGCCATCTAGCAGTGAAGCGCTAACGTGTTTGCCCTAGTAGAAGCGCTATTTGCATAGGTTGTTACACGGCTATTGTACGGGGCCAAGCCTGCTGTTTGCCTGTCTTTGCACGAAGGACCATCGTCATGATCTATCTCTACCTGTTGTGTCTGTGCTTTTAGACGTGCAATATTGCCCGGATAAAACGCGGAACACAACTTGGAGCATTCGCAGCACTGCAGTGCCCGAATTCCGTGTACTTCTGCCTATGTATCTCCACCCTATCTGTAAACAACATTCATGCACGATCTGCTTCTCTGTTTGCACAATCTTGAGCTTTTAGCCCCCTTAAAGTCACAGCAATACAGGTACAAGGTGTATAATGTGAGATGAGGCTGTGCCTACTTCAGCCACATACTAATGAAAGGCAACCTCAGGGCCAATCCATTGCATGTGAGCGCTTGCCTGCGAGCCGTCTGCGGCTTTTGTGTTGTCCTCCTGGACCTCTCCAAGCATTGCCCCTAACAGTTTCGTAACTGGTGACAGCGCCTTATAACCCTGGCACAAACAGCCTTCCATCTCCTCAGCACCATTAGATGATGCAGGCATTGGACACATCTGCCGTCTCGTCCGATGACGTGTGGTCGCTTAGCCCTGGGATCGCCGGAAATAACAAAACATACTTACCCTGTCAACTATTGCTTGCCGTACGTATTGTCAATCCCGCTCCAACTAACTTCTATCTGCCAGCGCATTAAACTTGACCCAAAACAATTTAGTGTCTGGAATCAACGGCTCTCCTTATGCCTTGCAATGGCAGTTGGAGCCGATGCTCAGCTACGACCAGCTTGCCATCGTCCTGCTTGCATACCGCACGGCCTACAGCATTCAAGTATTGAAATTTATAGGAGTCAACTTAACTCGTTACGGAAAACTTATGCTCAAACACCATTATCGCGGCCTCGTGCGGCCAGCTGTTGTTGCTCTACCACAAGCAAAAAGCATGATCCACAACTTACTCCTAAAATTCAAGGGCAACCGGCTAAGATATGGGGAAAGTCGGTCATAGCTCCCACTCGGACGCCCCAAAATCCACCTCCGGACCCTCCCAATGGCGATGGTAACAACGACAGCCCAACGTGGGGCGTTTTCGACCTTTCGCGATACTCAGACCGCTGGGAGGTACCTTGGGGTCCCAGACTCGTTGCTGGTGGCATGGCGTTGTGGTTCGGCAGCTTCATTGGAGTAGGGTTCGTACTGGTGCCGCAGCTCTACCGAGCCGCGGGCATCTCGCTCTCCGACCTGTCTCCCGAGGTGCGTCCAGCAGACGCCACTGCCTCCCCTGCAACACGCCCGCAGAGGAACCGCATGCCGTGGAAGCAACAGCATCCCCGCATCCCTGCCCAGCCCCTGCCCTTCGTCCGCTTCCTACCGTCACCCATCACCCGCCCCTTGCACCCACTCCCCCACGCTCCCTCCCTCCAGGACCGCGCCACCTTCACACTCGTCTGCCAGGCGGTGGAGACGGTCGTCAGTCTGGGCCTGGTGCGTGCGCTCACCGCCGGACCTCTCTCCCGCTCCGGTGCCGCCTCCGCAGCCCAGCAGGGGCTGTTCGTGTACGACCCGCGACGCCCCTTCGCCAAGCCGCGCGGCTGGGCGTTCTGGGGTGTGCTTGGGCTGCTGGCGGCGCCGGTGGCAGTGCAGGGGGTGGCGGCGCTGCTGGCGGCGGTGGGGTACGACCGCGCGGTGGGCGGGGGCGGCACGGTGGACGGTGTGGCGGGTATGATTGAGCTGGATCTGCCCACCTACCTGGCGCTGCTGGGGGTGACGGGGGGGCTGGCGCCGCTGCTGGAGGTGAGAGGCGCGCCGGGCAAAGGGAAACCTAACCTGCCTTGCTGGGAGTGGATTTAGGGCAAAAATGCAATGGGGTAAGGGGGGGGGCAAAGAGGAATACCCACGCGCTGAATGATAGCAGCAAAGGGGAACGGAGGGCAGAGGAGGTCTTCTTGTAGGAGGTCTTGGCTGTGATAGTGCGCTGTGAGTGGTAGCAGCCCTGGAGCAGCCGGTGACAGCTAGACGGTTCCGGGATTATCGCGTGGGCAGGCGGGATGGGACGTGCGGTCATTAGCTTTTTTTACGTTGCTGGAATGACATCCCACTACAGCCAACCAGATTACAGATCAGCGCCATGCACTCCACACCAGACTCCATGACGTATAGGACGTAATGCAGACGGCTGTTGAGTTGTGCCCCTCACGGCGCCTCCGCACGCTCTCTCTAGGCACACCTCTCTAAGCAACCCGCTGTCTGGCTTGCCGCTGCCGCTGCTTTCCGACTTCTGCCATCCTTCCCTTGCGCCCGCCCTCTTTAGGAAACTGTGTTCCGCGGCTTCCTGCTCACCTCGCTCACCCGCTTCATGCCCACCTGGGCCGCTGTGGTGGCCTCCTCCGTGTCCTTCGGCCTGGCGCACCTGTCCGCCCGAGACCTGCCGGTGCTGAGCGCCCTGGGGCTGCTGCTGGGCTGGTCCTACGTGCGCTCGCGCAACCTGCTCACGCCCATCCTCATCCACGGAGTCTGGAACTCTGCGGTGCTGACGCTGCTGTTCTTCCTGGCGGCGGAGGGAGTGGACGTGCAGCAGCTGCTGTCGGTGAGGAGGGCGAGGGGTGGGGGTGGGGGAGGGTGGGGGTTGTGTGCTGAGGCTGGACGGGAGGAGCGGAGTGGGAGGGCGTGGAGGTTTGGGGTGGGGACGGCCAGATGGGCTCTGATGGGCGTTGCTGTATGTGGCAGTTATGCATAGTCATGTGGCGTTAAATGTTGCTGATTACTACTTGCAAGCCAAGCTGGGCTGCGGAGCAGCATTGTCGGCAATTGCATGGTGGTTAACCCTGTATGTACAACCGTGCCTTTCGGCAACTCCCTCTGAAATGGCAAACCAACTGAATACCGCATAGTAAGCGAACCGAGCTGTCAGTAACTCGCGCGCCCCCACTTGTTGCATCCCTCCACAGGATATGCGCGACGCGGTGGGGGGCTGAGGGTAGGCGGCTGTGTGCTAACTGGAGCGGCGGGTGTTCTCCCCACACGTGCTTTCGAGAGAGGAGTGCGCTGGAGTTTGTACAGGGTAGCTGCTTTGTGAGAGGGAGCCGGAGAGGAACTAAACCATTTTGAGAGGGAGAGGGAGCGATTGCCCCTGCGGACATGTATGCAGATGCTATCCTCCGGACTGTGGGGACATTCGGTGGCATTTCTTGCATGGGGTCGCGTGAGTTTTGAGGAAAATGGCGTGTGTGGAACATTTCTTGCGCCAAGTAGAGCTAAGGGACTGCTGAGCGTTTGAAGCCATTTCGTGTACGGAGTGTGCGAACAAGAGAGTACCGATGACCTGTCTGATACGGCAACGTGAGGATGAACTTCGTACACCCCGGTAGATCAGTGCGGCCAAATTCCTTACATGGATAAGACTTCGATCACCACGCAGTTAGCACCTCCACAATCGCTGTAATCAGCAAGCCATGGACATGAGGAAGGAAACACACACGAGCCAGCCGCGGGTGGCAGCACCTACAACACCCCGCGCCTGCAGGCTAGAGGGCCTGCATCGGCCAACGCGGACAAGCATATCTGGCGGGAAGCACTGCAGGACATGAAGCTTCCCGCCGTGCGAGCGGCAGTTCATCTCTCACGCACGAAACAGGGAACCCTACTGCTGCCTCCCAGGGAACAGGAATTCTGCAGAGCTCTACCCCGGATTTCGCTCTGGAGGACGGGCGTGAGTGGAATCAGTCGAGAGGAAACAGAGCCCTGACCAGAGGGCACGGTCCGCCACTTAACTTCGTCGCGTTCTCGTTACCCTGCGAGAGCGCTGGCACAGTCCTCGCCCAAAGCACTCGCCCTTCTGTCCCCTTTCTTCTGCCTAAACCCAAGCGTACAATCCGACGTGTATGGCATTATGCTGACCACAACCGCAACCTTTGCTAGAGTCCTGGCACGTGCGTCACCTGGTTCCGAGCCGACACGCACGACAGCAGCGGAACACACCTTTGACACCGAAACACAACCGTTACACGCCAACCGAAAGCAAAACGCATGCGACGGCGGGGCAGCACCTGAAGCCGCGCGCAAGTCACACAAGCCCACACAGTGCTTACTTTTAACAAAGCGAAGGGTCTATATGCAGATACTGCACATATGGTAATCCACCATTCTCTTATGTCGTACTTGAAAGGAGCCACGCAGCGGCTAGAGCAGCCGCCAAAAGGCACTAAAAGGCTGGCCGGAAATAGAAATCACTTTGTCCTGTGTGCGATACCTCATTCCTCAAGCGCAAACGAGGGAAACGAACGACGCATCCTGCGCTGATTGATATTAGCATAACCTTCTCGCTTCCTCGCACTCTTACCATCACATTTTCTTAACAAACATTTGTTATACTCCCTTCCGCAGCAGGCGGCCCCACTTACCAAACGATATGCCTATCCAAAAGCCGTCCCCTCAAATTATGAGCATTGTAGAATCAACAGAACCACTGAAATCAAGCGCCGCATGCGACCCGACGGCCAAACCACGACCAGGTCTACCGCACCTTGGTAGTATAGCAAACACCCGCGCACATGCGCAGCCTCTCCCAGTCCGGGTCACGGTGGGTGCAATATCATGTCACGGCGTTTTTATGGCCCTACTCATTCTCACCAACTCTCCTTCTGCGGGGCTGGCACGGGTGGAGGCACTTCCGTCCACACATCAGTCCTATCGAGCAAACACGTGCGGCCTCCAACAGCACCTCCCCGAGCCACATGGACCCGGAGAGACCTCCGCCCAACCCCCGAGTCCGCTAACTACTCCCGTTACTACAAGAGACTCCGAAGGACCAACCCGTCACGCAGGAGAATACTTCCCGTGCGGCGCCGGTCTAGGATATGAACCATATACACAAGAAGAAGCTTGAAGCAAAAAGCCCTGCAGGCTTTCAACCCCGCAATGCTACTTAATGCGCCCTTATTTTACCATGCGACCCGTCTCCCTCATTGAATCCGAACTCCGCGCTTTAAGGGTGAGAACCCAACGTAAGAGAGTTGATGTTTCCGTATAGGTCATAACACAGCGCAGTTGTTCCTGACACATACACACACACGCGCAATCACAGTACGTTCCCACTCGCGGCCAGTATTCTTAACACACGCACCCTTACAAAACAACACACCCGCGAGTATCAGCAAGCAACATTCATCATCAATGCACCACCTTTCGATGCCTTCACCTCTTGCCCCACAACCCATCACGCAGACGAGTACATTTGCGCACTGCTCGACTGCAGCTGCTGCACCCGCTGCCCGGCACTGCCCGGCAACGGCGACTGCGCGGCCTGCTGCTGGGGCGCCATCCCCACCGGCCCTTGCCCCACCTGCGACCCCCCGCCCCCGCCCCCATGCTGCTGACCCGACATCTGAGCCGCCATGGCCGACTGGGGCTGCGAGCTGGACGCGGTTCGCGGACTGGCGCCCATGCCGGGACCCATGGGGGAGGGCATCTGCGGGGCGCCCATCATTCCCGGCCCGCGGCGGTTCACCTGCGAGGGGCGCCGGTCCAGCCCGCCCGGCCCCATGCCGCCCTGTCCGCCTCCCGCTGCCCCCTGCTGCTGCTGCTGCATGTACTCGAACTTCTCGCCCATGGAACCGAAGGAGCCGTTGACCATGGAGTCCATCTCGCGGTCGTCAACCTGGGGGGGGAGGAGGTGGGGGGGGGGAGGAGGTGTGTGTGGGGGGGGGGAGGGAAGTGGGGGTGAGTAACAGTCTGTGAGAGGGGAGCAGTGGGCGGTGAGCGGTGAAAGGGAGAGTACGTCCGTAACTACTACTTCTTCCCTCCTCTTCACCCCTCCACGCATGGGCCTTCCTCTTACATCCCCCCCTGCCAGGCCGCACCACACACCTGCTGCAGCATGGCGTTCAGGTGCGTGAGGATCTCATCAAAGGTGGGTCGCGCCTGCGGGGAGCCGCTCCAGGCGGACTGTGCGAGCACCACGTAGCCCGCGGGGGCGGTGGCGGGGAACTTGGGGCGCAGGCCGCGCATCACAACCTGCGAATGAGGTGAGGGCAGAGGGTGCGGCGTGATGAAGAGTGAAAGAGGGGGGATGGAACTGAGGTACAAAAGGGTACAAGACGAGCCACATGTCGAGATTAGAAACAGCGACGCCGCTTTCTTGGGAGGGGGGATAAAGAAGGCAACAACCCAAAGTAGTTCTCCATGACCGAAGCCGTATTTTGCTTGGGGTGCGGGTGATGTGACATTGTGGTGAGAGAAGCACACAGCGGGGCGGCAAGGGAACCGAGCTAGCTGCTCAGTGCTCACCTCCTCCACCAGCTGCTGCTGCTTCATGTTTCCGTACGGCCGCTGGCCCGTGTACATCTCCCACATCAGGATGCCGAACGCTGCGGGGCAGGGGCGAGGTGTGGGGCACGTGGGACGACACAACACGGACTCACGTTCGCTACCTGCACCCAGGTGCTTGCACCTAGGGTTCAGGAAGAAGGACAAAATGCATGCGACTCTTCAAAACTTCATACACACGTTGCGCATGCGTCTTCACTCAGAAGAGCACGAGGGGCGCCCCGCTGATGCTGCCGAGCTGCTGCTGCTGCTGCTCATCCCCCCCTCCTGCACACATCACGTTGGGTATTCTCCCCCCCCTCTGCTGCTGCTCACCGTACACATCTACCGAGCTGTTGACCTTCTTGTTGCAAATGAGCGCCTCGGGGGCCACGTAGGCGGCGGTGCCGCAGCTGTTGAAGGGGAAGGAGGCGCACGTGTCGTCGTCCTCAACCCTGGGGGTGAGGGTCGGGGTGAGGGTCGGGGGGTGAGGGTCGGAGCACAGGACAGCCAGGGATTGGACAAACTGAGCCGCACGCAGTTGCAGCACAGCCAGGGAGGGAGAAGATCCTTAGGCGCATCAAGTGCATGTGACGCAGCAGCCCCCCGGCAATCCCGAGTGGGGGAACCCGTGCCTCACTGCTGCCTTCCCCTCTTCGCTTTTCCCAGCTCTGTCCCCACGCCCCCCCCCCCACCACCACCCCGCACCTTCCCCTCACCTGCTGAGCCCAAAGTCCGACACCTTGGCAGTGAAGCCCCGGAAATCGATGTTGGAGCTCTTGAGCAGCACGTTGGCCGGCTTGATGTCGCAGTGCACCACCCCCATGCGGTGCAGGTAGCCGCACGCGGAGGCGATCTCAATCAGCGTCAGCAGCAGCGTGCGCATGTTGACCTGCCGGGCGGGCGGGCGGGGGGGCGGGAACACGGAGGGCGGGCGGGGCAGAGGAGCAAGGAGAGGTTGGTTTCGGCGCCTTTCTTGCTGTGCAGGTTGTGCGGGTTGTATCCTGCGCAGTGCGCCCCCCAGAGCGCACTGCCGCCAGAGTGTGAGCCGCAGCGGATCACCTTCATGGGCTGCTGCCGGGCTCGTTCCGCCAGCTCCGCCGCCGCCGCTCCGTCGCCCGCGCCCGCCGCCGCCGCGATGACGGGGTTGGGGATCATGAAGATGTTGTTCTTGAGCGCGTTCGACAGGTTGCCCAGGTCGCAGTACTCGATCACCTGGGCGGGAGCGGGAGGAGGAGCGGGAGGAGCGGGAGTGGGAGCGGGAGGAGGGGAAAAAGAAGGCTCAATAAGTGGTGTCCAGCAAGTGCTAGTGCCGTACAAATCCTCGTGTCGTTCGCTCATTCCTCTTCATACACCCTAAACAGTCCACCTCCCTCTTCCCAACGCCCTGTCCTGCCGGCAGCCGCCCGCCCCCCTCCCAGCGGGCGCGCCCCTCCGTCGCTTCACTTGCTCCTTCATCCCCCCGCCCCCGCCCCGCCCACCTCCAGGTGGCACGTCTTGTCCTCCATGGACTGCAGGTACTTGTATGCGGGCGAGTTGAGGATGGAGGGGTTGTTGTAGCGGTGCACGGTGGTGCTCAGCAGGTCGCGGACCAACACGTCGGTCAGGCAGTTGTAGGCCTACAGCGGGGATTAGGTAAAGGGGGGGGAGGGGGGCGGGAAGTGAGTCGCGGGAATGCTGTGCACCACACCGGTAGTGGCGCCGCGTTATCAGTTCCTTCCCAGGTACTTGAGCAGCCGGCAAAAGACATGTTTCACCCTTCGCCCTTCACCCCGCCCCCCCCCCGTGTTGTTTCAGTTTTATATAATTCCCCCCCCCCGGGCCCTCCCACCTGCACGATGTTGGGGTGTGACAGCGCCGACAGGATGGCGATCTCGTGCGCATTCTTCATCACCATCTTTTCGTTCTTGCCGTCGTCGCACACCACCTTGACCCCCACCACCAGCCCCCGCCACAGACCGCGGAACACCTTGGCGAAGCCCCCCTCGCCCAGCAGCCCGCTGATCTGCAGGTCCGTCATGGTGGTGTTCTGGGGGGAGCAGGGGGGGGGACAGGACGAACCGCAGCCGGGAAGGGAGGGTGATGAGTAGGGGGGTGAATGCAAGGGGAATGCCCATCAGCGCCATCCAGGTCGTATTGCCTTTGCCGCACAAACCACGCTGCTGCCAACCCCCGCGCCCCCCTCCTCTCCCCCCTGCATGCCCACCTTCACACTCCCGCCTTCACGCACCACCCCCAACGGGCCCCTCACTTCCACTTTCGCCCTTCCACCTCCCCTCCCTTCCCACACCAACCCAGCTCCCTCCCCCTCCCCCACGCCGTTGCTGCACTTATCTATTAACTCCCCCCCTCCCCCTCCCCCTCACATTGTGGAAGTCCATGGACGAGCGGATGCGCTTCTGGTTCAGCTTCTCCGTGAGCCCCGTCACCAGTGCCCCCGTGGAGGAGCGCGACTGGGTGTACATGAAGCTGTCGCCCGACAGGCTCACCCCCAGGCTGTCGGAGCGGCCGATGGAGCCGCCCGCGCCCGTCACCATGCCGCTGATGGAGCCGCCCTCGCTCATCACGGAGCCGCCAGCGGTCTGGGTCAGACTGGCGGTCTGCATGTTCTGCGGGGAGAAAGGGGGTGGGGGAGGAGGAGGAGGCGGGGAAGGGGGGAAGGGGGTCGGCCATGCTGGCAGCGATAGTGGCAGTGCGAAGGGGTGGTGGCCACCCCCGCATGGGGCCACCCCTGTGTTCCCACCCCCGCAGCAGCGGAAAGCCCCAACACCGCCTGGCTGCCGCTGCTGGTGTCATGTCATGTCGTGTTTTGCTGCTCACACCATTCCTCTTCCCCTCCCCCCACCTTGTAATCGTTGGCCAGCGGCTGCGTGAGCATGAAGAGCAGGTGCGGCGACATCACCTCGCACACCTCGCGCAGCTTGGGCGACACGTCGGAGAAGTCGGACTGCACGGAGGACATGCAGAAGATGACGCCAAAGATGTGCTGCTTCACCTGGGGGAGGGGAAGGGAGGGAGGAGGGGGGGAAAATTATATAAAAGTGAAACAACGAAGGGAGGAGGGGGGGGACATGCAGGCGGGTGGGTAAAGAGGGGGGGCGGGAGGGCAAAGGTAAGGCGACAGACAACGCAGCGCGCGCGGAGGCAATCCGGCCGCCAAGAAACCGCAGAGGACGGGTGTTGCCGATCGCACCCAAGTGGGGAGCAATGTGGGGAAGTACTCGGTGTACACCATGAGAAACACGTCATATCCACTATCTCCCCCCCTTCCCACCCACCGTTACCGCCATTGTCAATCAACGCATTGTGTATTCTTCCTTTCTCCCCTCCCGGCCCTCCTCCTACCCCCCCCCCCTACCTTGAGCGGGAACACCAGCACGCTGGTGGGCGGCTTGATGAGGCGCGTGTTGAAGATGTCCGCCGACACGTTGCCCGACTGGTTGATCACCTTCTGCACGTCGGGGATCATCACCTGCGCGGCCAAGCGCGGGAGGGGGGAGGCACCGGCACACACACGCACTACAGCTCAGTAACCACCCAGCGGCACACAAGTCCCACTATCCCGCGATGCTGCCCCCAGGCCCAGGGGGTCAGCCCAGCAGCCAGCAGACACCCCTGGGTTCCCTACCTCTCTGGGTAGCCCTCTTCTCCCGCCCTCACTTGGGGGTTGGTTTCTCTCTGGCCCCTTCGACCTCCTCCTTCACCCCTCCCCCCCCCACCTACTCAGTGTTTCTCCAGAGTTTCCGCGGCTCCCCAGAGTTTACCTTAACCCCACCTGCTGCCCCCCACCCCACCCAGCCCCCCCACCTGCTGCCTGTTGTGCACCGCTATCTTCATGACGGTGTTCTTCATGGCCACCACGGTGCGCATGACGCCGCCCGCCGCCTGCACCTCCTTCAGCAGCTTGAAGGAGGAGGAGCCGGCGGGGTTGGACAGCGTGCGCTGCATCAGCGTGGGGGGGATCTGGGGGGGGGCAGGGAGGGGCAGGGAGGAACAATTATATAAAAGTGAAACAACGAATCCCAATCCCATAGCCCGAGGCGGGTTAGTGTAGGGGAGTGGTGCAAGCAGCGGGCGCTTCAGTGCAACCCCTCCCGTCGTGTGCAACTGAGGAGCAGCCCGACTGGCCCCTTTCTTTCGCGTCGTCTTCTGTTCTGCACATGCCAATGCTCCACGCTTATCTTTCCGATGTGGACTGCCAGCAGTGGTGCTCCGATGTGGCGCTGCCAGTGCAAGGCTGCCCTCCCGCCGGTGTGCAAGGCTGGTGTACGGCCAGCACGAGGCTGCCCCCCCCCGGCAGCCCCCCACCCCCTCACACCCCTCCGCCGTGCCGCAACACCAGCTGCCCCACCACCCCGCCCAGGTGCCCCCTCACCTCCTCAGCTCTCACCCTGCCCCACCGCCCAGCCGCCACCCCCACCCCTTCAGCCCTCACCCCTCACGCCTTATCACACGATTAGCTGGTGGCTTTCCTCTTAACCCCACCTGCGTTAGGTCGTCGAATATGGTAGACGCCGTGTTGTTGGGCGCCGTGAGGCCTATCCGGTACCAGATGTGGTGGTTGTTGGAGTGCCCCAGCACGGTGCGCAGGTGCTGCACCACCTTGTGCATCAGGCTGTCCAGGTCCTGCGTCTCGTGCAGGTCGCGCACCAGCGTCATGTACTTGGGGATGCTGTTGTCCTTCACCATGCTGCTCAGGCTGGCGGCGACCAGCTGGAGGTAGGTGGGAAACCTGGCGGGGGGGAGGAAGGGGAAGAAGGGGGAGGGGGACAACTGTGTGTTGATGGAGAAGTTAAACTTAGGTGACAAGAGCTGAGGGAAACCTGGCAGGGAGGAAGTGTACGATAGGCAGAGAGGGAGGGGAGCCGGAGGAGGGAGGACTGGGCCGAGGTCGTCAGCCCGCGTCAAGTCGTGTCCCGTGGGAGGCAGGGTCCCGGTAAGCAAGGTCCGCGTATGCCGCTGCTTTGCTGGGTACCGCACGTCAGCTGTAGACTAAAGACGGCAGCCACTGCACCCCTGACACGGCACGGCACGGCACGACGGGGAAGGGGGGGTGGTGGGGTCGAAGGGGACTCACATGATGTAGTCCGCCTCGTCCGCTCCGGTGTCCCCGAAGCCCACCGTCAGCATGCCAATCACCTTGTCCGACACCTTGATGGGCACTGCGGCCACGTAGGTCAGGCCTGGGGGTGGGGGGGGGAGGAGGAGGAGGTTGGGGAGAGGGTTGGATGGGGGGAGGGATGGAGCAGCTTCCCGAGCGGGAAAGGAGAGGGTGTACCATGTTCTGCCAGGCTGTGAACGACAGTGGCAACCCGCTGGGGAGGAGGAACAAACCCCAGGGATGTGCGGGTTAGGCGGGTAGGGGTGAGCAGCAGCAGCAGCTGTGCGTGGGGCCGCAGCTGGGGGTCAAGGGAACCCAGCTGTGATACGACTGGTCAAGCCAACCCGCCGAACCCAGAGCGCAACCAAGCACCCAAGCTGTGCATGAGGAAGGCCGAGGGCGATGATACACACAGCCTTATCCTGCTCGTGTGCGCCCTCAGCGTGTCGAGTCAGCGCTGCAGCTGCCCTCGTTCGTACCTGCGGCGCTAGCAAGGGCAGCCCAGTCCGAAGGGGCTGGGCCGTCGGTGGCGGACGGCTGCCAGTAGTAAAAGTCCGTCGCCTTCTGCAAGATGCGCTCCACTGCCGAGTTGGAGCCGGGCACTTTGAGGAGCCGGTTGCCCTCATGGACCGTGTCGGGCACGCCCACCGCGGTGACCAGCAGTGCGTGCTCCTGGGTCTCTGACAGGACGCTCACGCTGCGGGGGGGCAGGGGCGGTTTGGGGTTTATTACCGGGGGAATGCCAGCGGTTTAGGGATGGTGTCAACAGGTTGCAACACCGAGCAACACCTTACCTAGCGTACTTGGCACGACAGTCAGCCGTGACGAGGTTCAGGGCCCGGCGCACGGCCTGTACTGGCGTTGTCCGCTCGCTCCGTCCTTCAGCAAACTTTTGGATAAGCGTGCTGACCTGTAGGCGAATCCAGGTGTTGGTTTCCTGGGCTCTTACAATTTTAGGTGGCACAGACAACGCCCACCTTTAGCAAAGTGGCCTGCACCGCGTTTGCCTCATTTGCACTAAGCGACTTTAAGCTTTGGTTCACTGCTGCTTGTGAACCGGCAGGCTGAGAAGCAGGAGCTGGATTTGATGAACCAACAACTGGTTGCTGCCCTTGACTGCTGGGCTTCGCAGGAGGCTGGGCCGCATATAGCGGGGACTGTGTAGTCGTCCCGTTGCCGTTTTGCGCCGAAAGCTGCTCAACGCCCTCCTTTGTTACAGCCTTAGCTCCAGCATTGTTGTGTCCATTTGGGGCCGGAGGCTTGACGACAGCGTCCGCCTCAGGTTGTGATGCGGCGCAACCCATGCCCACGCTGCCCCGCCGGTTAAGCCCCGGCGCTTGAGCAACTCTAGTGTGCTTGGACTAAAGAGATGGGGGCAGGGCCCCCGCCCCCGTTAATGGCAAGGCGGGGAGAAACGCGTGAAGCTTGTCTGAGGACAGAAATGTAGCCAGAATTTGGCAGTAAACGTAATACAATAAGCTCAGGAAACAGGCTATCTGCAAAGGTCACTAAACGCTTGTGTTTTGAAGTTAGACGGTATCGGTACAACGCGAACTCTTTCAGACATATCTTGTCAGCAAGGAATATTAAGACAGTGACCCTACAGAAGCAATGTTAACTCAAAGTAGTGCTGCCATGTAACCCAGGCAACCTGATAATGGTGCTGTACTGCTAAGAACGGACGGATATGAGACGGACTGGCTTTCCAGTACTCAATTGCAGCACAGCCTCTTCATGGGTTGATATGTATGCCTAGTCTGGTGATCCATATGCCGTCTTCCTATCATCCGTAAAGCGTTTGCGTTGCTTGCACCTCATGGCAAGAGGTCATCGCATTTTTAAGGTTATTTGCCGGTACACTTTCTGGACAAAAAGCTCACAGACACTATTATAGTAAACACGCATATGGGCGTCGTAGGGATGGAAGAAGGGGCTTCACGCTTTGCGTAGGGACTGGGGAGGGGCGACGACGGAACAGGTTTCGGCCCGTCTCCGACTTCCAAAGGAGCCATCTACTGTATGTAGGTAACGACGCGTAAGTAGTTGCATAACAGCGATAGAGAGGCCCTTGCCAGGTAAACAACAGTTAGCGGCATGCACTTCACAGTGCAAACGGCAAATCCTTGCAAGCACCAGCAAGCACAGGGAGCATGGGATTCACATAAAGCAATGCATGAACTGGCATGAAGGTCGCATGATAGCTTTATAGGGCCAAAGTTGCACTTGCAGGCGATGGGTCGATGGGTCTGTTGCACTTCGCGACCGAAACCCTGTGTGCGCTTCCATATAACCATTAGGGGCCATATACAAGCATTAAGGGCAAACATTGCAAGTTTTCCTTCTCCTGAGTGTGCCGGCGAGCATGCAAAGACAGAATCACTCGAGTCATGCCCCGAAGCCATGTGCCACGGCCTCCACGTGTTCACGAGCGATGACGCCACCTGCTGTCTTGTTTAAGTGGGCGGTGGCACTCTTGCTGAATGGGTGTACAAATTACATGCAAACCCAATAGACAAGGTAAATGCTCTCTCTTACGGACAAGTACCTTCTTTGTCGCTAATCGCCAAGATACATCCAGCATCTTCACCATAGCCTCTCCACTTTGCGTATACGCTGCTTTGTCGCCGTGGGACAAGACAAAATGCAGACATGCCTTCGCTTCCGGCATGGCGGGAAGTCAGGTAGGAGAAACGTCGCCGGAACTGTTCGCTTGGCCCTCCGCTTAGCGCAGTCCGCTGTCCGATGTGTCGTCACCACGCACTATGTATCATAACCACCAATGCAAGAACCAACTCCGCAAATCTTCTCATACAACGCTTAGACCAAGCGCTCTTCCGAAGGTCCTTACTTCACACCCGTCTTCAGCTCTTCCCTCCCGTAGCTAACCTTCCCTCCTCGCCTCCGGGCCGCTTCCCACAGGCTCCGCGCCTCTGTCCCTTCCCCACCACCCACGTACCGTACCAACTGCGACAGGCTTGGCCCCACAGCCGCGGCACCCCAGCGCCGCCATCCTCTGCTCGGCGCTCGGTCGGGAGCGCAAGCGGCTCGCCAAGACGCTCAAGTCCCACCGGAAAGCGCTGGAGAAGCGCCTGGCAGCCGGCACAGCGACCACGGAGACGAGCATAATGGCCGCGGATCTTGTCACCGAGCTGCGGAGCCTCGCGTCGCGACTCGACAAAGGCAAGGGTGGAGTGGCGGTAGGCTTGAGGGCATGTGGTGGCGCTGCTGCTGCTTCCGGATGCTACGACAGCGCTGCCGAGAAGGATTCGACAGGAGTACGACACTCCTTGCGATCCAGCGCGACGACATCCGTACGGCAGCAGCAACGGCTGGATGGAGCGGGCTCGCCTGGCGTTTACCACGGCCCGGATGGCCGCATGGTGATGTCGCGACCCATGGGTCAGCTGGAGGTCGCCTTGCCGGAGCCGCGTGGCGCCTGCGGCTGGAGCGAGGCGGAGTTCAGCGCCGCTAGGTTTGACGGCGGCGCAGGCGGGCGGGTGATGGTGTGCACCGGCAGCAAGTGAGTGTGTCGTACGTCGTACAAGCGGCCCCTGGAAATGGCTGGTGTGTCGTACATTCCTTTTGTGTTCCTGTAACCCTCCGTTGCATCTCCCCCGTCTGCAACCGAATTGTGTCCTCCGCCCTTGCCCCAACCTATCAGCAACGGAACGTACTGTGGTTCCGGGTTTTCCTGTTTTTGACACCTGGCCCTGCCCCGTCCCCCCCCGATTCCCCTCCTCTCCAGGTGCCAGCGCAGGGGCGCAGCGGGGGTGCTGCGGGCGGCGAACGCGCTGGCTGGGGGCAACCCAGCCATCCAGGTGGCACCCTGCAAGTGCCTGGGCAAGTGCTCGGCGGGAGCCGCGTTGAGAGTCAAGAGCAGCAGGGTGCCGCAGCAGTTGCAGCAGCAGCAGGGTGAGGCGACGTGCGCAACAACAGCAACGACAACATACACGGAGGTGCGCCCGGCCGACCTGAGCGACGTGTTTGAGCGGCATTTCGCACCTGCAGCCGCACCAGCAGTGGCAACCTGAGCGGCGCCTGCAGCGGCGACCTGAGTGGCGCATGGTGAAAGTGGGATTCCGAGGTTGTGGTGGTAGGCGGGGTGATACCTGATTACCGGTATAGCAGGACGATTCCTTGATTCTTAATGTCATTCATGTTTGGAATGGGTTTTCTTTTCTTCTTTCATGCTGTTGTCGCTCCCTTGCATGAATTGTGCTCCAGGGAGGAATCAGGTTGGGGCGTGTGGCGTGACGACGTGGGCACGCCTTTCTTGCTTTGTACGCTGATAGTATATACATTGTTGCCTACTTTACATCTTTCGTCGTATGCCTTTTCTCCTTGCTTTGTACATATGGAGTGATAAGCGTGATGAACGCGTCTTGTACAGTACTGGGACGACGACCCATTTTTTGTCGCGCTTGTGTGGAGGCTACGGTCTCCTCCAGAGGGATGGTACCATACTGCTTGATAGCCTATAGGGATAGTGCTCAAACGGCAAACATGTATGTTACGATTACAAACAAGTGCTTGCCTGCGTGCTGTGTGGGGTGTGTCAGGCAAGGTGTACCAAGCAGGAGGAAGGTGAGGGTGGCAATGGTGTTGGAGCCCAGGGGTCGAACGTCAGAGACGACCAGACAGACGTGCGGGTGATATGCATCTCTACCACCTGCAGTTGGTTGTTGGTCCGTGCAGACACGGGTTGCCGTTACCTCCCAGGTGGACGAGTGATTTGTTGTTGTTGGTGAATGCAATGCAACCCGATGTTTACTGTTTCCTGCAAAATAGCAATTATCAATGTGACAAGCCTGCAATGCGTGTGCCTTCGTACGACCTACAGCATGACACATTCACAGCCCGAGTGGTACTCCGAGTGGGCAGGGCTGCGCGTACGGTCTCATACCTCGAACAGTCCTTTCTTGTAAGTCAGCTAGTAATAAACGCCACCGCTGCCAGCGGACACAACCTGCCTCTCTCTCCCTCGCACACCCACTCTCTTCCACCCACTACCGCTACCCGCAACGACTGCATGCAGCATCCAACAGTAACAGCTAACCTGCCGCACCGCAACGCCCCCCTAGACGGCATGCATGGGGAAAGCGCACCGTCTGCCGGAAGGCCGCAACCAGCGCGCTCCTCTCACGATCTCTCATGTACGCTACACACACCCCTCCCCGCGCAACCCTGCCGCTAGCTCTACCTAGCTTCCGCTACCACCGCCCCAACCACTACGGCACCCTTGGTAATCCCTCCCACCGCCTCGCTCTCTACTCGCACAGCCCCCTCACCTCACTTACGGATGCACACCCTCCCAGCCCTCACGCCTCCTCCGTAGCCCTCCCACCTTTTCTATCATCGCTACTGGGAGGGCCCCCGCTAGCGCGACAACTTGGCCAGCAGCGCCGCGCAGTACATGACATCGAACAGCACCCACCCGCCCGCTAGCGGCAGCACCAGCTGCAGCAGCTCCCCCTCCTCCCAGCCCCACAGAAGACGGGGCAGCAGGCAGGCGCCCGCCACCGCCACCCCCAGCTGCGACAGCACTGCCTGGGCGTCCTCGGGGCTGGAGGACACCTGCGATGGGGGGGAGGAGATGGAGGAGCAGGTGGAGGTACCGGTAGTTAAGTATCGGCAGTCCAATGAAATGAGCTGCGATGAAGCCCTTCTGACCCCCAGCAGCGCCACTGAGCAGCGACAAGCCAAACCCACCTCGTACACCGCCCCCGGCGCCACCCGCTGCAGCACCCAGTCATACAGCGGCGCCAGCAGCAGCTCCACCCGCAGGAAGGGGCGGCTCAGGTAGCCCAGCGCCAGGCCGCACACGCAGCGAAGCGCCTCGCCTGTCAGGGGGAGGGAGGGAGGGAGAGAGCGGGGGTGAGAAGTGAAGCCAACTGGAGTCCCGGTCCCTTTTCCGACTCATGCAGCGAGCGCATGGCAGGGGGACAGGGCGGGAGAGAGAGGGAGCGGGAGGAGGAGGGGCGAGGAGGTGGATGAAGCAGAGGGATCGGGGCCGTAGCTGCAGCAGAGGGGGGCGAGGAGTGGGTGACCGGAGGCCTGGAGTGCGTGTGGATACACAGGGGTGTCTTGAGCGTCATGCAAGAGCGCCCCGTGTCCCGCATCCCGCAGCCCCCCCCCCCCTCCCTACCCGCGTCGCACCCCGCCCCCAGCTCCGCTCCGTAGAACAGCGCCCCCGCCGACAGCAGCTGCAGCGCCGTGGCGGTGCGCAGCAGGTCGGTGAAGAAGGCCAGCGGCTCCTCGGCGATGTCCAGCGAGCGCAGCAGCGGACCCAGCTGCTCCTCTGCGATCTGGGGGGGGGGGCAGGGGGGAGGGAGGGCAGGGAGAGAGTGTAGGCAGGGATGGAGGTAGGGGAGCCGCACTCCTCATGCAGCTGTGTGTGGCGTGTGGCCCCAGCATGCTGGGCCTTTGCCGCTCACTGCCCTCCATCCTGGCACCCGCCACCACCCCAGCGTGCAGGCACCCCGCTTGCACGCAGGCACCCCGCTTGCATGCAGGCACCCCGCTTGCACGCATGTATACCGCTTGCATGCAGGCACCCCGCTTGCATGCAGGCACCCCGCTTGCATGCAGGCACCCCGCTTGCATGCAGGCACCCCGCTTGCACGCATGTATACCGCTTGCATGCAGGCACCCCGCTTGCATGCAGGCACCCCGCTTGCACGCAGGCACCCCGCTTGCATGCAGGCACCCCCCTTGCATGCAGGCACCCCGCTTGCACGCAGGCACCCCGCTTGCATGCAGGCACCCCGCTTGCACGCAGGCACCCCGCTTGCACGCAGGCACCCCGCTTGCATGCAGGCACCCCGCTTGCACGCAGGCACCCCGCTTGCACGCAGGCACCCCGCTTGCATGCGTGTGCCGTACCTTGGCCATCAGGTCACCCCCCTCGCCCATAACGTCATCGACCTGCGGGTTGGGCGCGCATGCACGGGGGCCGCAAGGAGCGAGGTGCAAAGAGGGGGGAGCGGGTTTGCTGCATGACGCTAGCAACGACGTGGCATGGGCCTGGGTGAAAGGTGGCCCTGGTGGGCTGCAACGGGCCGCCTGGCCCGTTGCGTACCTTGAGTGAGTCAAGCACCTTGGCCTCGTTCTCGCCCAACGACTTCTGTGCATCGCGTTTGAAGGCCTGCCAAATCGCCTCTACGGCGGCTTTGTCAGGGTCTGCCTCAGGGCTCCCTGACGAGGAGCTAGAGGCTTGCCTGGCCGGCGCAGAGGAACCCGGAGGCGGAGGGCTGGCGGTGTTGCTGGTTTCTGCGTTGTTGTCGTCTGAGGTGCCGCGAGGATGTAGGAGACAACGGTTAGGAAAAGCGCCACGACGTGGTAGGAAGCTGGGACCATGCTGGACTTTCGTACTCAGTTTGAATGAACGCGTTGCTACCCGTTGGCGACGGGTTGAGATGGATCCATGGCTGGCAGACGAAGACCCAATTGCGTGGATGGAGTCAACCATCACCATGCCTCCACCAGCGAAGTGCCACTTGCGCGTTCAGGCTACCTTTGTGCACCCCTATCGCGTATAAATTGCATAAAGCACTACGCACAGGTTCGGGTGGTGTTAGCTTTTCCCAGGCCAGGAAGCTGCGGTCGGTTAGATATCGGACTTTCCTTCAGTAAACGAGGCGATACTATCGATACCGGTAGAGCAGTTAACGCAAGGATGTCTTGCATCTACACCTACGAAGCGTTCTGCGCGACATCCTGCGGTCGTACGGTCTTGGTGCACTCAGACATCAGGGTTGGCTTGCAGCCTCTGTAACTTCGGATGCCTGCACAACAGTACAGTATATTAGGATTCCCTATCTTTAGTACGTTCCCTCGCCTCCTCAATTCTTCGAACTGTTTACTAAAATACTAGCCACAGCCCTTTTGGCAGCACCCACATGGCATAGGTGTTGCTGCTGACTTAGATGGGTTTTTATGCACTGCTAAGACGCTGATTGTCTCGCATCTTCGGCGTTCCTACATAAAGCATGGCCGCGGCTGCACAAAGCGGGGATAGCGAGAGCATCCTTAACCTGCTCGAGCATTTTAAGGATGACGATGGACGGGTGGCCCTCCTTGTTAAGGAATTACAGGAGCTATCGACCAGGGTTCAGGTAGGCATGAACCCCGCCGGGGCGGGGTGCGATATCGCCTCACCGGAGCGCCTTGCTATGATATCCGGGCTCACGATGGTACCCCTATGCACATGCAGGCAGCCGAGGTGGCAACGGTGGATCCACGATTAACAGCTGGTAATAATCGAGGTGCGTGCCTTGTCATCGGCATGATGCGGGCTGGCAGGGGGCCCAACCCTTATGCGAATTTTCAACGAGCCCGCTGTCCTGCTTCCCCAGGTTCCATGGCCGATGGCAACGGCTGGCCGCATGGTAACCGGCGCGGTTCGAGTCCCCTCAACAGCATCGACCGGCTTCACAGCGGTGGCGAGGTCTTTGCGGAAACCGGGCGGCGTGTACGGCACCAGCTGCTGCACTTCCCCTCCTCCGTTTCGCGCCAGAACTCGGGCAGCGGCGACGACGGCGGCACCCCCAACGGCGGTGTGGGCGGCCGGGGGCAGCAAGTAGCTGCCGCGGGGCGGGTGGAGGAGGCGGTGCTGCCCGTGCCACCGGACGGTGAGGCAGGCAGGCAGACGAACAGGCGGCCGCTCAACACTCAACCGGCCCCGCAGCCCCCATGTGGCACTACAACGCCTGCCCTTCCCCTCAGGAATTGCAGCGCTGCCTCTCCCCCTCCTCCATGTGCACCCCTTCCTAACCCTCATCCCACCCCGCATCTGCCCTGCTCCACCCGCAGACCCCTCCCAGCCGCTGCCGCTGCCCCCCGGCGGCCACGAGTGGGAGTCGCTGCAGGCGGCGGTCAACGACAGTGTGGCCGCATTCGGCACGGCGGCGGCCAAGATGGGCTGGAAGAAGTGGGCGCTGACCCGGGCGCACTCAGGTGGGGGGTGGAGGGGCCGGCGGAAGTTCGGGGAGGGAGGGGCTTCCGCACCGGGGCAAGCAGATGTGCGTGGGGCCAGTATTCTTAACACGTGAGGGGCTGCGCAGCTACGGTACATGGGCAGCTATACGGTATACCACCCATCCTGCACACCTCGCTGCCTTCACGGTTCTCATCCCTAACGAAGCTAAACCATCTTGCCGCTTGCCGGTGTTGTCCTGCCCTGCCCCCTGCCCTGCCCTCTGCCTGCCCCCTGCGCTCCGCAGCCCTGCTGGTCAGCCTGTTCTGGTGGGTGGTGGCCGCCGCCTTCCGCAGCGAGCACCCGCTCAGCCGCTCGCTGCAGGACTTTGCGTTCGGGCACTTCTGCCGGCACTACGCGGCGGTGGTGCTGGTGGTGCGCGGGAAGGCGAGGGACCAGTACCAACAGGTGCGGGGGGGTCGGCTGATGGGACCTTGGGGAGCGGGGGAACGGGCGGAGAGGTGGGAGCAGCGGGTTTGAGGGGCTACCGTGGTTGGTGGTTTCACAGTGCCTCATTTAACGTACAATTATGGCTCTGGCTCTTGTAGGAAGAGCCGGATAGCTGCGGACGCGGAGCGATCTACGTGATAAGCTCGCTAACTGGCTAACAGCCGCATGCCGCACCCGCCCCGCCCTGTACGTATCGCTTGACTCCACCCTACCCACACCCCACACAGGTATGGATAGAGATGATGGCCGCTGCAGCCCTGTACCTCCTGGCGGAGGTCTTCCCCCGCTCGCAACACAAGTTCGACGACGGCCTGCGCGCCCTCATCACCAAGCAGCTGCGCCTCTGGACGGCAGGCGCGCTGCCCGCCGACATGCACCCCTCCGCGCATGCAGACGCGCACGACGCCTCGCCAGCTGCGTTCTCCGTGTCGGCTGCAGCCGCTGCGGCGGCGGCCGCTGCGGCGGCGGCGGCGGCTCAGACGGGTGCCAACCGGGCGGCGGCGCAGGCGAAGGCGGCGGCGGCGGCTTCGGAGCCGCATGCGTCGCTACCGAGCTTCAGCGGGCGGATGAGTCCATCGCAGGGTCAGGGGTCTGGGCAGATGAGGCCGCTGTCTTCGGCACGGGGCACCTCAGCGGGTGCGTTGGGACGAGGTTGGGAGGGGTTAGCTATTTTGGTGTTGCGGGTGTTCCTCCTATGTTAGCAGCCTTAGCACACATTGGGTAGCCTAACCTGGCGATTTGCTAATTTGGGTCGGCATCCCTATCCTGGCTTTTGTATGCCATGGCAGCCTGCCACCACGCGCCGATGACCTGCCCGACTCTTACCTGTCAGATGTTTGTACCTCACAGGCCTTGCCCAACGCTGCACCCGTGGCAACGCTTTCGAAACGTGCCTTAATAACCCAACACCCAACCTTACCTCCTCCTCCTCAACACACAGGCACCACCGTGCTCAGCCTAAACGGCACCTCCCGCGGCCGCAACAGCTCCCTCTCCGCCGCCAGCGGCCTGGGCGGCATCAGCGGCCCCGGCGGCAGCAGCACGGGCGGCCATGCGGGTCCGCAGGCCTTCGTGTCCACCAAAAACAGCCCCGTCATGACGCAGATGCTGCTGGGGGGCGGGGCGGCGGATGGTGGCGGTGGCGGTGCGGGCGGCAGTGGCGCTGCGCCGCCGATCATCAAGGGACTGATGAAGAATGCGGTGGGCAGCACGCTGGCACGCATGCACCGGTGGGTGGGCGGGGGTGGAGGGTGCTGAGGCGGCGGCGGCGGCGGCGGCGGCGGATGGGAGGTCCTGGAGGTTGCATGTGCGTGTTTCGGGGGCGTGGGGGGGGGGGTACCGTATTGGTATTGGAGAATGGAGGGTGAAGATGGCAGGGAGGTGAGTGGAGCGACATGACGGACGAAACCTGATCCTTGCTGCGGCTGCGGCTGCTTTCCTGCTGTGTCCCTTACAGGGCGCTGGACGAGGCGAGTGACGAGGAGCTCAGCTACAGCCGGCTAGCGGCCGCTGCTACCGCCAGCGCCTCGGATGCGGTCGCTGCCTACGAAGCGAGCAAGCGCGCGGCGGCAGCGGAGGCGCTGGCGCTGCGGCGGGGGCTGGTGGAGGCGCGCGGGGCGATTGAGGCGCGGCAGCGGGCGGCGCTGGCGGGCGGCAGCGGGCACGTGAAGCAGATGAGCGATCGACTGAGCGGCTACATACAGGCGAGGAGGGCGACGTGTGTTAAGAAGACTGGAGAGAGAGCCGCATGTGCAGAGCCGCACCACACCGCTCTAGTTCCCATCCGTGCTTCAGCTGTCGCGCCGCTCAGTCTCTTGAGCTTTTCCTTGACAGCCGGTATCATCCGCCCATGCCTGCATTCACAACCGGTAACCTCCCGAAGACCCCCCTGCCCCACACCTCGCTTCCTCCCTCCTCCTCACCTCGTTTTCTCCCTTCTTCCCTCCACACAACCCCTCCCTCCCCCCACAGAACGACGTGGACCGCCTGCTCGCCGGCCAGCCCACCAGCACCGAGCCCGGCACCAGTGCGGAGCGCCCCCGCTACCTGCGACCCACCGCCGCACAGCCCGGAGGCGGCCCGGCGGGGGGAGCAGGCGAAGCGGCGGGCGGCAGCGGCGCCGTGAAACCCGCACGTCTGATGGCGCCGCTGTACGAGATGCGGCGCGTGGAGGGCAACATCCGAGCGGCACTTGCGGGCGGGCGGCACAGCAGCACGGACACGGCGGCTCGCGCCGCGGCGCTGACGGCGGCTCGGGAGGCGGCGGCGGCGGCGGATTGGCGGCCGCTGGCGCAGTACCCGGTGGGCACGAAGGACACGAGGAGGCGCAAGATGGCGGCGACCATCTTGCATGGGCTGGATTTGGAGCCGTACTTGTAGTGCCGTACTTGGGGTGAAGGGAAATCGACAAAGACGAATACTACACGGTAGTCGGAGAGACCCGCCGTGGGTCTCTACCTTAGTAAGAAGTAGTAGGAAGTAGGAAGGGGGAGAGGGGCTCAGTGCGACGTTGCGGGGCAAGGGATTGACAGCGGTGCAGGTGAGAGCGGTGCAGGTGCGAAAGAGACTTGCACTAGCTGGTATGGGGGTTACTTGGCAGGGGCTAGGAAGCGCGGTGGGGCTGTGTGAGCCAGGATCGGGACAAGCTTGGGTGTAGCGCATGAACGAATGAGGTCAGTTTGCAAACGTCTAATAAACGTATAATAGAGACATCTTCTCCGGTATCCGAACGTGCCGCCCATATGTGGGGGAGTACTGAGGTGTTGGCCCTAGGACTCAGGTAACCAATGCTCTAGGGATAAGGGGCTTCTATGAGCGTTTCTGTCGTCCGTTGGGACTTCCTACTGGTGGACTGGTAGTGTAAGAATGCACTAATGTGTTGCTAGACCTTACAGCTCAGCAGGGTTGACACGTGTCGCTTGGTTAGATGTCTTGAACCATGAACCAGCCGGTTGTTAGCCCTGCTTCGAGCGCCCCCTGGGTCACAAGCCTTACAACCTTACACTGCGCAGCATACAATTGGCCATCAGTCCTAACCTCTAATGAAACTATGTGGTGGCTCATAGCTTCTTACGTTGCAGCTTCCCAGCGATGCATCGCCGCTGTGCTGTACATGGTTAACAGAGGTAAGTACGGCTATATCTCTTACTACCCAGCAAAAGCATCCAGGCTTTGCAGTTTTAATTAAAGGCTTCCTTCCTCACAAACATTTCTTGCAGAAATTCAACGTTCAGGTTGCGCAGTGTTGCCCATCTACCTAAACTGCCTTAGGAGTGCTGCCGTCTTACCGTCCCCAAGCAACCGTCCAGCTGTTATTCATATGGATTAATTACTTTGCTCGTGAAAGGCAGTACCTTTTAGCTAACCCCGAGAACCTAGCTAACTAAAGCCTTAAGGAAGCATCGACTGTTGTGCTGCACGATGGACACCGAACCCTGCGTAACTTGTAGAGGATTTGACTTCGTGGAGTTTAAATCCGAGGGAGAACTAGTCTGCAGGGTAGGTGACGGGTAGCCATGGTTCTGTGTGAAGCTTTACCGCCTCTATCTACCGTAGATGCACGTGCCGCCCGAGCGTGAACAGCTATAACACGTTAATCCCCTCTTGCAGAACTGTGGAACGGTAAAGGAGTCCCGTCTTATCGACGAGCGGTCTGAATGGCGTACATTCAGCGACAAGGTTGGTTTCAGCGGGCCTGCGAGAGAATTATGACTATTTCCTCCCCCTATATTTACACTTATAACGAAATTCGATGGGCGCCGCAGGATAAAGACACCACGGACCCGAACCGTGTGGGTGGCCCCACGAACCACCTACTAGAAGGCTTGACCACTACCATCGGCCGAGAGCGGGTACGTCTCCTCCTCCTTGGGTGCTCTGGTTAGCTGCCTGCGGCTGTGGGGTTGCACGAGAGGGGTTCCAGGGGTTGGCACTGGGGTTGGGAGGGGGCAGCGGCCACATGCTGCTGCTGCTGCTGCACCAGCCCGGCTTGCCACGGCTTGGAGGTGCCGCCAGGGCTGATGCCAGGTCCCCAGCGTCCAACCCCCTTCTCCCGCCCTCCCCCACGCGCCTCCCTTCTCCCCTCGCTCCTCCGCTTGCGACTCTTTCTCTCCCTACGCCCAACCAGGGGTTATCACACGGTCACTTCGTTGTTTTCCTCCCCTCCCCTCCCCTCCCCAGAACGACGGCGGGCTGTCTCACGCGCTGAACCGCATCCACACGCGCACCAACAACCCGGACCGCATGCTCAACGCCGCCTTCAAGGAGGTGGCGCACCTGTGCGAGCTGCTCAAGTGCACGGGGCAGGTCAAGGACAGAGCCAACGAGATTTACAAGGAGGTCGTGACGGTGAGGGCTGAGGGGAGGCCTGGGCGACTGGCTTAGGGCGACCGGGTCGGCTTCGGTCCGGTTCGGTTCGGTTCTGGACATTGGGCCGTTTTAAGTGTACCATGTATGGGGTTCTGCTCTGTTAACAAAAGTAACACGAGTGTTCGCGCCCCTCCCCCCCGCCTTGCCACCCCGGCTGCCGCCCGCAGGCCAAGACGCTCAAGGGTCGGTCCGTCAAGGTGGGGCACTGGGGCTGCGGGGTGGGGTGGTGGGGCACCGCCCGGGGGTGGCAAGGGGTGGCAGGGAGTGGGTGAAAGGAAGGAACAAGTGAAGCACCCACACACACACAGCGGCTGGGTTTCTTAACGCAACCTCGCTGCCAGTTTTCTTACCCCACACGCCCCCTGCATGCGGCTGCTTGCCTGCTCGCTCGCCCTCCCGCCGGCCTGCAGGCGCTGGTTGCCTCCTGCGTGTTCTGGGCCAGTCGCACGGAGAAGCAGCCGCGCACCTTCAAAGACATCGTGGGGGTGATGGGCAACGACGTGAGCAAGAAGGAGATCGGCAGGTGCTTCAAGGTACGACTCGCGTGTGTTAAAATAACTGGCCGCGAGGCGAAACGTACTCGCATGTGTGTGCCCCTCCCCATGAGGTCGGGAGGGGCGCGGGGCTCGCCAGGCGTGTGAGCTTTCGTGCCCTCCTCGGGGCACCGCCCTCACCTAGCCCTGCTGCCCCGCCCCGCCCCGCTGCTCTCCGCCCCGCAGGACCTGCAGCAGCTGAAGAAGGACGAGCTGCACAAGCAGGGGGCCTCCGCGGACGCCCTGGCCTCCACGCTCAACCAGACGGTGCAGCACCCCGCGGAGTTCGTGGTGAGCGGCGGTGGCAGGGCGGGGGAGGGGAGGGGGAGGAGGGGGAGGGGAGAGGGAGGGGAAGGACCGAGCGGAAAGTCGTCTGGGAGGGTATGGGAAAGAAAGAAAGCAGGTTTAGCGTAGTAACTCATCGCTCTCGCTCTCCTTCCTCAATCCCACTCTCACACACCCTCCCTTCCCCGGCTCCTCTTTACCTTATCCCCTCCCTCCCCTCCCCCCTCCCTCCCCTCCCTCCCCCCTCCCCCCCCAGCGCAACTACTGCAACCAGCTGCGGCTGGAGTTCAAGCTGAAGCGCAACGCGGAGCTGATCGCGCAGGCCGCCAAGCCGCAGGACCGGAGGGTGCCGTGGGACGGCCGCACGCCCACCTCCATCGCATCCGCCATCGTCTTCATCGCAATCATGCTGCACGAGGTGGGTTAATGAGCATGCTGAACCTTAGGAAACCACAGGTTAGGGCAAAGCATTGGGGATAGGAGGCGGCAGTGGGGGAGGAGCAGAGCCGGGTGGGAAAGGGTGGAGAGTCCCCGTTGCTCGCTCCTGGGAAACGTACCTAGCACGCATCTCCCGCATCGCCCTCGCTCCTCCTCCCCCCTCCTCCGCAGATCCGCAAGGAGTCCGAGGGCTCTGCCGGCGCCGCCTACAGCGGCCTTGCGGGCCTGAAGGCAATCAAGGCGCTCAGCGACACCGTGATGCAGCGAGTGGCGCTCATCTCCTCCGTCGCGGAAGCCACCATCCGAGCCGCCTACAAGGACCTCTACCCGCACATCATGCAGCTGCTGCCGCCGGAGCTAGCGCGGACGGAGGACGTGGCGCGGCTGCCCAACCCCGACTCGCGGAACACGGGCGGGGTGACCTACATGTCTGCCGTACCGCCGCAGATTAGCGCGGCGGCGGCGGCCATTAGCGCTGCCGCCGCGGTGCAGCATCAGCAGCAACAACAGCAGCAGCACGTGCAGCAGGTGTTGCAGCAGCATGTTCAGCAGGTGCAGCAGCAGCAGTTGCAGGCGGCACTGCAGCAGCACCTGCAGCAGCAGCAGCAACTGCAGCAACAGCTACAGCAGCAGCAACAGCAGCAGCAAGTGAAGCAGTTGTGAGGGCTGGTTTGAGATGGTGGTGGTGGTGACGTGTTGTGAAGGCTGATGGGAAGTGTGCATCGGGCAGCGCGAGGCCGCTGTTTGCAGTGGGTGCCGCATGTGCACAGCGGCAACAATAGGGTTGCACGGGGGTGCCATGAGGGGCAGGTGTAGCAGCGGGGGGACAGTAGCGGGGTGCTCCCTCTTATTGCCGCTGGGAGCCCGTACAGGGTAGGGGGCTGCACCAGAGGCCATTACGTAGGGTTTCATCTATCACGGTTGCTGCTGCTGCATTAGGGGTGGCTTTCTGGGTCCCCTGAGGTGTCCTTCGATTGACATGTCGTTGTGTGAAAGCAGCAGGTTTTGTGTTGGGGGGGGCGTGACAACAGCCTCGTTAAAAACCAATTAAAAAACCCATGAAGCGTATAAAGTATGGTATGTTGTGCGTGTTGTACCGCATCTAGTACTGTTTCCCTGAGCTCGTCCACGCTTTTTGCGTGTAAACGAGAACAGCACACAGCACTGGCGACCAGTGATGGCCTGGACGTGACACCGGCCCCTGGCGTGATTCTTTTTCTATATGAAGTGATGTTTGGTTTGCGTTGCTTGGGCAGCAGGGTATGCCAGCCTGCCTAGTCTTCCGAGGTGCTGACCGTGAGGTCCAAAATGCGGTGTGGGGGTTCTGGGTGCTGTCGTTGTGTGCATGGGAATGCAACCGGAGACGGGCGAACGTCATAGTAACACCTTAATATGGAGGGGTGCGGATGAGAGCCTGCAAGGTGGAAACCCAGAGCGGTCTTTTCAGGTGTTGGCAAGCAGTGGGAGGTTCCCAACATTTCCGTGTATGTTGAGACATTGAGATACCCTCGCGTGGACCGAAGGAGCGGAGGGGATGTGTCCGGGGGGTCCGACATGAAGGGTCCTTGCAACTCCTCCTTAGGAACAACTACGAGTGTCTCCATCCAGGTGCCTCTTGGGCAGTTCTCAGGTCGCACCTTCAAGAGTGCTTTATAAATTACTGGCCACGCAGCTTTCATACGAGAGCTTTCCCGGTACACCCATGCAATATAGAGTACTATCGAGCCTTCCATTGGCAGATTCGGCACTGCAGGCGATACTGGCCGACCACGAGATGCCGAGCACTGAACGAACTTAGATACAGCCTTCCCGCCCAGGCATGCGTATCAATTCGTCACATTCAACGTCTCATTGTGGTCCCCTGACAGGCACTGAAGAAGTAGATGTAGCCCCAACTGTTGTTGAACAAGTGCCGACAGACACCGGCTCTGAAAGTTCAAGAACGCGCAAAATCCACAGATCTGCCGACCCGTGGGTCAGCATAGCAGTACTTGCAAAGATTATGCTTGCGCGCCAAACAGCAGTGGAGCCAGAATAGATCTATGGTGAATTCCTGTTTAGGGAGGCAATCTTAACCACTTTATCGTTTCCTCAGGCCGAGGGCAACGCCCACAAGCGCCTCTTTGGACCTGCGAACCGGCTCGCAGCTGCTTCCCTACTTGTGGCCCAGTCCTTGCCATTCCACAAACCATACCCACGCTTGCTTAACGTTACTTATTAATGCTTCAATATATGAACGACGAAATTACTTCATTGGAAATAGCGCATTCTTAAAGCAAGACCGCTGACCCCAAACCTCGGTCAGCTCACGCAAGAGGCGCAGGCTTCGCGTTAAGGGGCCGGAAATCGCTTTGGCTGAGCCCTGACTATGTCCGCTCTGATCGCGTCTCAACAACCGCAACAACAGCAAAATCACCAACACCGCCCTCACCGCCTTGCTCAGCTCAACCGACAGCAGCCTTCTCAGCAACCGCAACAGCAGCAATCTAAACAGCATCGCTCTGGTCAAGGTCGCCAGCCAAGTAATCGGCAAACTCGCGGTACTGCTGTTGGCAGGGCGCCATGGCCATCCACGTCCTCAGCAGCAGCAGCCGTTGCGCTGGACTTTGCAGCATCAAGCCCGCGTTCGGACGAGGGCTCTTCGGGAAGCCATCCAAATGGAGTCAACCAAGCGGCTGCTAGCGGCGGTGCCGGAGGGGGCCGTTGCGGAACCAGCGACCAAGCAGGTCAGCGGCCAGCCGGGATGCTAAATGTTCGGACAAAGCAGGTGCGTTTGTTTATCATGGTAACGCTTGTGAAGGTGAACCGGGCAGCATTCTTTGCTGGTAACGGAAAGAAGCAGGGCGCGGGAGATACTGTCTGCTGGTGGCGTGGACTAGCACGCAGCTGTTAAAACTCTTGGCAAGTCGTGCCGCTGCCGTATGCGCTTTTTAAAACGGTGAAATAGCGTTGGAGGTTAGCGGCCATATGCGTGCCATCTGGGTGCGTGCAGGAGGATTGTGCGCACGCTTTCCTGCAAGCGCGCGAACCCGCATCCGGTATGGTAAACCGCGCACCTAGCGGCACCACGACACACACACGTGTATTTCCCCCTCACCGCCCCCGTTCCCACCCACACAGGAGGTGCTGCCCCCAACCCCCGTCGGGGCAGATGCTCCTCAACCCCTCCTGACTGACAGCCTCGGCGGCCTGCTGTCCCCCGGCCTGCTCCTCCCCGGCGGCGAGGCCGGCACTCCCGGCCCCGCTGGCCGCGCTGCAGCACCCGCAGCAGCGGCCGGGGCCGGAGGCAGTGGCAAGGCGCAACAGCAGCAGCAGCAGGGGCAGGGCAGCAACAAGCGCAAACGTCCCTCCGGAGTCGTAGCCGCCGGCCAGCATCAGCAACAGCAAGATGCGGTTGTTGCTGGTGGTGGTGGTGGTGGTGGTGGCGGTGGGGGTGGCGGCCCCCCAGCGAAGCGGGCGGCAATGGGGTCTCAGCAAGGGGATGCGGCGGCGGCGCAACGTGTGGCACAAATCGTGGGAGCAGCATTGGAGGCCGCTGCAGCCGCCGCCGGCAATGGTGGGGCTGCGGTTGGGGCGGGCAGGGGGGGCCAGGCGGCGGCGGCGGGGGCGGGGCCGGGGGTACCGGGTTGCTCGCCTTTCGCTGCGATGGCTGCCGCAATGGGGACGGCGGAGGCTCAGGTGGGTGTGGCGGCTGGCGAGTCTCCTCATGTATGCTGTGCACCCGCAGCCCTACCTACCGGGGTTTACTGGGGTTGGGAAGCGACACCGGCATGCATGCGGGTGTCCGGTGCGTGTCGGGATTGGGGTTGAGCGACCTCTCATGCTCCCCGGCGGGTTGCCATGTGCTCCATGTACCCCTGTGGCACCCCCCCTACCGCTGCTGCTGCTGCTGCTGCTGCACAGGATCCATCCGATTGCGACGACGACAGCAGCCTCCGCGCGGCTAACCCTGCGTTGTGGCCGGGCGGCGGCAGCGGCAGCCGCAGCAGCGCTCGGGACGGCGGCAGCAGACTGCCCGGGGGGGCTGGGGGCGGTGGCGGCGGCGGGGCAGTGACAGACGGCGGCGGTGACGGCGAGGAGGAGGACGATGAGGAGGAGGACCCCGAGAAGGCCAAGGAGCGGCGTGAGAAGAACCGCATTGCAGCGCGGAAGTGCAGGGCCAAGAAGGTAGCGATGGTGCGGGGTATGCAGGTGGGTGGGGGAGTGGGAGGAGGGGTGGGAGGGTTGTCGTGCACGGCACACAGCTCGGGAATGCACGACGCTGTACGACATGTTGGTTTTATGTATCGTTCCCGTACGACGTGTAACCCGTACGACATTCATTCCGTACACCCCAGGAGGAGCTGAAGGAGCTCGTGGCTCAGAACCAAGAGATGAAGATGCAGGTGTGGTGCGTGCTGCGTGATGTGCGTGCTGTGTGCTGCGTGCTGCGTGGTGCGATGTAGCATGGTGGGGGGAAGTTGCGGCAGCGCGCTTTGCAATCACTTAGCATGGACCCGGGTAAACAAGGATGTACGTTCCAGTGCCGCAGCGGTATACGGTAGGATTGCTTTTCAATTCGTCCTCCGCGCTTTCCTTCCTTACCCCGCATGCAGACCCGCACCTGCACCCGCACCCCTCCCTCCCCCTTGACCCTCGCCCTCTCCAGGTTGTCACTTGGCACCGCATGTTCAGTCGGGAGGTGAAGCTACGTGAGGCCATGAAGCGGGTCATTCTGGCGGTGTGGAACGCGCACACCGTGCGAACCACGGGTCGGTTGGGGCGGTTGGGTGGTTAGGAGCTGTGTGGTATACCGTACCTGGGGACCGGTTCTCCTCACCGCTCTTTTGTTTCTTCTCTCCTAAAACGCAAAGCGTGATAAAATGAGCATACACGTGGCGTGCTTTCTCCATCCAATAACCCCACCGACATGTGGCCATACAGGCTACACTGCAAATGACGTCATCATCGGCCTGGAGGCGGGCACACTGGACGTTAACGGCATCTCCGCCCTGCTGCAACGTAGCGGCGCCACCGCCAGCTCCACCCTGGGTGTGGCGGCGGCGGCGGCGGCGCTGGCCAGAGACCCGCCGCTGCGGATGCTGCCGTCAGGCGGCTCCGGCGGTGGAGGCGGTGACGGCATGGTCGGCAGAACGGCTCTGCCGCTGCCGCCGCCGCCGCTTAGTGCATGCGGATCACCGCTGCAAGCGCCGCCGCCGCCGCTCCTGTCGTCGTTTCTGTCGGGTCCAGATCCGTTAGGCATGATGTCTCCGACGGCGGCGCCGTCTCAGCTTCCGGCGTCCCTCATCCAGACGGCGGCGGCGGCGGCGGCGACGAGTCCGCGAGCCGTCGCGGCGGCGTCGCCAGGGCCAATGCAGCCGAGCGACGGCGGTTGCGGCGGCCACTGGGCCTCGCCGCCGCCAGTGCGGTCGTTCGACGGACTGCCGCCGGCGCCGCTGTCGCCACTCGCCGTCAAGTGCGCGCCGCCGGTGTCAATGACGGCGGCGGCGGCCGGGCCCCAAAGCCCCATGGCTATGACGCAGCAGCCGCTGACGCCCGCTTCCCCAATGGCCGCCGCCGCCGGAGGGGGTGCCCCCCGGCATTCCGGTGTCATGGGCATGCCGTCGTCGCCGCCGCCACCAGTAGTCACCGCCGCCGCCGCCGCCCCGTCACGTGACAGGATTCGGCCGCCTTGCAGCGCTTTCTCCGCCTACGCGGGAACCGCCGACCCAGTCGGCCTCGCCACCTGCGCTAGCGGCGACAGCGCCGACGACGCCGCTGCTGCCGCCGCCGCTGCTGCCGCCGTAACCCCCGTGACGGCGGCGGCATGCGGCGACGCCGCCGCCGCCGCCGCTGCCGCCGCATACCCGGCCAACAGCAGCTTCATGACGGCAGGTAACGCCAGCATGGGCACAATGGCAACAACCTTTCCGGCTCCGGCGCCTTCGCCCGCCCCCACCATCCGTAGCGGCCCTAATCCAGAGTCCGCAGCCGCCGCCGCGGCTGCCGCTACTGCCGCCGGCGCCGCGGGCGCCGCTGGTGCTGACGTCAGCGCTGCCCAAATCAGCGAGCGCAGCTTGCCTCCGCTTCCCTCCCTAGACACCTCTTTCAGCCTAGCGCGGCTGCTGTCCCTGAACGGTGCGCAAACGCACCCCGCCTTCCGCTCCTCAAGCCTCTCCCAGCCGCTGGAGGCGCTCCTCTCTGGCGGTTGCGGTGGCAATGGCGGCGGCGGTGGTTTCGGTGCGCAGCCTCCTAGCAGTGCTGCCAGCATCGGCGGCTCCATGCGGCTGCCGTCGTTCAATCTGGACGCTGCGCCCTCTAGCACTCTGCTGTCTCTGGCGGACCCCTCACTGCTGCTGTCGCGACATGATTCGGGGGGCATGGAGTGGCTTGCGAACTTGCAGGTGGATCCGGCGGGAGGGCTGATAGGCGGGGGAGGAGGTGCTGCGGAGGGGGAGGCGGCTGGGGCGGGGGCGGGGGAGGAGGAGCAACATGGTATGTCTGGGCTGGATGAGGGTGGGGGTGGGGGGGTGTTGGAGGAGTAGGGTGGGGGCGGAAGGTGGTTGGTTGGGGGGGGCTAGTAATTGGTTGGTTGGTTGGTTGGTTGGTTGCGGCGAGGAACAGCTCAGATGGGTTGGTGTTGCCGTAATAAGTGCTTTGTTGGCATGTGGGCGGAGAGCATCCCCTTGTTATCACACCTTATTTGTGTGGGGAGCGTTTGTTGGTGTTGTGGAGTCTGTGTTGATTGCGAATGCTGGTTGCATGCCCATGCCCATGCCAACCCTTTTGGTCATTGCCACGGAGTTGCAGCTCTACGTATGTATGTGTCAATCGCCACTCATTTTCACCGGTCGCAACCTGATTGTTGTTGTGAAACACTGCTGCTGGCTTGCTCTCGCGGTTGCACCGGCGCCAATACGTCGGCATGTATTGGCGGCCGCCTCTGAAACACGAATATGCCGGTGCTCTGTTGTTGCCATGCCGGCCGTATACCGGTATTCTGAAAGGTAAGTTGCATGGGGCCGGGAATCTCGCTCACAGCACGAGATCGAGCTTTCGGTGGTGTGAAAGGGAGGAGAGTTGCGGATTGGTTTGAAGGGGCGGTTGCGGGCTTTGAAGCCGCCATCATTGGAACTCAAAACCACCTAATGTTTTTCGGCGTGCCCGGCGGACCTGTGCCGGCGGACCTGTGCCGGCGGACCTGTGCCGGCGGCCCCAACCGTAAGTACCCAGTAATGTGTACGGCTGCGTGCTCGAGCCCCATGCTTGTGTGCTTGTCAAGTTAGCATTCATGGGAAACGTAACAAAGCACGTTTCTCTTTCGTGCGTCATATCGTTCATAACAAACACCCCTCCTCCTCACATTTTCCTGGGTCGGTTGGATCCCGCGCGAGATCCCCGCGCAAGATCCAACAAATGAGTCGCGAGAGACACGTTTTTTAGGCGAAGCAGTTGGTTGCTGTTGTGGTTATTGGTCTTATCATGCATGAGAGAAGATGATGACTTCCAAAAGTGTTGGCTTTGTTGGCTGGTTGCCTGGCTTAGCAAGACGTGCTGCAAGCCGAAACCAATTGAAGGTGGCGTACATTGCAAGTCGCGTAGAAGAGCGTTTGGTGGTGTTGCTTGTTTCCCAACCTTGCCCCGAGGCTCACATGTGTGGTGCGAACCAAAATATTGTACGGCACCCGCATGGGCTCCTAGTGGTGCAGGTTCTGGCTCGTAAGAGGGTCGGTGTTGAGGTTGTCATGCCGGCATATCTGATGGTTGGCACGGCTGGCCGGTTTCGGAGGGCAAAAGTCGGCACTTTGGCAGCCTTTGGAATGGGGCCTTACTAGCTACTATTTGGCGCTGCCAAAAAAGGCCTGTCCTCGGATGGAGGGCTAGAAACATGGACTGCTGGAGGAAAATGAACGATGGCTAGCTTTTATTGGAAGATTTGAAACGAAGTATTTTTCTTTTCGTTGTCTATATAGAGGAATAGAGGGGCGTGGGAGAAGGCACGCAGGCATGCAAAATGGCCGCCTGCGGACCCTGCTGAAGGGAAAGTGACCCGTGGGTCGGTGGGTCTGTGTGCAAGTTTGGGCTCTTCCCCTGCTTAACACTTGTTCGTTTGGTGGCAAAATTCCTGGCGCTATTTTCACCTTTTGCGCTAGGGCGGAGCACAGTAGCAGTATATACCTTCCCCGCTGCTGTGAGCAAGGTATCGTGGTGTGTTTTGGAGTTTGTGGTGTTCACGAATACGACAACAATGAAAGTACGGCAAGCACGGGGAGTGATGATGCAGTACAGCGACTGTTGGGCTTGTTATATCATAGTTCGGTTTTCCAACATTTTAGTTGAGCTTTTTGCTTTCTCTGGGTGTTGTGTGACGACTAAATTGGCATCAACCTGCATACCGGTATCACCTGCATGGAGGGTTTCTAACGTAAGTACGGGATATCTGCGTGCATCCGGAAGGAGGGCGCCTGGCTGGCGACAGGCGGTTAATTACGTAAGATATGGTCACGCATGCGCTTTGCGGTGCACGCTGCGCAGGCCTGCTGGCGGCTGGGAAAAGTTTGGGGCTCAAGCCCTCGAAGAGCACTTTATATCCGTTTGAAGCAACGGAGCTCTGCTTATTGTGCGCTGCGGGACCTGTGTGCCCTTGAAGCAGAGGCTGTTGCAGGCCCGAAGCGGGTTTTGTTTGCTTGTCGCCGTGCAGTGCCTTGCAGGGCGGAGGGGAAAACGCCGGTGTCACCCCAGTGTGAGTGCGTGTGTTAAGAAACTGGCCGCGAGTAGGAACATATAGGACATACGTATGTGCGTGTGCGTGCAATGTGTAGTTGGGTGTCGCAGCTGTGTTGACTGAGGGCGAGTGGGAGGCAGTTCCCCCCTATACGGTAGGACAGTGTACAGCCCTGTAGCACGGAGCAACAGCAGGGCTGTGCAGTTCAATGCAACTCATGATGTCGTACAGCAGCTGAAGGGCGGAGGAAGGCGGGCACACGAATGAAAGTGGAAAGCTTTGAAAGCCGGAAAGGAAGCGGAAACGGACAGCGTTACAAGTAGGGCGCACACACACTGGCGCCTTGGCGGTGGGGATGTGAGCTGATGTTGATGAGCACCGTTGGGGCTGGCTGGCTTCATCTTCCGGCAATCACAGTACGTTCCGACCCGCGGCACTGCTGGCAAGGCTCGGCTCCGACTACCGTGTAGGGTCGTCCCCCTCCTTCCCCTCCTCCTCCCCTGGCGGGCGCGCCTCTCTCCTCACTCGTGCGCCCTCAGTAACGGCCCCGGGCCCGCTGCATGCATGCAAGGCAAGGGGCGAACAGAGGCGAACAAGACGTGATGCGGGAAGAGGTTGGGTAACCCTGCAAAGATCACATGAGTTGAGACGCCAGCAGCCACGTTGTGTGCCTGCTGGAAACACACGCTGCGGCGCCAACACACCCCGTCCTCGCTGCGTCTCTTACACCCTCTCCCCCACCTCCCGGGATCATACCCCACATACCCACCTCACCCCAGGGCCCTCCTAAACCTCATACGCCTCACCCCCAAGCCTTACACTACTAGCGGTCCCCACCCCCGCCCCACCCCACTCGCCCTCCATGCACCCCCAGAACCCCCCTGCCTCACCCCACCTTGGATTCATGTGACACGCCCGTGTCCCCAGACACCTGCTGCTGCCCGTCCGAGGAGACGGAGGGGTCCGCCGTCGCCCGCCGCTTGCCCCCCGCGCCGAAACCACCGGAGATCCCACTGCCGCTCCCGCCGCCACCACCACCTGCTGCTGTCCCTGGGGGCCGTGCTGCGGCTGCTGCTGCTGCTGTGGCGGGAGGGGGGGTGGGCACGTTGCGCATGAAGACGCGGGTGACCTCCGCACCCTTGGCAGCCTGGCGGGGAAGGGGGGGGGTTGGGGGCATCGGGTTGGGATGAGCGTATGGTATGGAAGGGGGGGGGAATAACTGGTAGCGCACAACAACGCGGATACGGTGCGGAGATCCTGCGTTGAGCCCCTGCAGGCTCCTGCATCCAACTGCCTGTCCCTCCATTGTTGGAGCTCCCATGAGCACGGCCCCGCCCCCCCTACCGGACTGAGCACGGCTCCCCCCGGCGGGAAGCGCAGGCCCCTCCGCACGCGCTCCACCACCCGCTCTGTGGGCTCGGAGGGAGGCGGCGGCAGGGGAGGCGGGCGCAGCAGGCTCCAGGAGGGGTGCCTGGAGGCGGGGGATGTGGATGGGAGGCGGAGGGAGAAGGGAAGGTGTGGGGTATCCCGCTGCCGCCGCTGGTGTCTAGATTGACAACTGGAAAAGTATCATGACAAGACACAGGCGGGACGCACGTTCCCCTGCCCCTAGTAACATGACAAGACACAGGCGGGACGCATGTTTCCCTGCCCCTAGCGCTGCGTGCTACGCCGGTCTTACGCGAAGAGGCTGGTGTCCCCGGGTAGTCCGGTCGGAACCTCCTTGGTGCTGATGGTGAGATAGTTGCGATCCACACCCTTCATGGAAAGGTTGTAGAATGGCCGCAGCTGGAACTCGCTGAGCAGGTCATGTGCTCCCGTGCGGGCGGTGCCAGCAGCTGCACATGTGCAGTTTAAGAAAGAGATGGTTGGCCGCGGCAGAGTCCTTAACAAGCACGGCGAAAAGGAGAGCGATGAAAGACGCACCAGCGCGCTGCGCCACAGACTGCGCAACGAGTTCCAGCATTCCTAACCAGCGCTTTCGGGTCAGGCAGCCACAGGCTGCTCAAATTACGCCCTTCGCATCCGCAAGCGACTCGACTACAAAGCCCGAAGTTGGAGCGTCGGCTAATCAGAAAGCATCCTACGATAACAAACTATACATGATACGTATTCAAAGCTTTACCAACGTTCTTTCCGTAACCAGACAAACACGTACAAGGCTACACGACTACGGCAGTCGTCCTACAACATGCAACCCAGCAAGGGGAGAGGGAAATGACTTTTGCATGCATAGCTTACAGACAACACTATCAATATATCAATAGAGCACTACAAAAGCAAATAGACTAACCGAGTTCGGTCTACGCTGGCCAACTGAACTGAGACTCCATTGGGATAATTGGCACCAGCATAGTTATGGAGTGCGCGCTGCACTCAGCATGCAGAGGAGGCGTATTGGTGCGGTCTCGCGCTTCAACTTTGGACCGCCAGCCCCGACCGGCATTTGCAAGGCCAGGCGTGGCGCTGCCCTTGCGGAGCGCCGTTCTTCATCATGTAAAACAGCACGAGCAGCAGCAGCCTTCGAGCAGCGTGAGCGGGGTTGGGATCTGGTCGCAGGGCAGCCAGCCACACCCTTCTTGCTGAGGTGGACTACAGCGGCACAGAGGCTTTGCACAAAGCAGTTTTGCCCCTCTTGCCACAGGTTTCATGCCCCGCGGTTGACTATGGCTATCCATCGGCCCCGGAGCTACCGCCGGAGAGGATGGGCGAAGCAGCAAGGCGTGCACTGTCGCGCGCGACGGGTGCAGTTCGCCGCTATGGCTGGCTTAGCTTCTGGGCCCAGCTAACACTATCGGTCGTAGGCGGAGTAATCCTGCTGTTCTCTGTGGCGTTTACGTCACAGGTGCGTACATTCGGTTGTTCCCGCCTCCCATCCCGCGAGTGCTTATTCAGGGTTGCTGAGCCTTTCCATTTGAATCTGATCACGACCTTCACTATGTATACAGAGTGGGCCGAAGGCGTCGCTGTACCTGACCCTCTTCGGCATCCTGGCCGGCTTCCTATCGACCTTCTGGAACTTCGGCTACACGCGCACAGCGCTAAAGATGCAGGCCTACTTGGATGCTGCACCTGGGCAAGAGGTACCCAAAGTAAAGAAGCAGCAAGTCGTGGATATGGTCACCCGCGGCATCTTCATCAACATGGTAGGATTGGCATCCACGCTGGCAGGCGTGCAAGCGCTGGTGGGCATGTTGGTCGCCAAGACGCTGCAGGTGAGGTGGGGCGGGCACCGACCCACATCGCCGTTGCTCCGCTGCTCACACGTAGGATCAGGTCGGGTGTTGCATGCACGGCCAACGATACCGTTCCGTACCTGCGTTCCTTCCGCATCCCCTTGTGTCTTTGCACATAAAACGGACCTCTTAGTCCTTCTTCGGCGGTGCCTTCACCACGCTTGCGCCCCTCCTGCCCTCCTGCCCACCACTCCCCACCGCTCCCACCCCACCCCACCCCCCGCAGATCAGCTCCTACCCCTTCATGGCCGCTGCCGGGGGCGCCAGCTACAACCCCGTGGTGGCGCTGGACGTGTTCCTGGTGCAGGTGGGAGCGGGGCGGGGAGGAGGTGGGGGGGACGTGGGGGCGGGTAGGGGTTGGTAGAGGCAGGTGGGGGGGGAGGTGTTGCGATTGGGTGGGGGCGGGACCGGCAGCGGGGCAGTAAGGGGTGCGAGCGGGAAGCGGTTCAAACAAGCCACAGGTTGCGACACATGCGCAAAGAGCACCCACTACTTCCTGACAGCTGGCGTTGCACCATCACAGTCCGATTTGTCTCCTCCCTCACCCGCCCTCCTGCCGCCCCCCTCCCCTCCACCCCCTTCGGAGTAATAAGTAATTTTGAGATGCGTGCTTCTAGGATAGTGTCTCCGAATGCGCTCACTGCATGAGTCGGGACATGGGATTGGGACTCGTTGTTTCACTTATTTAATTTTTTCCACCCCCTTTCCCCCCCCCAGGCCGCCACCAACACGCTGCTGGGGCACTTTGTGAGCCTGGCCTGCTCGCTATGGCTGCTGCATGTGGTGGGCGAGGGGCAGGGGCTGAGGTTCCAGGTGGGTGATGGGGGGGTAGGGGGGGGTGGGGGGCGAGGGGCAGGGGCAGGAGGCGGAAGGACTGGGAGGCCTTGTTTGGGGTCGGGCAGCGGGTGAACGCGCGCCGCAGTGTGGGATGTGCAAGCCGCCGGATGATCCCATGCTTTGCTTGTGCAGCGCGGGGTGCGGTGGGAGGATTGCCTGGGTGGAGCAGGTGGATGCGGCATGTGCATGCGACGAAGAGTAGGTTGTTGTCTCAGAGCGGGGGCTCGTTCGTGTGTTGTCCTGGCGATGACACCCGGCTCGGTTGGTTGGTGGGTTGCTGCTGCTGCCCAGTACCCGGTTTGCTGGGGTGTGGGGCGTTGCTGGGTCGTGATGGGCGCACGGGTGGCGCATTGCTGCTGGCTGCCCGCTGCATGGCGCCGTTTGTGGTGGTTCGCATGCATGTTGTACTCCTGCATGAGATGTGAGGTTGGGTGAGGGTGGATGGGTGGGTAGGCGGGTGTTGGTTAGGTTGTTAGGCCTGTTAGCCGAGTCACCTGGTCGCCATCAGCTGCTGCTGCTGCCTCCGCTGCTCATCCGCCCTCCACGCCCCTCGCCCCGCCGCCCTCCTCCTGCTGCCGCTGCTGCTGCCTGCCTCCTCTCCGCGCGCCAGGCTACGGCCTCCGACGCCGGCGGCGCTACCGTCATTGGCAAGGGCAATGCGGGAACCTACCGAGTCAACTACGGGGCGTAGCGCCCTGCGTGCTGGGAGGCGGCGGGGGGAGGCCCGGCCAGGCAGGGTAGGGGCGCGGGGGACTGTGGGGGGGAGGCAGGCGGGCATGGGAGGAGGCAGGGGAGGTTAGAGAGAGACAGGGAAGGTGTTGTTCAGTGGTCATGGGTGCAGAGGCGGGAGAAAGGGCGTGTGTGTGAGAGAAGAGAGAGAGTGTGGAAGCAGCAGTGACCGAGGAGAGTGGGAGAGGTTGTGAGAGAGGGCTTGTGAGTGTGTGTGAGTGAGAGAGCGAGCGAGCAGTGTGGGGCACGGAGGGACGGTCAGGTGGGGTTCGGGGGCATTGCATGACACAACTGTTGCCGAGGTTGCGGCGCGACGGATGCCGCAACAAAAGGACGTTGCCCATCCATAAACAACATGCATTGGTAGACATGCACACTGTCATGCGAACGCGACGTGCAACTGTTTACTAGCCAGACCCGCGTTTTCCTGCTCCCTCCGCTGCTGCTGCCCTCCCTCCCCCTCCTCATTGACGACCCCCCCTCCCGCCTCCCTCTGCTTGCAGCGCTTCGTGTCCCTCGAGCTGCTCAAACAGCGCACCGAGGACTCGCGGCTGCCCGACCCACGGGCCATCCCGCTTCTAGGGGGCGGTGCCGACAGCCGGGGCGGGGGGGAGCTGCTGCAGACCAACGCAGGTCGCCCGCTTCGAGTGCCGCCTAGACCGACAGGTGGAGGCGGAGGAAGCGGCGGAGGTGGAGGTGGCGGCGGCGGTGCAGGAGGCCGCAGGAGCAAGCCGCAGCGGTCGCAGCAGGGGGGTAGAGAGGGCAGTGGCGGCAACAGCAGTAGCGGCAGCGGTGCCAGCAGCAGTGGCAGTAGTAGCAGGGCTAGCAGCGGCAATAGCGCGAGTAGCAGTAGCGGGGGATGGAGCGGGTGGGGAGGGGCAGGCGGGTGGGCGCCGGCGGCGGCGGGGTCTAGCTGGGCTCTGCCTAGCACCAGCATTAGCACGCTTAGCAGCAGCATTGGCAGCAGCAGCGGTAGCAGGGCGGGGTACGAAGGAGGGTGGGCTGGCAGTAGCGGCGGTGGGGGGAACGGAGGGCGTGGCGGCTCCTCATCCGCTTTGGCCTTATCCTGGTCGGAGGAATCACCCGGCTGGAAGGACGTGCCGCTACCGCCACCGGCGTCGCCGCGCCGGGCCGGCGGGAGCTTGCTTCCATCACAAACAGCAGCAACAGCAGCGTCTTCCCCCTCCTCCTCGGCCGCTTCATCCTCCTCCTTCAGTAGCAGTAGTAGAGCACTACCAGCCCGCAGCACCCCTGGTGGCTACAACAACCGCCTCAACACGGCAACCACCAGCACATCAAGCGACGGCTCCTTCCGCGTGCACCTCCCACCAGCCCGGACGTCGCCATCCCAACCCGCCTCCCTCCCACTCCGCGCGCCGCCCGGCCAAGACCTGGACATCCTCACCCCCGCACCCCTAGCCTGCCGCGCCAGCGGCGTCGCCAGCACCAGCGGCCGCCCTCCCCCTGACGCCTTCCAACGCCTGCTCATCCTCCCCACCACCTCCTCCTTAGCTTACCTAGACGGCACACTACCCGGCGACTGCGGGTTCGACCCGCTGGGCCTCTTCGACCCCAGCAACGGCTCCGCGGGTTTCATGTCGCAACGCTGGCTGCATGCAGCTGAGCTCATACACGGCCGCTGGGCCATGCTGGCAGCGGCGGGCTGCCTGGCTCCCGAGTACCTAGCGCATGAGAAGGTCATTCCCAAGGCCACCGGCGTGCTGTGGTTTAAAACGGGGTTCCTGCCTGCCGTCAGCGCGGGGTTTGACTACGGGCTGCCTCTGGGGGTGTTGGCGGGAGTGCAGGTGCTGCTGATGGGGGTGGCGGAGGGACTGCGCTGGGCGGAGTACCGAGACCCGGGCTGCCTGCATGGCGCCAAGTTGTTGGGGCTGGAGCGGCTGATCGCGACCACGCGACCGGGCAGTGCGGCGTACCCGGGGGGGCTGATGTTCAATCCGTTGGGGCTGGGTGTCCGGCCTGCGGTGATGCGGGAGTACCAGCAGGCGGAGGTACGGCACGGGCGGTTGGCGATGCTGGCGTTCCTGGGCTACGCGGCGCAGGCGGTGGTTGCGGGGCGCGGGCCGTACGACTGCTGGAACAAGCACCTGGAGGACCCGGAGCGGTACAATGTGCTGTCGCTGCTGCTGGCGCCGCCGGGGGGGCAGTAGAGGGGTGGCGAGGGGGGTGTTGCAGAGGCTTGGAGAGTTGTTGTAGTTGGGTTGCGTTCCGAGGGTTGCTTTGCTGGTGCTGCTGCTGGTGCTGCTCTGCTTTCGTTGGCATCTGAGTTGCAGGGTTAAGTTGAGCGTAGGTTGCTAGTTGTTGACATGATTCATAGGATTGACCGTGCCGACCTGGCCATGATCAAATGATCAGGCGTTTAGCTTGCTTAGTGCTTGGTATGCATGGCGGGACCCGCGGGACAGCAAGCTGTTTCCACTAGGACGACGCTCCTTGTAAACACTTTGTGCGTTACATAGAATGCCGCGGGCCCGCGGACCACTGAAACAGTAAAAGTGGCTTGCCCCTTAACCGCTCTTTTGCCACGCTTATGAGGAATGTACGGCCTTCTCAAATTCTCACATGAGTAAACCCTTTCATGTCAAGCATGTGAATCCTGACATGACAAGAGCTAACGATTATGCTTACCGATAGCCGTGTTGACGGCAAATGACAACTGCGACAGAGTGGCTACTTGTAGGTTTTTGCATTAGCAGAGCGTTAATGGTTGCTAAAGGCTATATCCTTACTCTCTTGTAATCCTTGCAGCGGGAAATATCCCAGGAAGACGATCTAGGCCACGTCGTCGCTTTAGAACTTCGCAATCGCGGCCTGACGGAGGTCGGGGCCATTGAAAAATGCCGTGGACTAAAGGTGCTGGACTTGGGCTTTAATCAGCTGAAAAGCGTCAAGGGGTAAGCGCGTTAAGTCCTGCGGGAACGAGTTGGCTGTGGCACTTGACCCTTGCTGGTTATCTACAGGTTGGAGGGCCTTGATAAGCTAAAAGAATTACGGCTTAGCGATAATAAGCTATCATCTGTTTCGGCATTACAGCGGCTGTTCGACTTACATACGCTTGCACTCGATGGCAACAACTTTACACAGTTGGAGGTGGGGTTTGCCCGTTGAATGCCTTCAAGATGCTTCGCATGCCTTACGCCTGTGTGATGATGACTTGATCAGGGCCTACACAGCCTACGCGGCCTCAAGGTCCTCAATGTGTCCTTCAACCAGCTGTCTTCGCTCAGCAGCCTTGGCCGGCTCACCTCCCTGGAAGTGCTACATGCAGCTGGGAACCAAATCACGGACCTGGAAGCTCTCAGCGGCTGCCCAGCGTTGCGTGTCGTTAACGCCTGCTCAAACCGGTTGCAACACCTAAAGGGTTTAGCACGCTGCGCTTCTCTTCAGGAGCTTCACGTCGCGGACAACAAGCTGACGGACCTCTCGGGGCTTAAAGCGGTGGCCAGCAGCCTAGAGGTATGCGCCTGCCGCGGGCTTCAACGTCATCCCGCATGTTGCCTGGAAGTGCTCCGGGCCTCCTATGCCATAAGAACGAGTCCCGCTTTGGCTCTTTCAGCAAGGTCGGGTCAGACCAATACAATCAAGAACGTCTTACCTTCCTCGGGTCTTTGCTGCTGCTGCTGCTGCTGCTGCTGCAGATCCTGGACCTCAGCGGCAACTCGCTGACCTCGCTGTCGGGTCTGTGCTCGCTGCCCAAGCTGGCGGAGCTGTACGCGCGGGAGAACGCAGTGGAGGCGGTGGAGGGGCTGGCGGCCCGCCTGCCGGCGCTGGAGCTGCTGGTGGGTGCTGGGGGGGCGGAGGCGGGTGGGGTGCGGTGCGGTGCAGCGCGGGTAAAGAGGAAGGAACAGCCTGTCCGTGCAGGACACGTATACATGTTGGCTTCACGATGCGGGTGCGGGTGTGGGGGAGAGACCCGACCCAAATCATGTCTCCCTTCCGGGGCGCGGCTTGCGCTCCTCTCCCACTTCCCTTGCCCCCCTTGGGCTCCCCCCGCAGGACCTGGCTAGCAACCGCCTGGCCGCCAGTGCCGCCCGCCTGGCGGAGGCGCTGTCACCGCTGACGGACCTGGCAGCGCTGCAGCTCAGCGGCAACACCCGACTGGAAGCGAGGACAGGGGCGGACGGCAGCGGCAGCAGCAGCGGCGGCCCGAGCGGTGGAACGCCTGCTCCTCCTTCTCCTTCTGGCACCGGCGCGGGCGACCGGGAGGACCACAGGGCGGTGCTGTTTGCGGCGCTGCCCTCCCTGGAGCTGTGTGACGGCCAGGAGCGGCCGCAGGTGCTGGCGGTGTCCGGAGGGGCGCAGGAGGGGGCGGCAGCGGGAGGTGGAGATGCCGGGCAGCCTGCAGCAGCAGCAGCCGAGCTGGACCCCACTTTTGCGGAGATGGAGGAGTTCAGGAAGCGCATGGGCATCCGCACGTATGCGCCGCAGTTCGCTGGGCGGCCGGGGAGCAGCAGCGGCGCCGCGGGCAGGCCGGGGTCCTCCGCGGGGCAGCTGCGGCCCGGCACTGCGAGCGGGCGGCCGGGAACAGGTGGGCGGGTGGGGCGGGGTGGGGCAACTACAGCGCCTTGGCCTGACTGTACACATGCCAAGATGCCATGCATGCTTTGCGTTTGTGTCTACCGTATCGTTAGGGAACATCGTCTGAACTCACAACCTCCTCCTCCCAGCTGAGGTGAACACTCGCCCGCTCGCCCCCTCCCTCCCGCCCCCCTGCCCCCCCTCCCCCTGCGCAGCCAGCGGTCGACTGGGCTCCCGGTGCGGCAGCGGGCGGCCCCTGATGGCGCCCGCTGGCCGGCTGGCGGGCGGAGTGGTTATGGACCCTGAGCAGTTCGCTGCCGCACTGGGTGCGTGGGGGGGTGGGGGTGCGGGTGCGGGTGCGGGTTGCCGTACAGCGCTCTCGTAACACATGGGTACCCCTCCCCGCCCTCCAGCCCCCGCCTTGGGTTTGTTTCCCTCCCTTCCCTGCATGCATTGCCCTTCACCCCTCTCCTCCCCGCCCCCCAGGCACCTTCCGAGACACCATGGCCTCCTACTCCAGCAGCCTCAAGGGCGTGCTGGCCACCATGCGGGCCAACCTCAAGCTGCCCGTGTACGAGGCGGCGCAGAAGCTCAAGGGAGAGGGAGGTGCGCGGGGCGGGCTTTGGCCGGGACGGGAACTCAGGAGGGGATGCGCGGCTATGATTATATATGAAGCGCTTCTGGCTAGGAACTGCATGCTTTGGTCCATGCCCGGTGTAACATGTAGCGAGACCTAGCACTACACTACAAAAGGCCATGTGACAGGCTGTGTTTCTGCTCCTGCTCCTGCTCCTGCTCCTGCTCACCCGCCTCCTAACCCCGCTGCTTCCCCGCCTGCTGCCCCGGTGTCGTCCCTCTGCTCGCAGCCACCCAGCTGCCCCGCATGCCGCTGGCTCCCGAGTTCGCCGCGGCGCCGCGCATCAACACGGTGCGGCTGCTGCAGCCCGAGGACCGGGCGGATGTGGAGCAGCGGGAGGAGGCGCTGCAGATGTACGAGCGGCTGTTCGGTGGAGGAGGAGGAGGTGGGGGTGCGGGTGCGGGTGAGGACGGTGGCGCTGCTGGAAGCAGCCGCGGCGGCTCCCCCGCATCCCTCGCGACGTCCCAGCAGCAGCGGTTCAGCCCGGCTGGCGGGACCCGGGGTCGTCCTGCGGGCAGCGATGACGAGGAGGAGGAGGAGGAGGTGGAGCTCAGGTCGTCCGCACCCGGCGTGGGTGGTGCTGGCCCCTCATCTGCCGCCTCGAGGCCTGGCACCAGCGGCAGCGTCGGTATGACTCCTGCGGCAGCGGCTGCTGCGGCGGGAGGAGCTGCCGCGCCGCTGACTTCCTCACCCGCGGCGGCAACGGGGCGGGGTCCGGCGCTGCGTGTGAAGATGCCCGCTGCCAAGCCAGTGCCCGGGTTGGGTGCGGCGGGTGCGGGTGCGGGTGGGCTGGCCGCTGCTGCGCACAAGCCCGCCCTGCTGGCGAGGAAGGCAGCACCGCCCGGCGGCGGCCTGGGCGGCCTCGGCAGCAGCAGCGTGAGCAGTAGCGCGCTGAATCCCCCTTCCTCTCCCGCAGCTGCAGCGGCGACAATGGTTACAGCAGGGGGCCCGTTCGGATCTTCGGCTTCGACTGCTGCTGCTGCTGCGAGCCCAGGCGGCGGCAGCGCTGCTGCTAGCACCGCTCGGCTGACTGTACAAAGACCCTTCAGCGGTGGAGGGCGGCCGTCATCGCTGTGTTCCCCCGCGACCGGGATGTCAGGGGCAGCCGCCAGAGCTGCAGCAGCGGGCGCAGCGGAGGGCGGGGTTCCAGCTGCGGACTCCCCCAGGGGGGCTGGGGGGTCGCCTGCCGGCCTGGCAGGAGGCCCCAGCAGAGCGGCCATCCGGCCGGGCAGCGCGGGGCGCGGGGCACCGAGGAAGCTCGGGACTGGGTTGGCGCCACGAACGGGTGGGAAGATGCTGGCGGGAGGAGGCGGGTCCTAGCAGGGTGTGTGGGGGTGATGTGGGTTGATGCGAGGGGCTGGCGTTTGGGGGTGTGGGATAGCTGGGTGGATGTGGCGGAGAGGAATGTATCTACTATGTAACACGATGCCGATGCTGGAGGCACTCCTTCAGTAACAAGCATTTGTCATCCATAGCCTCTGGCAACTCCAGGAACATGCTGATATCCTTTCTTCCATCGTTTGTTTCCTTTGTTACCTCTTTGGCCGCTGGCTCCAGTGGTTTCTGCTGGTTCCGGAGGTTGATGGATGACAAAGCTTTTTCCCGGTTCCTACAGCCTAGTCGTCTGGCTTTTTCCAAAGCATGCAAGTAACCATGGAGATTGACGACGATGACCCAGTTGTCCGCGAACTTGACGTGTACATTTGCAACGAGTTTACAGGGTCTAGCACGCAGCTAGGCCTGCTGCAGCACCCGCTACGCCCACCATGGCGTCCTTACGAATACAACAAAGTTAAGGCCATGCGATTCAAGCCGCAGGCGAAGCGCATCGAGGTGGATTTGCCCCTAGACACGGAATCACGCAATTACAATGACGTTATTGAGGACATGAAGAAAGTGAAACAATTTACCTTGCGGTCGACGCTGAACGAAGAGCGTACCAATCTGGCGGTCGGCACCATTAAGGGCGGCAAGCTTCTCATTGCCCCGCTTGGCTTTGCGGTTCAGCTGCGGCCATCGCTTCACCATCTCAACGTCGCTTCAAACGCAAAGGATAAGGGTGGCGCTGATAGCGATGATGAGGAGGAGGACGAGCCCAAGCTGCATGCCGTCGAGGTGCAGGTCCAGAAGCGCGAGACGGAGCGGCAAGCCCAGGCGCGCAAGAACTCCTACGCCTACATCGTCCAAAAGGAGGAGGAGGAGCCCTTTGTCAACCTAAACGTCCACAGCGAGGACAGCGAAGCAGCATCCCGCATCTGGGACAAATTCATGTCTGCCCGGGAGCTCGACCACACCGCCAACCGCCTAGACCGCCAAGCCTACCTCCGCGCCATCGTCCCGCCTCCCAGCGCCTCCGCCACACCAGGCGGCTCCGCACAGCCCGACAGCCACCATTCCACCGCTCATCCATCCTTGGGCGGGGCCGCGGGCGGCTCCGGAGCCGCCGGTCAACTCTCCGAACCCGCTCGTGCCGCGCTTCCCAACGCCCTCCGCGCTCTCTTCCGCGAGCACTCCGTCTGCTCCATGGCCAACGTTCGCTCCTGGCTGGACAGCAGCCCAGCAGCTGCTGCCGCCAAGGAAGCCGCGCTGCTGCCGGACAAGGTGCTTCACGACGCGGTACTATCTCTGGGCAGCATAATCAGCATGCACCGAGTGTACGTGGCCACCAAGACGGGCGACGAGAAGACGGATCCGCTGCGCAAGCTGGTTCTGGAGCTGCTGGAGGCGAAGGAGTGCTTCAAGCGCTCCGAGTTTAACGACCTGGCCCGAACCCACAACATGGCGTTTACGGAGACGCAGTACAACAAGGTGGTGAAGGACATTTGCGAGTCGCGGGGGAACACATGGCACATCAAGAATGGAGCGTCGGGGTTGTGAGGGAGGGTGGCGAGAGGGGGCGGAGGATAGGGGGGAGAGGGGCAGGTATTGGTGCTGGTGGTTTGGGTCTGGACATGGGGGGCGCAGCAGTTGGGTGCTGCTTGGGGTCTTGGGAGGAATGAAGAAGGTAAAAAGCTATTTCAGGGGGTAGGAGAGGAGAAGATATGTGGAGCGGTTGGGAGTGTGGACGGCGGGGAAGGCGGGAAAATGAATCCTGCGTTGCATTTTGAACGATTATAGCCGTATCGGCGTGAAGCACACATTTTTGTCATGGAGTCCCTGTATGACTGAACGACTCTCCTTAAAGAGGCTGCTACTATGGGTTTACGGGCCTGGCTCAAATGGTAGATGGTTTGGGTTGTGCATGTGTGCGGAGTTGAACAGCGGTGCTCTCATTGGGTGTTCATTCATTCACGCTGTTTTCAGGTTTCCTTGCTTCTACGGCAGGTTCCTGCAGCTCGTGTGCAAACAGGCTATATACGGTATACCAGAACCTGGTTGTGGTAGCAAGGTGGTAGCGCACTGTAGACTTGTGTATGTTTCTATCGTGCTCTCTGCGGATGGGCTCTGGAACGGCAAGGCCAGGCAGAGGCAGAGGCTTCACATGGCTGGGGGACTGTGACAACAGGGGCAACAGCCCCGTGCTCTGGATCTTTGGACCTTCCGGCTGTGTTGCGGTGTGCTGCGAGGTTGGGGTGTCACGTTGGGCGTTTGTCGTGCGCCGGTCGTGGCGACAGCGGTCTCACAGCGGCGTGGAGTGCGGTAGCTGCTTGCCTGTTTAGTACTTGTGCAGTCCAGCGGCGGAGAATCCAGGCGATCGTGCCATTTGCGTGTGTGTTGCACGGCGCCTACCGATACTGCTTGGTGCAGCGGATCAGCGTACAGTGCTCTGCATCGGTCAGATGCTGACCACACGCAAGGGATGCGACGGCGTATGGGTATCGTGGACCATGTGCCCTAGACAGTTTAATAACGAGCAAAGCGTAATGGGCTTCAACTTGCAAATTACATGTAGTTTACTTGACTGCTACCAGAGGAGAGGCTGGACTCCGCGGAAGCCCCTGCAGCTTGCGTCAGGATAGGAGTTACCCCCGGGGCCCCGGCACATCAACAGACACATTAACACCAACAGCCACCTCCGAAAGCTAGCGGCTAGAGACAAAAAGCGGACACACAGCACCGCAACAACCCCTGCCCCTGCTCTTTTCATGTAGCTCCACAACTCATCAACTGCCGCCAAATCAACGGCCGCCAGAAAGCTTCCCAACCGACCGACCCATGGGTCAACCGCACTGCAGCCGCACACGCAAAAAAGCAACAGCATTATCAATAGCATACACAACCTCTGCATTCCTACTCATGCATGCATGCATACTCGCATCACCTCGTTTGTATCCGATGCCAGTTAGCTCTTTACTCGAAAGGCCCTCCCCTCAGGGCAGGTCGGCACGGAACACCTCCCTCAACTCCTCCTCCTCCCCCATGTCCCCCTCGCGCTCCCCCTCCCCAGCAGCTCGACCCCACATCCCCTCCACCACCCCCTGCAGCTGCTCCACAGCTCCCTGGACCGCCGCCCGGCCCCGAGTGATGACGTCGTTGTCCAGGACCTGAGGTACGACACGACACGAGGGCGGTACGACAGGAGATGTGTACGACAAGAGAGGGAGGTAGTGTACGGCAGTCTCGCACTTTCCCAACCATAACCTTCTTGACCCAGCTGCTGCGCCTTGCTATCCCCCTCACTCCCCTCAACCTCCATTGACTGCTGCCCTATCGCCCACAATCGCCTGCAACCCATCCTCCTCCTCGTCATTCATCTTCAACCCTTCCTAACCCCTCCCTTTCTCATTAGCCTCCTGTCTTGGCTTCCTATCCTCCCCCTTGGTTTCCTATAGTTTGGTATGGTCTTTGACCCCTCCCCATACCTTGGTTGCCTGCGAGGGCGCCCCCTTGGCCCACAGCCACAGCTCGTTGTGCCTGTCCAGCAGCCGAGTGGGGTTGTCGTACAGGGCCAGGCCGATGTAGCCGGTGTGCAGGTCGATTCCGTCGCCCGTCAGATTGTCGATGAACTCGAAACCCTGGGAGCGGGTGGTTGGTGGGTGGTTGGGGTTGGTTGGTCCGGTTTGGTTTGGCGATATCCAGTTGGCCAGATCCGCGAAGAGAGGAGCGCACACATCTGTAGAACCAACAAACGCGCGTACCTGCCGTACACCCCAGTCCTCCCTCCTCCCCTCCCCCCCTTCCCCCCCACCTCACCCGGTCGACCACCACCTCCTCCGTCGCGAAGCCCCCGAAGCTGAGCACCCACACGTCCTGGTCCTCCACCGGCGTTATGTCTAGGTCCTCGGCGGTGGGCTCGGGGGGGCGCTCCTGGGGGAGAGAGGGAGGCCGGGGGGGGATGAAACACACCGTGTCGTTAAGGATAGTGGCAACCCGTGGACTACCTAAGGCCCCTCCCGCTCGTTTACCCTCCCACGCCTTCACCCCTCGCTTCCCTCCCCAATCGGGTCAGTGTTTCCGCGGCTCAGTTTATCTAATCCCCAATCGGGCCATGGGGCTGGGATTCCAGCGCCTTACTTGGTTGGTTTTGCACCTACAATCCCCTGCCGCACCCACCCCCCCATTGCCCTGCCCTAACCTGTGGTCCCCTATGGTTTGGTACTGGGTTTCACCCCCCCCCCACCCCCCCCACCCCACCCCACCCGTCCACCTGCAGCTCGAAGGGCACGAAGTACTCGATGGTGTAGGTGCTCTGCAGGGTGTGGGCCTTGGGGTCGGCCACGTAGAGGAGCGTGAAGGAGGGGTTGGTCTGTGGCAACTTGGTGGAATTGACGTTGTCGCCGGACACGTACTTTTGGAGGCGCTGTCGGTTGGGGAAGGTGGGAACGGGGAGGGGGTTGGAGGGGGATGGAGGGGGTTTTCAAGGAGTAAGAGGTGAAGCAAGAGAGTAGCAGTGTTAAGCTATGGCGTGGGTCAGGTAAAGGCAGAAGTGCAGTGGAAACGCGACAACCGCGAACGGCACCCTCACCCCTCTTCCCTCCCTGGCCCACCGCTTCCCCCACCCTCTTGCGCCCAACCCCTCCCCCCTCCCCCCTCACCCAGTACCCCTCCCCCCCCTTCCCCCCCACCTGGTAGCCCTCCTGGTATGCGTCGCTCCACTTGGCATTAGACACGTTGGTGCTGATCCAGTGGGCTGTACGGCGGGGTGGGGTGGGGGGTAAAAGACCATACCAAACCATAGGAAACCACAGGTTAGGGCAAAGCAATTGGGGGGGTGAGGGAGGTATGAGATGCGAGGAAGCTACTCGGTAAGCTTCCTCCGAACGAATCAGGCCTGGATTTCCGCTCTGCCCCGAGTTGCTGCCCCCCTCCTTTCCATCTCCGCCCCGCACCGCCAGAAGTTCGTCTTCCTTCCCCCCACCCACCCACCCGCTCCAACCCCCCAACTTCACCCCCCTACTCAGGTGAAGCCTCGTCATACAGTTCGTTCGTTTCCTTATTTTTACTCCCCGCCCCCGCCCCCACTGCCCCCACTGCCCCCCGTCCCCACCCCACCCCACCCAGACCGCCCCCACCTCGCTTGTACCTCCGCAGCTCCACGTCGTCCCGCGTCTGAATGACGCTGAACTCGGGGCAGTCCTTGTTGCGGCAGAAGGCGGGCGGCTGCCAGGCCTTCACGGTTTCCTGCTGGCAGCACAGATAGTACAGACATACAGCGCACGGCATACGCGGAAGGTTGGGAGACCAGCATATACAGAAACGAGCAACAGGTTTGATCGAGCGCTTCCATAGAAAAAGGACAACTGTTGGTTTTGAGGGTTAAGATCAATGAACAGGATTTGCATTTCGCTGGTTACGAGGCCTCGCTGTGACGTAACAGCGGCGCGCGACCCATGGGTCACCAGCAACCCCTCGCAGCTGCAAACAGGTGACGCACGGACGCATTAGTGCGCAAGGAGTGCGCTGCTCGCAGACGGATTGCTGTGGCTGCTTCTAGTGTATGAGGAGGCGCAACGCAGCAGAGCGCAAGCGTACAACATACAAGTGATGCAACATACCTCGGTGGGTGTAACGATGTCGTCGTCTCGGCGACCCGCACGGGCTCCCAGCGACAGCAGCAGCAGGAGCGCTGTCGCCAGCAGGGCGGCAGCGCGAGGGAAGAGTCGCGTCTTCATGTTTGTGACAATCGGCTTTGTTTGTCTGTTTGAACCAGTAGTAGCAGTTGGTGTTGTTACCTATGTAGAGTACTTATCAAGAGTTTTATGTGGAAGGGTGGAATTAAAGAAAGGGTGCACAGCACGCAGGATTGTGTCGTGCAAAGTTGGATTATCGTTAACTCATCAGCTCCGCAATTGCGTCCTCGTCCGAGGTACTCCCATCTCCGTCCAGGTCTGGATGTGCCTCCTCAGGCACCTTCACCCTTTCAGTCAGATATCCTTGCAACACGAAAAACGATAAACAGTGTTCAAGGGATCTGTGTTTTAAAGCAGTGTACCGGTACAGTCCGGTAGGTCTATTTTACGCTGTTCGCCCGTGTAAGCCCGGCTGCAGCTACACGACGTGGAAGCATTTCTCTTAGTTGCAAGCGAGGGCCGCTCGGAGAAGTGCAACCTGAAGTCACGCGGAGCCTGCAGCGCAGATGTCAACGCATCGAGCTGCGCTGCGTTCACCGTCGCATTGAGCTCGACATGCGCAGGTGTCCGCTTGCAATGTAACCAGGCATGCGACGGAACAGAGAGGTTATTCATTCTGATGGTGCAGCTTGCAGCAAGGGTTGAGCACAGGCCAGGTCTATCGAGAGTGCGTGAAGGGGAGGGGTTCATCAGCTGTACAGGTGCTGTCATGCGTGCATGAGCATAACTAGACGCACGGGCGCTTTCACAAGCTATCTCGCCCACGATATGATACAGGTTCCTTGCTTAAGAGAAGTCACAGTAATAGAGACAAGCGATATTGCGATCGTCGTGATCAGCACCGGCGGTACGGTATGCAACAAAACAATGCCTTCGATGGCGTTTGGTGTCGCCCAAACATAGCGGTTTGTACTTAACGTTTTCCCTTTTACATAGTGCTAGTCACTCACCAGACGAGTGAAGTAAAGTGGTGAGGTGTATGCAACGGCCTTCCCGTTAGCCTTACTTGCACATTGTTCCTACAGTAGTTGGAAGATAATGAAGGCTTTAGAAGTTAATCTTTTTGTCTCTAGGAGTTAAAGGTGTTAAACAAGCAGCTGTTTGAGGTTGTAGCCCCGTCTAGTTGACGGCCTTGCTGGGAAAAAATGACCGTTTTCAATTGGGTTAGTAACTGTACCCCACTCTATTTGATTGTTGGGCTGTTGATTGCGGTATTCAATGTGTTCCCCGTCGCGTTGGCTGGCGAAGATGCGAAGCCTCTGGTAGGTTGGATTAGAGAAGAATGGAAAAGCCATACTAAGCCGCATGAAGAGATGCACTGCCTTTGCCAAGCGTACCAAGTCGCGGCTGAGTACGCAACGTGGCGACTGAGTATTAACTCCCGTAATCATCGCCATCGCAGCGGCGATTGCCGGACGCTGCAATCCCAATCAACCTCTACGAGCTACTTGGGCCCGATGCCTACGCACGTGGAGTCATCTGGCAGGTAAGGAAAACCCGTCCACCTTTTGCGGCTTGCGGCGAACTCTCAACATTCCAATCATGCTTGACTTCCTCTTTTGTCAGCGACCTTCAACATGCACGCGATTAAACACATCACATCACTTCCCTCCCCTTGCTAACCCCGCTCCCCCCCGCTCCTCCTCAATTCCTCCCCTCCCCACCTACAGCCCGCGCAGTGCTACGCCCCCACCAGTGAGCGCATGGAGGGGGTCACGGAGGAACGGCTGGGGAAGCTGGAGGCCATGATGATGCAGGTGGGGGTGGGGGTGGGGGGGCGAAGGGGAAGGAACTGACGAGCAGGTAGGGGGGGTCGGTGACATGTGCCTGTGTTTGCTCGGACGACCCTCCTCCTCATCTCCTCCTCCCTCTCCCTCCCCCTCAGGACCTGTTCGGGGCGCTCAGCAGGGCGGCCAACGTGTCGGTCACGGTGGGGCGGGGTGGGGCAGGGTGGAATCGGGGGCAGGGCAGGGTTGGACGGGGGGCAGGGTTGGACGGAGGGCAGGGTTGGACGGAGGGCAGGGTTGGACGGAGGGCAGGGTTGGACGGAGGGCAGGGTTGGACGGAGGGAAGGGTTGGACGGAGGGCAGGGTTGGACGGAGGGCAGGGTTGGACGGAGGGCAGGGTTGGACGGAGGGCAGGGTTGGACGGAGGGCAGGGTTGGACGGAGGGCAGGGTTGGACGGAGGGCAGGGTTGGACGGAGGGCAGGGTTGGACGGAGGGCAGGGGTGGACGGAGGGCAGGGGTGGACGGAGGGCAGGGTTGGGGGGCGATCCGGGGTCGCAATGGCTTTTCACTTATCCCCCCCGCCCCCCCCAGGCCCTCAACCGCAACTCCAGCTTCCCCGGGCTGCTGGGCCTCGACCAGGCGCGTCTGGATCGCGACATGCGCTACCGCAAGCAGGCGTTACGTCGCCTGGCGGGCCGCCCCGACACGTGGCGCTGGCTGCGGGCGCTGAGTGACGTGGTGCTGCGCTACACGGTGGCCTCACGGGACCCGGTGGCGCGAGTGGGGCACATGGGCTGTGTGAACAGCAGCATCGCGGGTAGGGGGGGGGTGGAGGGGGGGGAGGTGGGGACAAATGATATAAGTGAAACAACGAGTCCCAATCCCATATCCCGACTCATGCAGTGAGGGTGAGGGAGGTGGCAGGGAGCCGAGTCGGGGAGAGCGGGGTTGATGGGAGGCGTAAAAGGCGGGTTACATGGTGTGAGGCGTGGGGTGACCACTGCAGCCCTTTGCCCTCAACCGCAAACACATCTTCGCCCCCCCTCCCACCCCCACCTTCCCAACCTGTGGTTTCCTATGGTCGGTATGGCATCTGACCGGCCCCCCCTACCCTCCATGCAGACCTCATCGGCGGCAAGCTGCTCCCCCTCCCCTCCGTCGACTGCTCCAACTCCTCCTCCCTGGTGGACGCGCTGGGGTTCTTCTCCGACCCCAACCTGCGGATGGAGCAGGTGGCGAGGCGGGTGCTGCGTGAGCCGGGGTGGTGCTCGGTGCGGCCCATGTACGAGCCGTACGGACAGTGGCTCAAGAAGGTGAGGGGATGGGGGGGGGTCAAAGATCTACCAGAACCACAGGTTAGGGGGGGGGGAGGGGAGGAGGGGTGAGGGGAGGGAAGGCGAAGCCGTGCGTGTGCGTTTCCTCGTGTGTTTGTGTGTGTATGACACGGGGGTGCAACCCTCCGGAAGCCCATGCTGGGTAAGCCGTCCACTTTAACCCCCCTCCCTCTTCCTCCCACCCCCAACCTCAAACTCCCCCCTACCCCCCCATACACACACAGGAGCGCATCATGGGCCGCCCCCGCCCCGGCGACCTGCGCTTCCACGGCCTCTCCAACCGGCACGCCGACCGGGTGGTGTTCCTGTTCGACCTGCTGTACGAGCAGGAGCATGCGTTCAAGCGGCAGCACTGGCTAGGGGCGGTGGTGCAGCAGGTGGGGGCTGGGTGGGGGGGCTGGGGGTGGGAGGGGGAGGGTATAAAAGGAAGGAGGAGAGGGGAAGAAGTAGGGGGGTTGGGTTTGCGCTTACCGATTTCCCCTACCTTGAAGCTTCTTACTCTACCCGTGCTCTACATCTCCTTCCCCATGAAGTGCATGTTGCAAGCAAGCCTTCCTGTCCGGTATCTTCCCTCCCCCTCCCCCCTCCCCCCCTCCCAGAACCCCTTCGACATGTACGCCATCATGGACATCATTCACACCACGCAGCCCGACCTGGTGGTGGAAACAGGTGGGGGGGGGGGCAGGAATTGAAATTTGTGTGGCGGGAGGGGAGGGGAGGGGGGGGGGTAAAGGGGTGGAGAGGGAAGCACCAGCCATGCGGAGTGCGCTGCCTCCTATCCCGCTCCTTCACCAGCCCCGCCACCACTCGGTGCTCTCATCGATGTAGCTCCATTGACCTACCCCACACTAACCGCCTCCCACCCAACACCCCCCCGCCCCCCCCCCCCCAGGCACTGCCAACGGCGGCAGCGCGCTCATGTGGGCGAGCATGCTTGAGCTGACCCGCCCCGGCAGCGGCCGGGTGATCACCATTGACGTGAACGCACCCGAGCGGGAGAGCTGGGCGGGGGTGAACGCGAAGGACCCCACCAAGAACCCGCTGTGGGCCAAGTATGTGACCTTTTTGAAGGTGCGTGTGTTAAGGAAACTGGCCGCGAGTCGGAACGTACTGTGATTGCCGGAAAGGGAAGTCCTCCCACAGAAACACGCCACAGGAGCCGGGGAGCATGGGGGAAAATAATGAATGAGAAGTGGGAGGGGAGGGAGGGTGCCGAAAGAAGGACAGCATAATGCAGCACGGATGCGCCCTGTACCAACCCATTGTGATCATCATCTCTTCTTCCGCGTCATGTACAGCTATACGAACCATCCCCCTCCTTATCTCCTCCTTCTCCCCTCCCCTCCTCTTCCCCCCCCAGGGTTCCTCGCTGGACCCGGGAGTGCTGTCCACAGTCCGCTCCGCCGCCTCCTCCGCGGCCCGAGTGGTGGTGCTGCTGGACAGCGACCACACGGAACATCACGTGGAGGTGACTGGGGGGGGGGAGGGGGGGGAGGGAGGGGAGGGAAGGGGGTGCCCTCGCTGCCCCATAGCGTCCCGTACCATGAAAGAGCTTCCGCACCCCTCTGTGCCCCGTCAGCCTCTCAGCCCCCCCGAGGGCTTCTTCGCGGCGTCCTAATGCAGTCAACACCATCCCCTCACCCCACCCCTCCACCTCCCCCCTCCCTCCCCCACCCCCAGATGGAGGCCAGTGCCTACTGCCCGCTGGTCAGCCCGGGCAGCTACTGCATCGTGCAAGACACCAAGCTGAGTCGCTTCAGCTCGGTGGGGGGGCCGCTGCCGGGCATACGCAAGTTCCTGGCCAAGCACCCGGAGTTCAGCATAGACCGGGACAGGGAGCCCTTCTACACGCAGCATGTGGGCGGGTACCTGCGCAAGCAACAGCAACAGCAGCAGTAGCAGTGGAGGGGGTGGGGTGGGGGTGGGGGTGAAGCGGCGGGGGTTGTTGTCGGCTGTGTGGGGGTTGGGGCGGCGGGTGGGGCGGTATGTCCGGTTGTGAGGAGGCGAAGGTGAGGGGGCGAAGGGAGGAAAGGAAGGATGGTGGTTTTGGGCGCAGTGGGGTTGTTTGGGGGAGTGGGGCGGGGGCGGAGGTAGCTGCGGAGGAGGGCTGAGTACCGGTACCGGTGGTGGGGTGACGTGCGGTTGGTCGCGGTTGTGGTTGTGGTAACGGTGACGGGGTGGTGTACTGCCTCTGTGTGATTGTGATGCTACCTGCCGTATGTGTTGCTGGCTGTGGTGCCAGAGGGGGCTGTTGCGGTCGCGGGCTGTGAGACACACACCCTGCTTGCTCTCATTTCTGCTCAACTACACATGCATGCCCGTGATAGGGCCGACATGCGGGAGGTGGTTGTGGATGTTGTTTTGCCGTTACAGCCCGCAACAGCTGGCACCATGCATACATGCTACTGTGGCAAGGATACTATTTTTAATTTTACCAGGTAGCTATTAGGTTCATGCGCGGCCACGTGCATGAGGCACCGGAAAGCAATACAAGAACCCAAAAAGCAAGACTCAAGTACGGGAAAGGATGTGCCAACATGCCGCAAACATATCCGATGCGTTTCCAGACTTGTAACTGTAACTGCCGATTGCCGATTGCATCCGACCACAACTTCTTTCCGTTACCTGTTGCCAGCAGCGGTCGCAGCGGCTCATGTACCGCCACACGTGGCATGTGTACTGCTGTCTTGGACGGGCCGGACGAGCAGGCCCCCGCGGTCCCGTGGGTCGGTCCGCTGAACCGCCCTCGCTGTCTGTCGGAAGGCAGCAATGCACCGGAACTAGAGATTGGATAAGAGTCATGTACCGTATTCGTGGCAGATTTCACACGGTTTGCAGAAAGACCCAAAAATTCCTTTGCTGCTTGCCAGCTTGCCCCCTCGCATCATGACCCTACGTCGTTCTAGCTACCTGCATGATTGACGGACCTTTTGCACTCCTACCTCCAACAACTCCTTTAGTTCTATTTCCTCCATCAACCACTCCAACTTAACCCAGCAACCTGCCTGTCGCGAATGGCTGCAGTTCACATATCCCTGGCCGGACCCCCCTCCTCTAGTTGCCATCCGCAACCCGACCCAGACCAACCCAACTCAATCCCGCTGCACATGCAGCAACAGCCTCTTCCCAAGGGCGACAAGGCACCCGCCGACATGAGCCCAAATAAGGCGGCGGATAACAAGGCCGCGATATCGGTGGTGAAAGCGGATAAAAAGACCGACGGCGTCACCAACCCCTCCTCCTCCTCCTCCTCTGCAAGTGCTAGTGCGGGTTCCTCCAGTGGCGGAGCCCCCTTCACATGCGAGGATGATGCGGACGCAGTCACCACCGCCACCGCCACCACCCGACCAGCTCCCCACCCGACTGTAGCCTCCATCAGCCCTGACGCCCCAACAACAACACCACCCCATGTAGCAGCAATTGCAGCGACCACCAAGCCCGCAGCAACAGCCAAGGTCTCTCCCGCTCCGTCGCCGCCGCTGCTGTCGACGTCATCCCCCTCTCCCTCCACCTCAACGTCTACTCCTCCGCGACTCACGCAGGGGCAGCGGCTGGCTCTCACACTCGCGGCGCCGCTGCTGGCTTGCTACTGGGTGGCGGCCTTTGGCGCCGCCTGGCTGCTCACCTTCACGATCGTACCCTCGTACATCCTGGCACAGGTGGGCCGTACGACTTGTCGCGTAGGGCTATTACGTACGGCAATTAACAACGTTGCATGTATGAGAAAGCACGAAATTGAATAAGAGGCCCCAGTCCCGTCAACCTGCCCCTGCCCCAACATCCATTACGAATGGCAGCCGCAGCTGCACTAACAAGCATGCACATGTACTTGAATATGCACGGCATGCCTTCTGAATGTTCTGAACGTCTCACCCCGCTTCGGGAGTCAATCAAACTTCAGCCCCTAGCCCCCCCCAGTTGCGACCCTCACCCGCCCCTTCCTTCCCACCTCCTCCCTCAACCGCCCCAGCGCCTCTACTGGGCCTGCCCCTTCATCCCCTACATCTGGCGCCGCTTGGGCCCCGTCACTGGCACCGTCGCCCGCCTGGGCTTCGAGGCCTCCCACTGCATTAACATCCTCACACGGCTCTTCACGCTGCCCATCCGCCCGCACCTGCCCGCGTTCTACGTGCTGGGGTTCCCGGTGTGTGGGGGTGGGGTGGAGGGTGGGGGGTGGGGGGGGACGGTACCTGTTACACATACACACACGCGCACACATGCACGGCTTTTATAAGCACCCCTGCCGCCGCCGCCGCTGCTGTGTGTTTGCACCCTGCCCCACCGCCCACCGCCCACCGCCCCCCTCTCTCCGTCCCGCCCCTCGCTCCCCTTCCTCCCACCCCTCCTCTCTGCTTCAGAAATGCGGCACGACCAGTCTGGCGGAGCACCTGAAGAGCCACCCCGGCCTCAGCGCCACCGCCGGACTGCCGTACCACGAGGCGCTAGCAAAGGAGAGCCACTTCTTCCAGGGTAGGTACTTGGTGGGCACTGGGTGGTCGGGTATGTCGTACCTCCGGGGGGTCTCATGCGGGTTTTGCCGTGATGCCTGCTACTACTGAGGATGGCTGCGTGCACAGGGGGCCGTTGTTTGTCTGGCAGCGCTCTCAGCACGTCTCCCGTGCAATACGGGACAATCGTGAGATATACTGCAAGGGTTTCCGCCCGTGCCCTCGCGGCTGCTAGGTCGCCTCACGCCCTCACCCCCCTCACCTCACCAGCCCAACTGGCGTAATAAAAACGCCCTGCTACCCTGCCGCTGCCCGAACTTCACGTACCTACATCCCTTCTGACCTGCAGGTGTATACGGCCGCTTCCACGCCTCCTCCCGGCTGCTGTACCGCTCCTGCTTCCCCACGCTGCTGACCCGCTGGTGGCACGAGGTGGTGCTGGGGGCGCCGAGCTGGAGCTGCTTCGACGCGTGCCCCGTGAACGCTTGCCTGCCGCATGTGGCGGAGCGCATCCGCAGCCTCACGCCGGAAGCCAAATTTATTGTGATGGTGGGGGTGGGGAGGAGGAGGAGGGTATGAAGGAATAGAAGTGAAGCAGGGTGGTGGGGGTGTAACGTGTAGCCGGTATGGGTTACTGGCGGCGTAGGGCTGTAAGTGCGGCAGCAGGCGACGGAAACAGGGGGGCGGACGGGGAGGGGCTGGGAGGGGCAGGAGGCAGGCTTGGGCAGCTGTGCGTGTCGCGTGGGTGGGGTGTCCCTGCTCGGTGCTCTGCCGCATTATTTTCGCAAGCTGTTAAAAACCCTAATAAGAGTAATAACCCTAAACCCCCTAAAACCCATGCGCCGCCCGCAGCTTCGTGACCCCGTACCCGGGGTGTTCAGCGCGGAAATTATGGTGAGGGCCACGTACGAGTATCCCGGATGGGGTTCTGAGTATCCCGGATGAGGGCATGTCCACAACTGGCGAGAATTGTAGGCAGCAGGCGGGGACGCCTCACACGCCTGAATCAACCGACCCCCATCTCTTGCTGTATCACAGAGTAGCAACTAGCCTGATCGTCAAGCGGTCACTGCCTGCCTGCCTGCCTGCCTGCCTGCCTCCCACCACCCCCCCCACGCCCCATCCAGTTGCGCGACATGGGGGTGCCGCTGGACTGGACTCTGACGGAGGAGGTGGCGGCCAACGACCCGCGGTTCGCTGGGGTGAGGCGGCAATAATGGTGGGGATACTGCTGCTGCTGCTGCTGATGGTGATGGTGGTGGTGTTGACACCAGCATGATGATTAGGTGAAACCATTTACCGATACATAGGGGCAACCTGTGGCCCGGTGACGCCGAATCGTAAAATGAAAGCCCCGCCCATTACCGGTAGACGTCACACATTCCACAGCTTTCCTTCCCTACATCCACATGCATGCGCCCAACGCCACACCGTCACCAGCCCTAGTGCAGCCTTCTGTCAGCCGGTTAGTTAGTGAGTCCCTTCCTCCTTACCCCCCACCCCCCACCCCCCACCCCCCACCCCCCCGCTTCACTTTTCATTACCGGTATTTTTCACCCCCCTCCGGCCTCAGGTCCCCGCCGACGTGGCTGCCCTGTGGCGCGAGCTGGCATCGCTGCCCCCCTCCTCCCCGCTGCCCGCCCACCTGCCCACCTGCCTGTACCACAGCCTGGGCGCCACGCTTCAGTGCGGCATGTATGCGGACTGCCTGGCGCCCTTCCTGGAGCGCTTCCCGAAGGACAGGTAGGGGGCGGGTGGAGGTGAAGGGGTGGAGGGTGACAGGGCGAAGGAGTGACCAGGGGTTTGTGAAGACTGAAGAGGTAGGAGGCGACTGCAGGCTTTGTTGGATAGTAGGAGGAGCCGAACACTCCTTCCTCTCCCGACCACCACCCCAACACCCCGCCCGCCGCCCCGCCTGGTACCGTCTTCCTCTTCATATCCCCTCCCCTCACCCCTCCCTCGCCCCTTCTACCCCACCCAGCTTCATGTTCATCAACTTCAAGGACTTCACCTCCGACACCGAGGGAACCATGCGCAAGGCGGGTGCAGGGTGGGGGTGGTGGAGGTGGAGGTGGTGGCGGCTGGTGGGGTTGGTGGACGGTGGGCCGCAAGAAGAGGATGCGGGGAGGAGGGGGGCAGGGGAGCGGGGTGTCCCGCATCATCACCACCGCTGCCGCCGCCGCACGTACATGCCTCTGCATGGAACTCCCGTGTAGGTTATATCCCCTCCCCCTCGCTTTCCCCTCCTCCTCCCCCCCTCTCCCTCCTTCCCCCAACAGGTCCTTCAGTTCGTGGGGGCCAACCCCGAGGGCTACCGCCACCGTCCGCTGCCCCCGGCCATGAAGGTATCAGCCGGCACAGCAGCTGCAGCTGCCCTTCACTCACATACACCCCCCTCACCCCACACGTCTTGCTGCAGCTGCCTCCCCCCAACTGTCCCCCAGGTCACATACACGCTGCGAAACCCCTGAACCTCTCCTTTCCCCCTTGCCCCCCCTCTCCTCCCCCCTCTTTCCCCCTCTTCCAGAACAACTACGGCTCCCGCAAGCTGCACCCCACAGCCCGAGCCGCCCTCACGCGCCTCTTCTCCGAACCCAACCGCCGACTGGCAGCGCTGATCAAACGGGAGGACCTGGGCTGGGCAGGCATGGCGGCGGAGACGGTGTGAGAAGGTGTGAGGAGGGGGAGGGAGGGGTGCGGGAGGAGGTGTGGGGCAGGGGACCGGGTGGCTGGAGGGGTAGGTGGGGCTGCTGGAGGCGGAATCAGATGGGAGTTGCGATGAGGCGCCGATGACACACCGCGTGAGTACGGGAATCCGCAGGTATTGCTTGTGTCCAGCTGCTGCCTAGGAGTGGGGAATGTAGTGCAGCAGTGGGGGAGATACACATGCAGCAAGGAGGCAAGGGAGGTGCAGGGATGCAGGGGGGGTGTGGTGCTTATAGGGCAGGGTGTGTCTCGGGGCAGCTGGCGGTAACGTGGGTAGGATGAGTAGCCGCGAACAAGCTGTGTATGCGTGTGTGGTAGGCAAATGAAGCAGGAGGGGCGGGAGGGGCAAGAGGGCGTGAAGGGGCAGAAGTGAAGAGGCGGACATGAAAAAAAACAGGCAGCTGGTTGACCAGTCACACTTCGGGAGGGTAGACGGCGGCGTTGCCGGTTTGTTCTTGTTCCTGCAATCTTACGTTGCTCTTACTTATAGCAAGGAAAAGTGAACTTCCTGTATGATTTGTGTGTGTGGGTCCATGTAAATTAAAGCACGGCATGTATTCTATAGAATGCAATGTGGGGTTACTTAGATTCTTTGAGGAGGAGTGTGTGGAGGGGTAAGGGAGGAGCAACGGTGAGGCTGCAGTGACGGATGCGCTAGTGTTGCTCTTTTGCCAGGACGTGGGCGTTTAACCAAAAGTTGAAGAACGGGAGCGAGCAATACTCCTTGCTGCACTGTAGGCAGGGGGGCTGGCAGCAGTGAAAGGGTGACAGCCCCTTCATGTAACGCGAAAGGCAAGCCACATGTGTGTTCACGTGGGGTGGAAGCCCATGGCCCATGTGTGTGCACTGCAGCCCCCAGCTCCCCTCGCGCCTCCTCTCATGCACAGGACGCACCTCTAGGGTCGCACCACCACCACCACCACCACCACCACCACCACCACCACAGCTCCTCCCCCCCCCCCCTATGCTCCCCCCCACACCACCAAGCGCACGTACCGATACCCGTAGGCCCCCTCCCTGGCAGATCACCCCACAGGGCCCCTCACACAACAGCAACACCCTTCCACCCTTCCACCCTTCCACACACAAAACACACCTGCAACCCTTCAACCCCCCTCCACCCTCTCCACCCCCCACCCCGCCTACACCGGGTCCGCAGCCAGCACCACCAGCCTGGCCCCCCCCGCCAGCCGCAGCGGCTCATCGGGCGGGGGGGCCAGCAGCAGCCTACCTCCCCCACCACCCTCACCAGGCCCCGTACCTCCCCCTCCTGATCCCCCAACCTCGGTGCCTTCGTCACCCCAACCGCCGTACCCGCCCCCGCTGCCGTACAAAACCCCGATGGCTGTACAGCCGCACGCGCGCGCCGCCGCCGCCACCTCCCTGAACCTGCTGAAGCCGGCGGACGGGCAACACGCGGGCCACAAGCATGACAGCTGTTGCTGCTGCTGGCCACCACATGGGGCGAACCCGTTACGGCGACAGTGGCAGGCTGCTGCTGTGACGTCGTTGTTGTTATTCTGGTTGTTGTCGTTCTTATCGTGGTTTCGGGGTCCCTCCTGGCAGGCAGTAGCACCACCGCCGCCGCCGCTGCAGCTGCTGTCACAGCCGCCACTGCAGCAGCCGCCTCCACAGCACCCGCCCCGCAGTGTCAGTCCCTGGCTGGCGGCTGCAGCCAGCAGGCGCTCCGGGGGCAGCAGCTTCACCTGTGCGGGGGGGAAGGGGGGGAGTGGGGAGGGGAGGTGGGGAGTGGGGTGGGTGGACAGGTGGTACGCGGAGGTGCGCGGTTACAGAGGCGGTTACAGAGGCGGTTACAGAGGCGGTTACAGAGGTACGGCATCCCATTCCTAACTAAAAACTCCCGCCACCCCTGCCCCCCCACCCTTGTCACACAGCCCGTTCGCTTCCCCCCTCCCCCCCACCTCCGGGGTGCCAGGTCGGTCGCTGAGTAGGTCGGTCATGATGGCGTGAGACTGGGGCCGGGGGGGTTGAGGAGGCAGGGGGGGCAGGGGGGGGGAGTGACGGAGATGGGGTGGGAGGGGGCAGGGGGCAGGGGGCAGGGGGAGCGGAGGGCGTCAGTGAGCGGGTCGCGCGGCCCGGTAGGGGTTGGCAGCTCTCTGTAGGCGGGGGCCACCTGGCCCCCCCCAAGCAGCCGCCCTCTAGCCGTGCCGACTCGGCCTCATCCGGGGGTCATCTCGCACCGATGTACTGTGCCCCAGCGCCCCGAATCGGAGACTCGTAGAACCCCCCCCTTCCTCCAGCCCCTTTCCCGCTCCCCTCCCTCCCCCCACCTGCGGCTGCCGTACCACCCCCGCCAGCAGCAGTGCTCGGTACTCCTCCGCTACCAGGGCCTCCAGCGTGAAGGGGGGCTGTGGAGGGAGCGAAGCGGCAGTGCGAGGTAAAGAGGAAAAGGGGTTAAAGAGGAATACTAACCATGTGGAAGGGGATTTATGGTTCTGCAAGTAGTGCTGCGAGGAAGACATTCGGATTTTCTAATTCGGAGGCTCACCCGGTGGTGACCCACGGGTCACTTAACCACCCCCCAGCCCCCCCTCCCCCCTCCCTTACCTGCGCGTTCAGCCCCGCTAGGAAGTGCTGCAGTGTGGCCCGGGTGCGAGTGCTGTGCAGGCATACCACCACATGCAGCGGCGCGGGGGCTGAGCAGGAGGCGGCCGCTGTGAAGGCTGCTGCTGCTGCTGCTGCTGCTGTGGCGGCGGCTGGTGCTGCGGCGGTAGCTGCATTGGCCCTGCCCGGTTGGCCCACCTTCTCCACTGCTGCTGCTGAGGCTGGTTCTGCGGTTGCTGCTCCCACCGGCAATGGAGGGCCGCCCTCCTCTCCCTCTTCCCCTCCCTCCTCCTGTGGCGGCTGCTGTCGCTGCGCCGCTGCCGCCGCCGCCAGGGCCGCATGCAGCGCCTCATACGTCGCCCGCTGCTGCCGCTCCCGCACATGCGGCTGATGCTGCACCCCCTGCGGCCGCCGGATCGGCGAGCGGGTGGGGTCGGTGAGGGTGTGGTGCAGCTGCAGCACCGCCGCCAGCGCCGTGGCATCCGCCTCATGCGGCAGCAGCCCCCCGTCCCGCGCTATCAGCACCGCGGAGGCACCCGCAAGACCCGCAGCCACCAGCGCCTCCTGACCCGCCGGCCAGCAGGACGAGGGGCAGGGAAGTACGGCAGGGGGGGTGCTGTTACCGTTACCGTTAGCGGTACCGTTACCGTTAGTGCCAGGGTAGTGCAGGGCAGCGCTCGGGATGGCTGTGTTACCGTCCAATGGTGGCATGCCGCTGTAGGTTGCTGTTGCGGGTCGGTTGTTGTAACCGGCGGTGGGAGGGTCTTGGAGCGGTGCAGCAGCTGCTGCTGCTGCTGCCGTGCTGCTGGCGGCTGTAGCAGTAGCAGTGGCTGTAGCAGTAACACCAAGCGTGCTGCGGAGGGTCGCTGCCGTTGCGGAGGCAGCAGCAGCAGCAGCAGCAGCAGCCGTCAGGCCCGTCATGCCCACAGCTGAGGGCCCCATCAGGAAAGGTAACGCAGGGGCCGCAGAGGTCGAAGAGGACAGGTCCAAGCCGCTTCCACGCGGCGTCATGATTGCTGTTGCGGCTGCTGCGGCTGAGGCTATTGTTGAAGCAGCCGCACAGCCTCCCCCTCCTCCCCCTCCCCCTCCGGGTCCACTGCTGATGCAGCCACCTCCCGCTCCGCTGCCCGCACGCGGCAACAGCTGCTGCCTCAGATACGGCACCGCTGCTGCAGCTCCTGCTGCTGCACTGTCCGCCTGCTGCTGCTGCTGTAGCTGCAGCTCCTGGCAGCCCACCACCCCCCCGGGCAGCTGGTGCTGCTGGTGTGTGACCAGGACCACGGTGCTGCTGGGAGGCGCGCACTCCAGCAGTCCACACACCACCTCGCGAACCGCGGCGGCGGTGCGGCTGATGACGATGATGTGAGCCGGCGGGGCGGCGGGAGGAGGAGCATGCGGAGGGGGGTGAGCATGAGGAGGTGCAGTAGCAGCGGGAGGAGGGAAGCCGGAGGGAGCCTGGGGGGTTGCTGCAGCAGCCGACGGCGAGCGCTGCTGTCGTGCGGCAGCAGCAGCAGCGGCAGCAGCGGTGCTGTCTCCTGCCTCCGTGCATGCCCGCCTGGGCTGAGCGAGGGGCGGAGGCGAGAAGGAGGGGGCCTCCGGACTCACCGTGTTGCGCCGCACCCCTCCCCCTCCACCACCACCACCACCGCCGTAGCCACCCCCATCAGCAGCTGGGGAGCAGCAGGCCAGCAAGGAGCAGGGTCCCCCTCCCCCTCCTCCCCCTCCTCCTCCTCCCGACCTGGGGCAGCAGCAGGGGGGCACCGGGTCGCTATGCCAGCCCTGCAGCGGCGCATCCCGCACCGCCGCCTCCGACTCCTCCTCCTCCCCCGGTTCCTGCAGCTCTATTGGGTCGGGCCGCTCTAATGCCTCCTCCTCCCCCTCCCCCTCCCCCTGAGGTAGCGGTGCTGCGGCGACATGGTCGTCGTCACCGCTGGCAGCGCTGAACGCCGCCTCCCGCACCCCCGCTGGCTTGTCCACCGCACCAGCCGCCGCCTTCGCCTTCGTCGTCTTCCCCACCTGCTGCTGCTGCTGCTCCCTCTTTCCGCCATCCTCCTCCGCCACAGTAGCCTCCCCGCGAGCTGCCGACGACGACGACGACCACCATGCCCTTCCAATCATCCCCCTCCACCAGCCGCCGCCTCTGCTCCCGCTGCTCCCCCGCCCCCGCCCTCCCGCCTCCTCCTGCCGCTCCACCACCAGCTGCAGCAGCCGGTCCCCCGGATACACGGGGCAGCTGTCCCGCGGGTTGAGTCGCAGGGTACCTGTTGCAGCGCACTGATAGCCCACCAGCACCACCGCCGCTGCACCCCCGTCACCACCCCCACCTGCACCCCCCCGTCGCCCCGCATGGAGCCGGGACGAACCCCCCACCGCAGCAGCACCACCACCCGCCCCTGCACCCGCCCCTGCATGCGTTACGAGTCGTTGCAGCCGGGGCGGCGGCCGCGGCGCCTCCAGCAGCGCTCGCACCTCCCGGAAGCTACAGCTGGTGCTGGCGGCGGCAGTGGCGGTGGTAGCGTTAGCGTTGCTGCTGGCCCCCAAGTGGGAGGGCAGCCGGCAGCGCCCCGCCAGCAGCTGCAGCCTAGCCACCCCGCCTCCGCCCCTACCTCCTCCTCCTCCTCCGCCGCCGCCGCCGCCATTGCCACCGGAAGGAGACGGCCCGCATGCGACTGGCCTGCTGCTCGCTGCCTGGCGTCGTGCCTCATCCCCGGAAGAGGAAAACGCCGCCGTCACCGTCACCGCCACCGCCGCCGCGGTGTCATCGCTGTCCGCCCCTCCCAGCTGCTCCGACCCGGCGCTCTGCATGCGGGCCAGCGGGGAGGCCTCCCCACCCAAGGAGCCGCTGCGGGCCATGAGGGGGGAGGAGGAGGGCGGGCAGGCGGCGGCGGCGGCGGAGGAGGAGGAGCCGGGGCCCTCGCTGATCCTGCCAGCAGCCGGCGGCGGCGGCGCCGCTGCTGCCGCCGCTGCCAGTGTTTGGTGATGAGGGGAGTTGTACGACAGGGTCCTCGGCAGTAGCGCCATGCGGCGGCGGCGGAGCCCAGCGGCTGTAGCATGCAAGCGGCTGTAGCTGCCGCCGGCGCCACCGCCACCGCTGGCGGCGCCGCCGCCGCTGCCGCGGCTGGCCAGTCCGGCTTTCCCTGCAGCAGCAGCAGCAGCTGCCGCTGCTGCGGTGGTGTTGGCACGTGCGGGTGTGGCGGGAGGCACTCCGGGCCACTCCACCCAGCGGAATCCAGTGCCCTCACCGTTGCCGCCGAACAGCCTGACATGGGGAGCGAGGAATGGCGGTGAGAGCAGCGATGCTTGCAGAACGGTTCCACACCGTATCCAGCTGGAGATCCGCTCCCTCTTCCCCCTCCTCCGTCTCCTCTTGCCCCCCCCCACCTGCCTCCCTCTATCCCCATTGCTTTGCCCTAACCTTTGGTTTTGGTACATCTCTCCCCCCCCCACCTTGCCATGACAGTGGCCACCCCCGGCTGCAGCACCGTCTGCGCCACCAGCCGGTCCACAATGCCGCGGTCGTGAACCTGGGGGCAGGGGAAGCAGCGGGAGGGGGGGGCAACAGTGGTGGGGGGGGCAGGGGGGGAGCGGCAGCAGCGGGGCAGAGGCAGGAGCAGCTGTATGTCAAGGGGCGAAAATAGCCGTGTGACAAGGGATGCTCTACCATGGGTTGCTAGAAACAACCCCCCCCTTCCTCCCCCCGCCCCCACGCACACCACCCCGCACCTCAATCACCAGGCTGCGCTGCCCCTCCGCAGCGGCCAGCGAGCGGAAGGTGGAGATGGGACCGAGGTGCCCGCCGCCGCCTGCCACACCCCCGCCGCCTCCTGCACCCCCACCCGCAGTCACATGCGGCTGCTGCTGCTGCTGCGGAGGGGACAGCAGCAGCAGCTGCGGGATCATCACAGGGGGCAGCAGCTGTGCAGGCGGGGCGGCTGCGGGCGCCTGCACCACCACGGTGGGCTGCGGGCGGGGAGGGGCGCGGCGGCGAACCCAGGTGCCGCCTGATGATGAGGAGGCTGATGTGAGTGTCCCGGAGGCTGCCTTGTGGCCCCCTGCATGGGCGTGGTGGTGGTGGTGGGTGCCCTGCAGCACCAGGCTGAGACACATGAGCGCCTGGGCCTGAGGGGGGGGAGATGGAGTAGGGGGGGGAGTCGGAGGGGAAGTGGGGAGTATGTATACCGGATCAGCGTGGTTATGCAGGTAGGCTGCCGTACGCGGGTCGCTGCATGCAGGTAGGCTGCCGTGCATACCTGCAGGCAAGCTGCTGCTCCCGCCGCCGCCGCCTCCCCCGAGGCAGCGACCCGCGGGTCGGCCAGCAGCACCAGGTATGCGGCTGAGGCGGCGCACACTCGCGCCAGGTCGTCCGTACGGCAGCAGGAGCCCAGCCGCAGGTGCCACTCGCAGCTGCCGCGACCCTGGCAGGTGGGGGAGAGGGATAGGGATACATAGTTCGCATGGGATACCGGTACATGTTCCGCATACCGGTATGGCGCAAGCGGGCAGGGGAGCCCGGGGAGCAGGGAGGGAAGCAGGGGAGGGCAAATGGCGCATGCACGGGTAAAACACTTATAAGGGTAGGTAGGTAGGTTAGGGAGAGAGAGACAGGGAGCTTAGCTGTCCATGTAAGCTGACATTTCCCCTCTTGTCCTGTCCTATCTCACGAGACACCTGCATACCCGCGCCCCCACCCCTCCCGCAAACCATTATGACGCCTCATCACACGGTTCAGTTACTTGTTTCCTCTCTACCCACCCCTCCCGCGCCACACCTGCAATGCGTCCGCCACCACGCGCCGCATGGTCCCCTCCACATCCGCACCACCACCACCGCCCCCAGCAGCAGCAGCAGCACCCCTGCCCCGCCCCGCCCCCGCCGAAGGGGACGCCGCCACCGGCGGAGGCGGCGCCGCCAGTACGACAATGGGCCTGCCGTACAGCGGCGATCCCTGCCGTACCACGTCCTCCGCCAGCTGCCGCAGCAGCGCCACGGCGGTGGCGTCGGGTGTGAAGTTGAGGAGGAGGACGTGGTCGGAGAGGAGCAGCGGGGCGCCGCCTGGGGCAATGGGGAGGGGGGGAGGAGGAGGAGGAGGAAGGGGGGGAATGAAGACGCAGTTATGGGAAGGAGATAAACCCAAGCGTACAACAGCCCTACCCCGTTTCCCCTCCCTGCCGCCATTGCACATGCGGCCTTCCTGCCGCCCCCACCCCCCACCCACCCAGCCATCCGCACGGGCCACCACTACTTCACACCTGGGTATTATTCTCTTTTAACCCCCGCCCCCCTCCCACGCACCCGCCCTCAGCGCCTTGACTGTCGCCTTCACCTCCTCCCCGATCAGCCCCAGCAGGATCGCGAATCCAAACGTGCCGAACAGGAACACGGCGTTCAGTACGGCAGCGCTGGCGGGCGGCTCGTCCAGTCGTACGGCACCCAGGGAGGGAACCCTGCGTACAGGTAAGTCTCATCTTTGCGGTAAGCCCATTTGATGTTTTGGCTTGGCTTGACTACTTCTGGTGGGGTGGTATGGGCCGGGTCCAATGTAGCAACCCATGTTGTAGCCTCGTCATACAGCTTGTTAGTTTCCTCTTGTTGCACCCTTCCCCCCACCTGAAGAGCAGGCCGTACACTAGATAGGCGGAGGTTGACCAGGGTTGACCGCTGGCGAGGGCGTGTACGGCACCACCCAGCAGAATGAAGGGCAGCGTGAGTGCGGCCAGCAGCACCAGACGCAGCCTGGGAGGCGGGAAGGAGGATGGTTGATTAGGGCTTGGGGCACGCAGGGCAGGGGCTGGGACATCCGCAGGTTGAGGTAACAACGGCTGTTCGGTGGGTGATAATGGAGAGGCGGATATTTTCTTCTTTCTAAATTGAAGACAAGGTGAACCAAGAGTTCTCAAATCTGTCGTCGTGTGCAGCGGAGTCAGGTTGAAGCTCAATTCAATGGACAGCTGACGGATGTCGCTTGAGATGCTGCCACATTTGGGTTAAGACAACAGCACTATGGGCAATCTTAGATGGACATAACTTTTTTTCCTTAGAGCTGATCCACTTGCTGACCAAATCAGAAGCTTACAAGCTGCCGAGCTGGAGCGTTGTAGATAAACATAGCCGTCCAAGCGGCACACACAGCTGCATGTGCGCACCTGAAGTCGAGGATAGTGCTGAGTAACAACCTTGAGCTGAGGGACGCCAGGCGTCTGCGAACTGCCTCACGGCGAGAATTCTGCGCCAGCATCTCGTGAAATTCGGTCTGGAAATACGTCCGCTTTACTTCATAGCTACAAGGTCATCCTCCATCATCGTTACTGTTCACCCCTTAGGGGTTCCAATAGGGACATGGCAGGCAACAGTCGTTGCGAAATCCCAAACGCGTCCACACTGTAAGCTTTAGGGACCACAGCACATGTCTCTCACACTGTCATACGACATAAAGTTGTAATTGTTTCTGCGCTCTTCAACGTTCTTAGCGAACTTCCGTCCTGTGCCGTCCAACTGCCGTGCATTCACTAACGGCAACCAGTAGCCTGGCCTGGAGCAACACCGGCCACACCCACCACGTGCACAACCCGACAAGCTACTGAACGCGCCTTCCTCCAAGCCAACACAAATCACTAGTTAAAGGCAAAAGCCCCACGAGCTATACCCTAACCAACCACGGTCCCGTTTCCGTACAGCCACAGCGCTCCCCCAACCCCAGATCTGCAACACGATACCCCGTCAGATAACACAGCCGCACGGTACACGGTCAACGGGCGAATGCATTTGCGGTTAACCCGACCCCCAGGCCATCACCCCTTAACGCAAACCCAGGCCACCCAGGGCATGTCACCGCATTCCACCGACATAACGACCGCACCAGCGCCCGGCTAATCCCTAGACGCCATCCCCTAACGAATTACCCCCGTCCCCGACCAGACGGCCCCGTCTTGGCTTTGGCAGCAGCGCGCACCGCGGCGGCCCGACCGCGACCACCCACACCCAGCGCCATGTTCTTGTTCTTGAACTTGGGATCAATGCGCTTGAACATAGGCGCGTTCTTGAGCATGTCCGGGATGATGAAGAAGCGTACACGGCTGCCGCGAATGTAAATGTGCGCCAATTGCGACACCCTGCCGTCGCGGCCGGTGGCCGTCACGTCCTTCAGCTGGCAGTTCATGTTATCCTCCGCCTCTGATAGCTCGCCGCGGTACATTTCTCCAGTCTTTAGCTCCACTGTAACCACATGGCCCTCTGCTTCGTGAAGAAGCTTCACCGGAATGCCAATGCCCTTCTGACTAGTAGCCATGCTGCTCTAGGGGTTTGAGCACGTGGTAGGCCCTAAGAACACGGCCAGTCCACGGCCCCAAGGCGGCTCGACGATCCTCCGCTGATAGACCCTGCTTCCCAGGCCTTTCTTTACTTCTGTAGTATCCTAATAACGGTTAACCCTTGAACCTTGTTTAAAAAGCTCTTGACAAAGATCAGGAACCTATTAAAGCAAAGTGTTCAAATGCTTTGAGTTGTGCGCTAGCAGAGTAACAGTCAGATAATGACCCACTGCACGTCTACAGTAAAAAGTAATGTTGGCACGGCCGAGTGTGCGTGTAGAGGAGGGAAATATGTGTACGGATGCCTTGCCACACCAGGTGTGATGCTAAAGCTTTGCTACATGCACGCTAACGCTGTAAATAAACGTCATACTGTTCATCCTTTCTAGGTACAAATGCATAGCCAGGATAGCAGCTTTGGCGTCTTTACGATTTAGGGCACTTGCATCTCCGCCTGCCACTCACGGCTTGCCAGCAAACCGTGCAAGCCCAATGCGATCGTCTTGTTGCCGCCTCCTTGTTGGCGCCGCTCGCCAAACAGCCTTCGCGTCTTCTCGAGTTCCATCCGCAGCATCAGCGGCTGATGAGGCCGGACCAGCCCTCTTCCACGCAACCACATGCATCATCAACAACAACAATTTAAACTCTACACCCTACCTATCCTCCTTGCTCCTAATCCCGACCGGCCTCCTCCCCCACCCCTCGTGCACCGCCTCCTCAGCTGCCTCCCTCCTCCTTCCCACCTCCCATCGAGCCCTCGCCACCTCCACCCCCACCCACCTCTCCTCCGCCACATCCCCTGAACCCCCCTCCTCCTCCTCCTCCTCCTCCTCCTCCTCCTCCTCCTCCTCCACCTCCTCCTCTTCCAGCCGACAGCCCCCCCGCAGCAAGACGCCCCGCCATACCCGCCCTCCCGCTGTCACCCCCGCCACCAAACCCAGCCCGCTACCCGGTCCCCTCCTCCGCGGCCCCAAAAGCCCCGGAACCCCAGGCGCCGTCAAAGGGGGGCCGGGACCCAAGGCCGCAGCCGCCGCCGCCGCCGCCAAGTCCCTGGGCGGGCAGCGGCCGCTGCTGCCGCGTGCCGCCCGGCGTCAACTCGACGCGCTGCTGGCGGAGGTGCCGCTGCCGCCGCCGCCGCAGCTGATGCCGTACAACGGCCGTACGGAAGCGGCGGAGGGAGCTGAGGGGGCGCGAAGCGTGCATGTGACGGGGTTTTACCTGGGTCACCCGTTGCCTCCCTCCACTGCCGCTGCGCTGGTTGCTCAGCTGCGGTCCCGGCCGCTGGCTCCGGGGTTGCAGTTGGCGGCGGTGGCACCGGATAGCGAGCACACGCTACTGGTGATGAGGGCAGAAGCGGAGTCGGGGGCGGGAACAGAGGGGACAGCGGGTACGCTAGGTTTGGGGCATGGAGCAGAGATCAGCATTCCATTGACTTCCTCTTCCTCCGGAGGAGCAGGAGGAGCAGGCGGGATAGCAGCAGCAGCAGGTGGGGGAGCAGGGACCCCAGCGGGCGCCCCTCCCGCGGAGGCTCAAGCAGCTGAGGTAGCGGCAGGGGAGGGCAGCGAGGCAGCTGCAGCGGCGCAAGAGGCGACACAGGAAGCGGCCAGCAGCAGCAACCAGCCAGTCCCCCCACCTACCTCCTGCATGGCGATCATGCTGCTCGAATATGGGGGAGTCGCGTTCTTCAACGTCCCCGAGCCCCTCATGCTGGCAGCTCTAGGGAGGCTGGCGGGACTGGCGTTGCCGCCCTCGCAGCTAGCGGAGCTGCCGCCGCTGCCGGGGGCTGCTGGCGGTGGTATGACCCGTGGGTCGGTGTCGTCAGCAGGGTCGGCAGGGGGGGTGACGGCGGGTATCAGTGGGTATGGGCTGCAGGGAGCCGCTTTGGAGTCGTGGCGGGCGGCGGCCAGTGAGAAGCTGCACAAGGAGGGTGAGTGGCAGGGGGGAAACATTAGTGAAAAGTGAAGCAACAGAGTCCCAATCCCATATCCTGGCTAATGCAGGAGGGGAGGGAGGGACTGGAAGGGAGGGAAATGGCACTGCACACCGAATCCTGGACCCGGCAACCAGGACACCTCTCTGCGGACACAGCCAACGCCATGTTACCACGTCAACGTTCATCTTGGCGGTTCCCCCCTCCCCTGCCTGCTCCCACCCTCCCCTGCCTGCTCCCACCCTCCCCTGCCTGCTCCCACCCTCCCCTCCCCTTCCCTCCCTCCCCTCCCCCCTCCCCCTCCCCCTCCCCTCCCAACAGAGCAGCTAGTGCTTGTGGCCGCCCCCCCGGCTGACGGCGCCCTCCCCCGCGGCCGGCCCAAGGGCAGCGGGGGGCGGTGGATCCGCAAGCTGGATGACGCGTTCCACATCCGGGTGGGTGGGGGGGTGGGGGGGAGAGGGGTTGAGGAAGGGGGTGAGCTAAGGGGCAGCAGGGGGAAAGGTGGAGCGCTGGGCAGGTCCCAGGGGATGCGGTTCCACTTCTCCACCCACTTGGCTGCTGCCGCTGCGGCTCGGAGTGCATTGCTGGCGGCGGCTGAGAGGTGGGGGGGCTGAGCGGTTCGGCAGCTCCCCCCACCTCCACCCTCCCCACACCTCTCCCTCCTCCAAACACGGGTGTTCTCCTCTCCCCCGCATCAAACAGGAGTGGGACAGTATCAACCTGGAGAGCGCCGCACGGGTGGTCACCCAGTCCGCAGCCATCCGCTGCTACAACAGCCAGTGCGAGGACATGCTAGAGAGGTGGGGGGGGGGTTGTGTATGGGGGAGGGAGGGGGGGGTGAGGGGGGGTGATATAAGAAATGCAAACAACTAGAGGGGAGGGGGGGGGGAGGGGGGGGAGGTAGTAAGGATGGGTAGTGCGCCTGCTCCCTGTGTTTTTCTCCCCGCCCGTTGCGGATATAACCCTATGCACCCTGGCCAGTTTTTTCTGGCCAGTTTTCACTGGCCAGTTTTCCTAACACAACCTCCCCTCCCCTCCTCCTCCCTCCCCCTCCCGCCCCCAGGTATGAGACCATCATGCCCCTGGGAAGTGAGCCCTCCGAGCCGGCCAGCCTGGGCGAGCGGCTGATGTGGTGGCGGAGCAGGCTGCCGCTGCGGGACCTGCGGCAGATGGTGCTCAAGAGGTGGGGGGGAGGGGGAAGGAAGGGAGGGAGGGAAGGGAGGGAGGGGAGGGAGGGAGGGGAGGGAGGGGAGGGAGGGGTAGAAAGAATACCTCATGTGTGTGTGGGGGGGGGGAGTGAGGGAGGGGCAGGGGCGGGAGCGCGCTAGGAGTGAAGCAAAACAGGGATCCCATGTGCTCCCCCCCCCCTTCCCCCCCATACACGCACGCACACACGCCCCCCCCCAGCTCCGGCATCCGCGTGCGGCTGTTCAGCCGGCTGGGTCTGCGCGAGCCGCCCGCCAGCACCTGGGAGAGCGCGAGGCACCACGCGGTGTGGGAGGCCATGCGGCGGGAGTTCGAGCTGGAGGAGCGGAGCGAGACCATCATGGACAAGGTGGGGGGGAGGGGGGGAGGGGGGGAGGGGGGGAGGGGGGGAGGGGGGGAGGGGGGGAGGGGGGGAGGGGGGGAGGGGGGGAGGGGGGGAGGGGGGGAGGGGGGGAGGGGGGGAGGGGGGGAGGGGGGGAGGGGGGGAGGGGGGGAGGAGGGGAGGGGGGAGGGAGGGAGGGAGGGAGGAGGGGAGGGAGGAGGGGAGGAGGGGAGGAGGGGAGGGGGGGAGGGGGGGAGGGGGGGAGGGATCCGCCTGCATGCCCAGCCGGGGCTGCCGTACAGCTGCCGTACAGCTGCCGTACAGCTGCCGTACAGCTGCCGTACAGCTGCCGTACAGCTGCCGTTCCCTTGTGCCTAACGTATCCCCCCTCCCCCCCCCCTCCCGATAGAGTCTCCAAATGCGGTCACTGCATGAGTCGGGATATGGGATTGGGACTCGTTGCCGCGCATATCATTTGTTTCCCCCCCTCCCGCACCCACCCACCCACCTCCCCTGCAGACCGAGCTGCTGAAGCAGTCCTGTCTTGACCTCATCTCCGCCAACAACGAGTCCTTCACGAAGCGCTCCGAGCTGTCCATTATCCTGCTCATCAGCGCGGAGATCGCGATCAGCCTGACGGGCTTGCACGGGCTGCTGGGGTGGGGCAGTCTGTGTGAGGGGGCGGAGTGGGTGGCGCGGGAGGTGCTGGGGGCGGGCGGGAAGTAGCAGGGTAAAAAGAGGAAACTGACAAGCTAGGGGTAGGGGGGTGGGGGTTGCATCCAGGAGGGGTGAAAGGGTGTAGCCGCCAGCGGGCTGCTGCGGTGGGGTTGGTGTTTGGCGGGCTCCAGGGAGGGGGGCGAGCGGTCTGTAGCGGGCGGTGGTGTACGGGGCAGGCGTGCAGGGGGGGGTTAGGGCGAGGTAGGACGGAGGTGGAGGTGGTGGCGTGCGGGGTGCTTGCGGCTTGCGGCTTGCGGCTTGCAGGGGACCGGGCAGCGAGCGCAGCCGTGTGTGTGTTAGGAAAACTGGCCGCGAGTCGGAACGTAACTGTGTGCCGTGTGCTTGCCGGTGTGTGTTCATGCGTGTCAGTCCGCGGCTGGTGAGCAGTAGTGAGCAGTGTACCCGCATGCATGTCCTTCACAAGCAGCAACACCGCCGCAAGGAACGTCGCCACATGCAGCAACACCGCCGAGGGGAACGAGAACGAAAGAAACTCTCTTTGCATGTGCGTGAGGGGTGTGTGCAGGGGAGGGAGGGAGGCAGGGAGGACGGTCGCATGGATGCGAGGATGGGGATAGGTGCAGCATGCAGGCACGAACGGCAAGGGAGCTGTGTGGAGGGGCCTTTCAGGGGCCTGCTTGCTTAGCTGCCTGCGTGCCAGGGGGAGCTAGCAGCTTGCACGAGAGGGATGCCGTGCGGACCGATTGAGGTGTGGAGAGCGAAGAGAAAGATGTGTATTCTTTTTAGCCTGCGTTGTGGTGGCGGTGGGCTTAGGGTGCAATAATGTAGTTCTACGGCTTTGGGGTTCACGTGCTATAGCTGCGCGTATTGCTATTGGGGGGAGGGGCGGGCTGCTGCTGTCCCCGTGTGCGTGCGTGTGCGTGTTATTAACTTACCTGGCCCCATCACAGACACCATGTGCCCATGTGCCCATGTGATGTGATGCTTCATGGTGGCAGGGTTTCAACCTGTCAGCTAGCATCGCTTGTGCATGTGCTATGTACCGGTCTATAAGCCTGCCTGGGGCACCATGCAGCAGCAGCAGCAGCAGCAGCAGCCCCAAACGCGTGTTTGATGAACAGCTCCGTGTAAGGGCTTGCAGGGTTCGGTAATCGTACACCAACCCGTTAGCCTCCCCCATGCGGCCCCACCACGCGTGCACCGCCGCCACCGGGTGTTGCCGTCGGGCTGCCTCTCCTTCCTCCGTATACGTCGACCACACCTCCCCGCGCGATCCAGCCCCTCTCTCATTAGGCATTAACAATTACCCCTTTCCCCAATCGGAAGATGTGATGGGTAAAAGGCAGAGAGAGGTGGAGTGCTCGCAAGGGCAGGCTAGCAGGCTAGGATGGCGTTCCTCCATTACTCATATGAGGTTGGTTGATTTCGGTTTAACTTTGTTGCACGGACAATCTCCAGCAATCTTTCAGCTTGCTAAGGACACGTGCCCTAGTTTTGTTAAGGGAAGGACTTCCACGCCGCGAAACGGGGAGTTGTGCGAGGTACCATCTCTTGATGCGCCCGGCAGAGGCCGACTAATAAGCAAGCAGAATTCGCTATTCCTATCCACGCAAACTACTCCAATTTATCTCAACATATAAGGCCTTCCAACTAGTAACACTCGTTCCTGCCATTTACTGGAGCGAGCTCCTCTGCCGTGCGATTGACTGGCGAGGCTCCCCCGGCTCCAGCCGCTGCTGCCTCTCCGCCCCCATCCTCGCTCGCTCAGGCCCCATGGCCCCACTGCCTTGCGGCGCCAAGCATCGTCCCCAACCGCACCGCCCCCTCCTCCACCACCACCGTCAAACCCCGGGGCGGCTGCTTCCAACAGCAGCACCCCCAGCAGCAGCGGTACCCGCAGCACCACCCCTGCTGACGACACGAGGCCGCTGCCGTGCCTGTCCCTCCTCCTCCTTGACACCAGCTTTGCACACCTCCACCCGCACCTCCACCATCGTTATCCGCCGCCGCAGCAGCCTTGTGTGTAACAACAGCGGCCTTGGCTGCGCTGCTGCCACCGCTGCCACCGGTGTTGCCACCCAGGTTGCCACCCGGGGCCATGTTGACAAGGATAACATCTCCTCCGGCAGCAGCGACAATAGGGTTCATCGCCCGTGTCCCCTTTTGGGGAACCATTGTAACGGTGATTCATTTGAGGAGGGCGGCAGCAGCGGCAGCAGTCAAAGGAGCACCAACGCCCCCGCCGCCGCTGATGACGACACCCGCTGTTATTGTCATGCAGACGAAAACAACAACCGCCGTGGGAACCACACCAAGAGCGAAGAGAGCAGTCAATGTAGACGAATTAGCACTGACGAGGAAAGTGAAAAGACTGAAAACGACCCCATCGGAGTTGCTCTGCGGCAAGCAGCCGCGCAGCGGGAGCGGCTGGCAGCAGTGCTGGGGGCGGGGGGCGGTGACGGGGGCGCGGGGGCGGTGCGGGTGGTGATAGATTGCGGCTTCATGCATGCGATCAGCTCACCCGCAGAGGTACGTACGGCGGGCTGGGGTGGGGTGAGGCAGGGGGGCAGGCGGCGGGGGTGGGTAAAGAGGAAGGGGTGGTGTGTGGAAGGAGGCGGGGGAGGCGGATCAGGGGAGGCGGAAGAGGGAGTCTGCGTACGGAGGCTAGTGAGGACTACCCCCTCCCCTCTATATCCTGAACCACCCTCCCCCACGCTTCTGTTTCCATATTAATCCCCCACCAGTTTGTCGTCTTGTCTGACCTTCTCAACCAACAAACTGGGTTTCCTTCTCCCCCCCCCTCCTCCCCCCCTCACGATAGTTCCGCAGCCTGGCCAAGCAAATCCAGTCGGCGGTGGCGCACAACCGCCGGGCGCAGCAGCCGGTGTGCTTGGAGGTGGGGCGGGAGGGGCCGGGTGCGGGTGTGGGGAGTAAAGATAAGGAAACGGGGGGGAAGCGGGGCGCGCCTAGCGGGGTGCGCCTAGGCTGGTGGGGGGAAGCGGGGTGCTAACCAACACTCGATTTATGGCACTCTGCCGCCTCTTTCCCCCGTGGGTTTGCCCGTATTTGTGGTTTACCGTGGTTCGGTCTATGCTTTGACCCCCTCCCAACTGACCCCACCTCACGTTACCCAGCACCCATCCTCTTCCTCCCGTTCCTCCCATTCCCCCCACTCACCTTGCCATACAGTTCCCTGTTTCCCTCAATCCCCCCCCATCCCCCCCATCCCCCAGGTGACCAGCTGGGTGGGGGAGCTGAGGGCCTACGCGGAGGGGCGCATGGGCGGGGCAGCCTGGCCGCTGGTGAAGCATTCGGAGGTGGGGGGGAGGAGGAAAACATAAATGAAAAGTGAAGCAACGGAGTCCCAATCCCATTTTCCAACTCATGCAGTGAGCGCATACGGAGACATAGGAGGGAAGTTCAGGAGGGAGGGAACGGGGGGAAAATATAAAGATAAGTGCAGCAACGGAGTCCCAATCCCATCGGGGGGAACGGGGGGTGTGTGGGACCTGTGCTCCCAGCTGAACGCCCCTCTCCTAGTGCCTACTGCCCTCACTGTCCCTTTGCCCTAACGTGAGGGTGGTTTCCTGTGGTTCGGTCGACCGGTGTGGTCGGTATGACCCCTAACCATACGTGTTATCTTGGTACATGTCCTGCCCCATGTCCTGCCCCATGTCCTGCCCCGGTCCCCCCCCTCTTGCATGCAGTCCTAACCTGTGCCTTAACTGTTGGGTTCCTATGGTATGGTCTTTTACCTCGCCCGCATGCATGCAGTCCACGTTGCAGCTGTACGACCCACGGGTCATCACGTCCCCCCCGCATGCATGCAGTCCACGTTGCAGCTGTACGACCCACGGGTCATCACGCCCCCCCGCATGCATGCAGTCCACGTTGCAGCTGTACGACCCACGGGTCATCACGTCCCCCCCCCGCATGCATGCAGTCCACGTTGCAGCTGTACGACCCACGGGTCATCACGCCCCCCCGCATGCATGCAGTCCACGTTGCAGCTGTACGACCCACGGGTCATCACGCCCCCCCGCACGCATGCAGTCCACGTTGCAGCTGTACGACCCACGGGTCATCACGTCCCCCCCCGCATCAGTGTTTCCGCGGCTCAGTTTATCTAATCCCCCGCATGCATGCAGTCCACGTTGCAGCTGTACGACCCACGGGTCATCACGCCCCCCCCCGCATGCATGCAGTCCACGTTGCAGCTGTACGACCCACGGGTCATCACGCCCCCCCCGCATGCATGCAGTCCACGTTGCAGCTGTACGACCCACGGGTCATCACGGTCCTCTCCCCCGATGCGGAGCAGCCGCTGACGGCGCTGCAGCCCGGCGGGGTGTACGTGGTGGGAGGGGTGGTGGACCGCAGCGTGCGGAGGGGGCTCACGGCGGGGTGGGCGGTGAGCGGGGGGGAGGGAGGGAGCGGAGGGGGGGGGGCCGGGCGGGGTGGGTGAGGGTCAGAGAGTGAGGGTGTAGGAGCCTTCGGAGGGTACTTAGGGGAGGAAGCTGAACCCCCTTTGCAGGTTTCAGGCTTCTCCCTCTTTTGCCGCACTTACCCTCTTTACCCTTTTACGCCCACCGCCCTCCTGGCCCTGGCCACACGCCCCCCCCCTCCCTGCAGGCGCACCACGGGATGACGGCCCGGCGGCTACCGACGGAGGAGTTTGCGGATCAGCTGGGGCTGGGGCGGGGAGTGGCACGGAGGTGGGGGTGAGGGGGGCAGGGGGCGGGGGTGGGCAGGAGGAGGGCTGAGCCAGGTAGGTTGTGGCGCCGGGCTTTCCCCCCCCCCCTGCAAACCCATACTTGTTTTTGTGGCACCCTGTTTAGCTTTCTTCTTCTTTATTGGAGCGTGTCGCGTCGCCAAAGGCGAATCGGCGAAGCACAAAGTGCCAGCGTCACTGGCTTGTCTTGCCCCAACCTGTGGCTTCCTATGGTTCGGTATGGTCTTTAAGACTTTGACCCCCCCTGCATGCATGCATGCGTGCGGTGGGTCTCAGGGTCGCGCCTTGCCCTCCCTCCTTTGCCATGATCTAATACAAGCTTTTAACACGCTGGGTAAACCTTCTTTCCCTCAAGATTTTACCTAGGCACGCCGCTGTCCGTAGAGTGCCTTCCAATCTACCTTTGCTCCTCACCTGTGATTGCCATTAGAGCGGGCGGGTGTCTCCCTGACCCCCCTAAACGTAATGGCTAGCCTAATTCGGGCTGGGCGGGTCGGGCTGGCTCACATGTTGCATCCTTGCAAACCATGATGACGCCTTATCACACGGGCACTTGAGTTATTTCCTCTTCACACCCCTTCGCTGCCCCCCTTCGCTGCCCCCCTTCGCTGCCCCCCTTCGCTGCCCCCCTTCGCTGCCCCCCTTCGCTGCCCCCCTTCGCTGCCCCCCTCAGGCCGGTTCTCAACATCTGCGGGGTGGTGGCCGCACTGCTGCGCTGGCGGGACAACGGGGGCGACTGGGCGGACGCGCTGCAAGCTGCCATACCGCCGCGCAAGCGACGATAAACAGCAACATAGGGGCGGAAGGCGGCGTGGGGGAGGGCGGGGCCAGGAGCGGGAGGGGAGGGGGGCAACGGAAAAGAAGTGAAGCAGAATCCGATGTGATTCCATATGTAGTGTAAACAGCTGTTGATATCTTTGCTTGGCTCATGACGCCCGATGTCAGTGCATAGTGCCTCATCGTAGAGGGCTAGGTGGTTCGTGATGGCACGTGGGGTGGCCGGGCTCCGCAGTTGCAATGTCGTCGATTTCCATCAATTCTATCATGTCCAGGGAAGTTGGACTCGGTCTGGAGGGCTGCGACTCACCGTAGCTAGCCAGCCATGTCCAGTCTGCCAGGCACATATGGAGCGAAAAACAGGAATTGTAACCAGGAACACGCTCTCTGCCTTAGTCATGGGAACAAGTACGGCGGAGCAGCGAACGTTCGATGTTAGATATGTTTTGCGCATGTTTTGTTAATTACATGGCTTCACCTTTTTCAATGCTAAGAGCACAATGGCGATACTCGGATTCCGCGATCCTATCATATCTGCGTCTCCCTACGCTGCTCCATATGCGCCTATTGTGCAGCCACTACTTTTCATTTTGTGGGCTTGTTTTACCCGTGCGCACAGTCAAGGGTTAACCTGCAAGCCGCAGGCAAGCGAGCTATGTATTGCAACGCCTTTTGCCAATTCCCACTTCTTTCACCGATCAAGACTTAGCCAGCGCCCTCTTTACGGATCACTGTAGGAAGGACTGCCGCTCACACAGCCTTACCCGCCAGCTTACTTTCAAGCAAAGAAGTTGCCGGGATGCCCACAGGTGCGGATGGATTGACCGCCGTGGGTGAAAACGAACTGCTGCAGCGACGCGGCCTTCGAAAGACAAAGCGACGCTTGTCCTTACCAACAAAGCACGGTCAGCAGCAAACACCCATGTCTGCCCCTCCACCTTCTAAGCACGCCCTGTCTGCTTCCTCCCTCCCTCCCTTGACCCTCTTCCTCTTTCACCTCTTCCCTCCCTCCACCTCCCTCCACCCTCCACCTCCCTCCAGTATTCCTGCAGCTGCTGCAACCTCACGCACGGCCTCTCCCTGCACCGGGCACTCCGAGCGGCTGCGGAGGACCCCGGCTTCAGCCGCCCCTGCGCCGCCTGGCTGGGCCGCATGGCCTGCCGCGTGTGTGACCCCGAGGTGGGGCCATGGTGAGGAGGAGCGGGGGAACGAGGGTGGCAGGGGGCAGGGTGGGGAGCGGGGTGGTGGTGGTAAGGGTGAGGAGGGTGGCCTCCTCCGCGCCGTCACGCACACACACTCGCGGGGAAGGGGAAAGGCAGCAGCAACTCCACCACCCCGCTCATGCAGCTGTGCCTCTCTTCCCTCACCTCTCCCTCCTATACCGGGTACCTTTTTCCGCCTGCTCCCGGCCCCTCCTCTCTGCACATTGGGTATTCTTCTTTTCCCTTCAATCAACATGGCCTCACCGGCAACGTACTGCACTGGTTATTCTTCTTCCCCCTCCCCCTGCAGGTGGGGGTGGGGCTGAAACCCGCAGTCTGCCAGTCCGCATGCGATCAGTGGCTGACCGCATGCGCCGACGAGTACTTCACACTCGGAGAAAACAGCGCCTTCGAGCCGCGGTTGCTGCCGTGCGCAGCCAGAGGGGGGGCTGGGGCGGGGACGGGGACGGGGGCAGCTGCCTCCTCTTCTTCCTCCGCCTCTCCCGGCTCCTCATCCTCCTCCCCCTCGTCGGGGGGTCCACTGCTGTGCTGGCGGCTGGGGGATGTGGCGCCGACCGGCACCGAGCTATGCCGGGAAGCAGGTGTGTGGTTGCATGTTTGTTAGGAAAACTGGCCGTTGTGCGCGTGTGTGTGTTTTGGAGGGTGCGGGTTGCGGGGCGGGCGGGGGCGGGGCGGGGCGGGGACAGCGCCGTCGTTCAGTCGCCCTGCCATCTGCCCATACTAGCCGCGAAGGAGTAAAGCCCCTGGTACCACCGCTCTTCTTAGCAGCGTCTTCAGTTCCTCCTCTTCGCTTCCTTCGTCCCGCCCCCTTTTCCCCCGGCCGCACCCCAGGCTTCACCGTAGCTCCCTCTCCCTCCGAAACCGGCGAGGGCGACGCGGAGGGTAGTGGGGAACCTGCCTGCTTCGACGGCACCCCCACCTACAGCACCCACTTCTGTGAGCAGCCGCCCCCGCCCCCGCAGCAGCGGCAGCAGGCGCGGAGAAAGGCGGCGGCGGCGGGCAGTGGTGGCGGAGGGGCGGCTGGGGAGGGGTCAGCGCTGCTAGGGGCGGGTAGCCGGCTGCTGCTGCTGCTGGCTGCCGGGGTGGCAGCGGGAGCGGCCTGGCTGGGGTATTTGAGATACGTGAAGCGACGGGGCATGATGCAGGTGGGTGGGGTGAGGGGGCAACTGGGCATGTTTGGAAAGGGGGCGGGCTGGATGGGTGGTTGTTGGGTCTGCTGCGTACGTCTGTGTGTATCGGTCGATCTCACCCCGCCCTGTTCCACCCCGCCGTGCGTTGGCCGGCTCCGCAAACCCGCGCTCCCAACACCCCCCTCCACGGTCAGCCATTCATGCGGCTCAGTTTACCGGTAGTAACCACCCAACTACCTCCATGCTGCACACATATACACACCCGCAGGCGCTCATGCAGGACGCCCGCCCGCCTCCCTCGACCCAGCCCACCGCTGAGCAGCTGCGACAGCTGCGGTTGCGGCAGCTGGCCAAACGCACGTGATGCTGATACTGATGAGATGGTGATGGTGCCTGGTGTCATGGTGATGATGTCGACCTGACGAGATGTGTGTCCGGCACTCGGGAAGTGCGCTTCAGGGCAGACCCCACCGCGATGAGGCGGGCAGCTGCATGAGGGAGGGGCGCACGAGCTGAGGTGGCTGCAGGAGGTGGGGCTTCTGTTGTGGCTTCAAGCTGAGCTGAGCAAGTCAAAGGAGAAGGAGGAGGAGGAGACGTGCGGGGGCAGCGTGCGAGGGCTTTTGGTGGCAGGGGATGGCATGTCCGTGTGTGCTTGTGCGTTCCCGCCGCCCCCCTGGGAGCGATGCGGGGCGTGACAAGAGCCACGGCTTCCTTGCTTTGGAAGCCTTCGCTATCAACCGGACACTTGCACAGGTACATGAGACATGAGACCGACAGCTGGTTATTGTGACGGCCTGCTGTGCGAACGTGACACCTCATTCGGAGAGGCGCAATCAGCCATCCTGCACAGCTGTGCTCACAAGGGTGTCGTGCAGTACCGCCTCAGCAGCAGCAGCAGTACGAGTGTACGACGCACATTCCCCCCACCGAAACACACACCCTCATGGGGGCAGCACCCCCACCCCCACCCCCATCCACCACGACACCCTGATGGCGCCCCTCTCCTCCCAGCGGCAGCGCACCAACAAAACACGACATGACACAACACACGAGCCGAGCAAAGTAGTGTACACGAGGCGAGCAGTTGTATAGCGGGGGGGTCACGAAACAAGGCATCACACCCTTCCCCCCCCCCACACACAAAAACACACCGTCTTTAGTCTTCACGAACAAACGCAAGAAGCGAACTCTTCTCCCGCACACCCACACGAAAGGTACTTCCTACCCCCGCACAAAGAACCTCCCTGCAGTAAACGGAAACGAAGCGCACCTAATACCTATCACTTATAGCCCTACCCCTATCACCTATAGCCCTCACCCCCTTGGTTGTGCTCTCACCCCCCCCCCCCCACCCCTCTCCTATCGCCCCCTCACCCCACCAGCCCGCCGCCCTCCCCCTCCCCGCCCGCCCCCTCATGCGCCATCATGTCCATGCGCCCCATGAAGCTCTTCTCGGGCGACACGAACGCAAGGTTGGTGACGTGGCTCGTGTACAGGCAGGCGTAGCGCTCGATCTGGGGGGGGAGAGGAGGAGGGAGGAAGAAGAATACCCAATGTGTTGAATGAGGAGGGCAAAATGAGAGGGGTTAACAAGACGACAAGACACCCTCCTATCCCCGCTTTCGCTTTCTTCCAAAGCGGTTTTCTTCCCCTGTGGCCTCCCCCTAGCCCCCCCTCTCTCCCCCCTAGCCCCCTTCTCCCCCCACCTGGTGTGCGAACCGCGAGTTCTGGTGCCCCGTCTTCATGAGCTGCCCCCAGATGGGGTGGAACTGGCGGTGGTGGTGGCGCAGCAGCGCGCTGTGGCGGGCCTGGGGGGGGGGAGAGGGGGAGGAGCGGGGGTAAAGGGGGGGAAGATAATTGAGCAGTGCAGCAAGGAGTCCCAATCCCCAGCAGGGGGGTGCAGCAGCAGTGCGGGGTGGGTGCGATGACCCGCAGGAGGGGACACACACGGCCCCAGCGCGGTGGGTGAGTCCCCTCAGAAGAGGGCCCCGCAGCCCCCTCTCAATTCCTCTCAATGCCGCCCCCGTTCGACTGCTCAAAACGGAGTCCTGCCCCCTCCCCCGTAACGCCCTCATGCCGTGGCAAGCACAGGCACACACTTGCACTCCTCCCCCCCTCCCTCCCTCCCCCCCACCTTGAGCTGCGCCCGGTCCGCCTCCGCCGCCTCCAGCAGCTGCAGCGCGTCACGGTAGGCCTGAGGGGGGGAGGCGGTGAGGAGAGCATATCAAACCACTGGATTTAGGAAAACACAAGTTAGGGAGGGGCGGCGGGGAGGAGGGGGAACATAGAAGGGGTGAGGGTTGCGGGTCTCAAGCGTGTTGAAGGCGGTATGCACTTTGCAGCGGCCACCAGGTACCGCACCCACCGGGGCCTCTCCCCCCGCCGGCCTGTGCTACCCGCCTACCCTCGCTGCCTGCCCCCAGGCCCCCCAGCGCCCCCCCAGCCGCCCCCCCACCTCCTCATCCGCCGTCACCGTGCCCCCCCGCCCCTGAGTGCTCCACCGCAGCCGCTGAATGCGGTCGTCGTACTCGTCCCTCAGCTGCCGCAACTGCCGCAACTCCTCCTGCATCTTCTGCGCTCGCCAAGGGGGCGGGGGAGGGGGCGGGGGCGGAGAGGGGGGGACACATACACACCGCGACACCATAAAGAGTGACGGAGGGAAGGCACGCAGCAACAGCACAGGCAAATCATAGCAAAGGACGTAAGCTAAGAAGTTATCACGTGAACGCCTAACGTTGTTCACAGGAGAAGCATGCAGAAGTCCTCCGTCCTGCGGTGTTCTGTGTGTGGCTCGCAGGTCCACCCACCGACCCACGGGTCACCAACCCCCCTTCCCTCCCACCCCTCCTCACCGCGCTCCGCCCGCTCTTCTCCAGCTCCAGCTCCAGCTCGGGGACCACCAGCATGGTGCGCCAGCCGATGTCCTTCTTGGACTTGACGATGTCGCCGTAGATGTGATCGCCCACGTACAGCACCTGGCTGCCTGGGGGGGGGATGGGAGGCGGGAGGGCAGAGGGGGAGGAACAGCATGGGAGCAGGGGCGGGAGTGGGATAAGAGAGAGGGCAAGAGAGTGGCAAGAGAGTGACACGTTGGCAGCAGCAAGGGCCTTTCTCCTGCAGGGAGGGTTGAGCCCTGTCACCCTCCCTGCCCACCAACCAGCCCCCCTACCCCCCCTCTTTCTCACCCTCCGTCACCCCCAGCATCTGGTGCAGGTCCACGTAGCTGCCTCCCTGGAACACATTGCCACCCGGGGGCAGGCCGGGGGAGGGGGAGGAGGAGGAGGCGAGGGAGGAGGAGGAGGAGACAGAGGAGGAGCCGCGGCGAGGGGAGGAGGTGCTGGCGTTGCTGACATCCGACATGTCTTGTTCGTCGATGGGAATAATGGGCGCTCCGTTGTCCGTGTTCTTCAACATGCCTGCAACAGGGAGGGGGAGGAGGGAAGGAGGGGGTGAAGAGGAGGGAGGGAGGGGGTGGAGAGGAGGGGTGCAGGGGGGGGCTGCTGCGGTGTTTTTCCTCGCTCCCGCCCCCTCCCTAACCCTCCCTTTGTCTTGTGGCACCCTTCCTCCCCATTCCCCCACCATCGTTTTCCCCCAATCGTGGTTTCCTTTTCGTTTGGTCTTTTAACCCTTGGGATATGGGATTGGGACTCATTGTTTCACTTATTTAAGTCCCCCCCCTTTCCTACCCGCCCCCCCTCAACCCCCCCCTCCCCGCCCCCCCACCCGTCGTCACGTCCACATTGAACAGCGGCGCCCGGTGCTGGAAGAAGGAGGGCTTGGCGCACCCCACCATCACCACGTCGAAGTAGCGCAGCCACTCGGTGCTCTTCTGGGAGCCTGGGGGGGGAGGGGAGGGAGGGGAGGGGTGGGGAGGGAGGGAATTTATGAAAGTGAAGCAACATGACGCGACCCACGCACAATCACAGCATGCTCCGACTCGCGGCCAGTTCTCGTATCACGCACGCGCAGCCTCCTCAGCCTCCACAGCTACGGCCAGCACAGTTACGCGGATCAGATCCTGCTTTTGCTAAGGAACTGACATCCCCCTCCAGGCCCCTACATTTATCTATATTTCCCCTCCCCCTCCCCCTCCCCCCCTACCCGTCTTCCCCAGCAGCAGGTAGTTCATGACCACGTTGGTGAAGTCGAACAGCGAGTTGGTGGCCAGGAACACAGCCCGACCACTGGCGCGGTGGGTCTCAAGAACCTGGGGGGGGGAGGTGAGGTGAGGGGGGGAGAGGTAGGGAGAGGTAGGGAGGTGAGGAGGCGGGAAGCGGGCAACCAACCTCACCGCACGTGCACGCGGCACTCAATTTGCCAACGCATAAGCGGAATCCCTGTCCCTTCCTGCCATCAACCTCCCCCCCCACACACACCTCCCACCCATTACCCCCCCCCGGGGCTCCGTTCATGTAATGTCCCCCAGTCCCCAGTCCCTCCCCCCCTATCTCACATGCAGCAGCAGCTCGTCCCGGTGTATGAAGTGCTGCGGGTGTGCCGCCACCGCCCGCTTGAGGGAGCCGTCGCGGTGGCACATGTCCACTGCGGTGCGCAGGTCGCGGTAGAGGTCCTGGCAGGGGGGGGGCGGGGGGGGGGAATTAAACAAGTGAAACAACGGGGGGGCGGGGGGGATTAGATAAAACTGAGCCGCCAGGAGGGAAGGGAATACCAGCCCAAACCATCGGAAACCACAAGTTGGGGCACATCAATGTTACCCCGCCCTCTCCTCCGCCCCCCCCTCCTCCTCCTCCTCCTCCTCCCTCCCTCCTCCGCCCCCCACCCCACCTTGAAGCTCTTGCGGCTCATGCTCTCATGCCGGCCTTGCTCCTGCGGGGGGAAAGGACGGAAGGGGAGTGGGGGGAGTGCGAAGGAGAAGGGCGAGAAGAAGGGGCATGGATTGGAAGCAGGAGGCAAACATTCCTAAATAGGCAAGTCAAAAAGGAAATGGTACAGGGCGCGAAAAGGCATCAACTGCGCGAGCCTGGGGTGACGTCTAGAATGCTTAGGTAACCCCCGCCCCCTCCCGCCCCCCAAGCATCTACATTCCCCTTCCTGCCATTACTCTTTTTCCGCTCTTCTCCTTCTCCCCCCCCCTCCTGCCTTCATCTCCACCAGCTGCATGTACAGGTACGCCTCCGCCAGACTGAACAGCGTGTCCACCATGGCGTACCCGCTGGCGCCCTCATCGAACACACCCGCACCCGCGGAGCCGCAGGTGTGGTGCCCGTTGTACACGGACTGGGGGAGGGGGGGGAGAGGGGGGCGGAGGGGGGGGCGGAGCGAGGGGAGGGGGATTAATAGGGAGGCATACTCCGGATTAGGCCGTATTAGGGGGGAGGGGTAAGGGGGGGCATGAGGAAAACCGTCTCCTCCACCCCAGCCCCTCCGTGTGTGTGATCCCAGCGGCGCCCTGACCCGTGTGCGACCTCTCCCGCCTCCCGTCCCCTGCCCGCCACAACGAAGCTCCTCACCCCAGCCACCCCTACCCCTTCACCCCACCTTGCGCACATCCGCAGGCAGCTCCTGGAAGCCATGATAGGCCACCTGGGGGGGGGGGTTTGAGCGGGGGCATAGGGGGGGCAGGAGCAGGGGGGTAAGCAGAAGTACACACACCGGTAGTCACCATTAGGCTGGACCAGCCACCTGCCCTAGCGCTAGCTCGGTGCCAGCAGAGGCAGCAAACCCCCTCCCACCCGGCCGCTAACCCTCCCTTTGTGTTAGCCCCCCACCCCCCTAGCCCCCACCTACCTTGACGTAATTGTGGCGATCCACTTTGAGGATGTTACCCCGCTCCTGGGGTGGGGGGTGGGGTGGGGGGGAAGGAAAGATGGGCAGGCGAGGTGTGTGGGTTCTCCTAGTCAGAATAGCATGGAGGAGCAAGCAGGAAGCTGTTCAGTGGGAGTTAAAGGGGCGGTGACCGGGGGACCGAACTGCTGCCTATAATGGCTCCGCAACCTCCCCAGCCCCACACCCCTTCAGCAAGGGGGGTTCCAGGCTCCCTTCCTTACACCCCAACCCCACACTCCCTCCTCCTTATCCTCCACCTCAGTATAGTGTTGGAGCGCACATGAACCACACATGGTAATACACACGATCTCATTGCACAGCCTGGCTATCTGTGTCTCCAGGGCCTGGATCTGCCCCTCCCAGGTCTCGAGGTCGGAGCGGAGCTGGTCAGCAGCAACCTTGGAGGCCCTCTCCAAGGTTGCTGATGAACAGCTTCGCTCCGACCTCGAGACCAGGGATGGGCAGATCCAGGCCCTGGAGACACAGACGGCCAAGCTGCGTCTCCAGGGCCTGGATCTTGCGAGTGTTGTGAGATGTTGTAGAACGAGAGCGCAAAGACTTATGAGCACATCAAGATATGGACGTGACCCATAAAGTAAGACTTCGTTGTCGTCCTTACTCCCGTCTACTGGACGGTCTTAATGATATCAGCACCAGCGAAAATCTAGAAACGTTACATCCTACAGTCATATCAGGAAGCACCGGTAAAACTTCAGGAAAATGACGATTCCAGAACGTCAGTGAGGCTCCGTCCAGAAGCCTTCTAGAACATGACATTTGGAACGCTCGACATAGAATATCTGCGTGTGTATTACCATGTGTGGTTCATGTGCGCTACAACATATACCCAACACCCACCCTGCCCACCTTGTCGATGATGAGTCCCTTTGTCATGAAGTCCCACTGGAAGTCCAGCTGCCGCAGCTGCTCGGGGTAGCGGAACACCTCGATCAGCTTGTTCACCGTCTCCTGGGGGGATGGGGGGAGGTGGGGAGTGGGGAAAAATTAAATAAGTGAAACAGAACAGGGTTAATTTGGAAACAGATTCCGCATTACGCTGGATAGTTGGGATAGTAAATTATTGTAGTTGTTGTATAGTTAGTAGCATCGATCTATAACAAACCGTATTGTAAGCTCCATGGCGGCTGGGGTGATCTGAGATCACTCTGCATTGGCGAATAAAAGGCGGCTGCAACTGTGATAACTGGCTCCACGGCGCTAGACCTGATGTCTGTGCTGCAGTGCTGTCAGCAGCATAACGTATGTAAGCTCCGCTGCTTAGCTGGGGCTGTCATGCGGCTGTGTGCACCAAAGCATCCCACCCTGCCCGACCCTCGCAAATGACCCATGGGTCTAACAAAGCCCAGCCCACCCACTAATGCGAACCCCGACTAACCTGCGTAGCAAGGGAAAATTGTGCAACGAAGACGTACCAAATTTCGTTAATAATGAGCGAAAAGCGTCCAAAGACACAAGAAGGTGGCGCGACGAGCGAAGAGAAGGCATGCATGCGTCCCTGTGTTGTGCTGGTGCTGCAAGCTGCGCTGTATATCGACGCAGGCTGTATGACGATGAAGATGGCTGGCTTATCATGATGAAAGAGACGGGACTATGCCGAGAGTTAGTATTTATGCGAAAGGCGGCGATGCGAAGTACGGCATGGGACGAGCATGCTTCATTAAGCGCAAGCGCAGTATGGGTATTATGATGTAGATATGCAGGGGGTGCAAAACGTGCGGTGTCAGTGAAATGACAGCTAAACACAATGACAGGGCGGGGCCTCGCAAGGCTCCCCAAACAACCCTATCACCCAAGCGAGCCATTGCATGCAGGCTCACCGGGGCTGCAGGTGTGGGAGACCTAGGTGCATCTGAGGTGGAAGGTAAGCGCCGCATCCCCACAGCCCTCCCCACAGCACCCCCCACAGCACCCCCCACAGCACCCCCCACAGCACCCCCCACAGCATACCCATTCCCAAGGTGCGCCGCACCGCATCCCCCACCCCCCCTCCCCCACCTTGTGTGCCAGCCCCTCGAAGGTGTCGGGCCGGTACTGCGCCAGCGTGTAGTCCATGTCGTACCCGATTGCCTGCGTGAGTGTGCCGTACATGTCCGTTACACATCCGTACACACATAGCCGTACAACATCCGTACACAGTAGGGGCTAGGTGAGGCATGGGTGCATCCACGCGTTATGCGTGTGTGGCGCCAGGCAGCAGACCATAGGCGCTCCTAGACCCTCCACCCCAGTGGTACCATGTGAGGGCAGCAACATGTGGTGATGAATAGCTGGCTTGCTACAGGCCCACACAGACCATCCGGCCCCCATCTTACGTTGCCCCCCATCCCCTAGTTCTTATCCTTGTTATCCTTCATTCCTCTGTGCTCACCTACCCACCCCCCTAGTTGCTTCATTCCCATTCCCCCCCTCTCCCTCCCTCCTCCTTATTCCCCCGCAAAATTCTCAATGGCTTCCCTCTCCCCCTCCAACCGCACCTTGATTTGCTTCATGTTGAGTGCCCGGTTGCAGAAGATGCGCCTCTGCAGCGGCAGGCGGGGCTGCGGGGGCAGCGGCGCATCCGTCCACAGGGGCACACTGCCGCGGCGGGGGGGAGGGTGGCTGCCGTAGCCCTGGGGGGGGGAGGGGAAGGGGAAGGGGCGCGGGGGAGGTTGAAGAGAATGGGGCCCATCGACCCCGAGGAAGCACCCCAGCGCGGAGAGCGGGAGGTGGTGATCGTGGATGCGGAGTCACCGGGCTGGCTAAGGGGGGGGGCGGCTGGCTGTGCAGGGGGGCCACCGGGCTGGCTGGGAAAGGCGGAGGCAGCTGGAGGCAGGGAACAGCGGTTTGCTTTGTTCACCCCATCGATACCGCAGAGCCCTGCTTAGCGGGGGCGTTCGTCTCTCACGTGCGTGCGAGCAAAACAGCCGCTGCACTATCCTTACAGCCCCCGCAAGCCCCGATCCTCATCCTACCAGGTCTTTCCCTCCCAGGTCTTCTTTGACCCTCGCTGCAGCAGCGGCAGTACCCCCACTCGCGGCCGCTATGGTTCGACAGTAGTAGCAGCATCGGCAATAGTCCAGGCTAGAGGTCGGCAATTGGCTGGTAGTAGGCGTTGTTGCACCACTGGGTGTTGCACCACTCGACTGTGACCCAGGGGTTGCTGTACCGCTCGATCGTGACCCATGGGTCATTCCTAGCGACTGAGGAGCCTCGGAAGGCGGGGAGCTGCTGCTTTGCTGCCGCTGGTAAAGACGCAAAAAGAGGAAAGCTGCGGGTTCCTTCTCGTCCATCATCGTACTGTTGTGACTAGTGTTGCGACGCCTAAAGCAATAAGTGCGTCTGGAGAAACGCAAAGAGTCGGATTGGCTGTAGATGTTGCGGCCTTGCTCGTCCCGAACGTTATATCTCGTGTCGTCCTGGCTGTTTTTTGGGGAGTGTTGTGTTTAGGGTGTTGCGTATATTAAATTCACGTGCTAAACGCGTATGATTGACAATCGCTAAACTATGAAATGATACTGCTGTTTGAGCACTGATGATTAGTCAGCAGCACGGGTCGCCCCTAAATCCCGGGTTAACTTGGGACAACGGGCTAAGGTTTTATCAAGCTATACGGGCTTCCCGTCTTATTGTTTGTTAGTTGTGCTGCTCTTCTTCACGTTTCTTCACGTTGTCCTAGAAACCAGTAAGCTGCTAGGTAGACCCACGCCTCAGATGCTCAGGTGCTCAGGTCCATCTCACCATGAAGAAAGCCAACCAGCTGCCGCAGCCAAACAACCAACCAAGCCCGCCAACCAGTCAATTGGAAAGGGAGGGATGGCAACAAGCGCTACCGCCATACCTGGCAACGCGCCTACCAACACATGCCCCCTTGCCGCCCGTGACCGCCCGTGACGTGTTTGTAGCTGCGGCCCCCACACAGCGGGACTTCCTAATTCCAGGTTCCCAGGCCCCACTGCAGCAGCAGCTGCTGTTGCATACGTCAGCAGCCACCGTCGTCGACAGCACGCAGTGGGGCCTCAGCAGCAGTCCACCCTTACCCCAACCCCATCCTCAACCCCACCTCCCGTTACCCTTCCCGCCATCACCGCCCGCCGCCCCCACCTTGGTGGCTGAGGTGTGCCGCTGCGGCTCGCGATTCCCTGCAGCAGCAGCAGCTGAAGAGGAGGCTGTGGAGGAGGGGGAGGAGCTGCTTCCCTCCTGGCTGCTGGTGCTGGTGATAGTCTTTTGCGAGCCGCACTCCTCCCGCAACGCGGACACGGCGCTAGCGGCCGCTGCGCTGATGCTGGGCTGAGCGCAGCAGCTGCTGCTGCTGACTGAGGAGCTGTTGTTACCGTTGGCGGAGCTGCTGTAGCAGTGCAGGGAGGAGGTTGCCAAGCGGGACCTGCGCAGGTGGAGGCGCGGTGTGTGCGGAAGGAGGCATGAGCGATGGCTTCGGGAGGAATGGGCGGAGAAAGCTGGATCTGGAAGTTAGCATACGGGGTAAGCACATGCGTGCGGGATGTAATAGCGTTTGCTGGCTGTAATACACTTTGCGTGAGGATGCAGCTTGGATGCTCTACTGTTGCACCGCCACATGCGCGGGAGGAAACGTGGTCATGGTCGCTGGGGTCACGTCATGTGCGGGACAGGATTATGTTGCAATAACAATACCCTAAAATGCTATTCGTTGCATCTATGCATGGTTCCGATAGCGTTGAAAGACACGCCTGCTTGCAGATAAGCATGTACCTGTCCGCCGATGCGTTGAAGACCACTGCATGACCTGTCTGAAGCGCAGGCCCAAATACTAGCATCCGCTCGTGCGCTAAGCGCCGCGCCTGTCGCCATAGTCTACCACATGCTGCTGTACCCGACATGGTAATGTGCTTGTTAGTCACAGGTAAGTTCAAGGCTGCTAATCTGTTGACCATAACGTCGTTGGTCGGGTTGCTATCAAGGTAACTATGCTAACAAGCGTCGCTTCAAATACGATCAGCCCTAGAGTACCGAGGCTAGGGCTGCAATTGATAACAGCGATCGTCCATCTTTACGTTGATCGATATGTATTAGTATAGGATACAACGGAGCGCCTGTAACTTTGCACAGCCGTGATAGCCCAGCACAGTCAGCAATACGGGGTACAACCAAACGTTCAACGTTGAGCACAACCAGTCCAGCCTAACGTAAGTCCCACGCAAACAGAATCTGTATGAATATGTATCATATGCAGTTGCGGCGCAAGATCGCGGTATCTTTGTAATAAACGCTCGGAGCATCTTCGCACATGCATCGTGTCTGCTGCTGTACGGTACCAGAGTAAACGCTCATCCTTCTGCCCTCTCACCATCCGACCCTAACCCCTTCCCTTCCCACCCCAACCAAACTCCTAGTCCCACTCCCTCACTCCGTCATCTACCAGCCCTCAAAGTTCCCAAACCCTCCCGCCGCAGACACCTTCGCCTTCTTCCCAGGCGGCTGCTGCTCCCCCTCCCCTGCACCCCCCGCGGCACCACTCCCGCCTCTCCCCGCCCCCTGCTCCTGTGCTGGCGCTGCTGCTGCTGCTGGCGCTGCTGCCACCGGCTGTTGCGCGGGTCGAGAGGGCAGCAGCGCTGGACTAATGTATTTACCCACGCCGCTGCGCCCCGACTGCTGTGGAGGTAATGCCGCTGAGCCCCCTCCGCCCCCTCCTCCGTTCCTCGTGGTACCGTCTCCCGCCCCGGCGGATGGCTTGGTGTACCAGGTGCCGATCTGCGGGAGGGGACAGGGCAGAGGGGAGGACATGTGTAGAGAGGACAGGTGTTTGGGTTGCGACGGGGCTGTAAAGACAGGGAGAGGACAGGTGTTCAGAGGTAGACAGAGGTAGGCCGCACCTACCGGTAGGTCACATGTGTACCCAGTAAGGATGTGGCGGTGCCGCTGCGTGCACCCGGCATACAGCACCCTCCTCTCTCCCCGCGCTGCTGCTAGCTGGTCACCATCGCCTGTCCTCCCCCTCCCGCTGCTGCTTCTTCGCTAATCTAACCTGCGGTTTGGTAAACCTTTGACCCCGCCCACTCCACCCCACGACCCACCCACCCACCCAGCCCCCACCTTGTGTGTTAGCGGGTCCGATGCCGCCGCCGCCTCCTTCTCCGCCTGCCTCTTGGCGGCCGCCTCCGCCCGCGCCTCCTCCTCCTCCAGCTCGTAGAATGGGTTGGTGAAGACGGTGGCGCCTGTAGAGGCAGCGGCCCGTTTGAAGTAATCGGTAGCAGCTCACGGTTAGGGTAACTCAACTGGGGTTTCCCCCGCAAACACCCCTCCACCACCTGATACACCTTGCCCTAACCACCTTGCCCTTCTGAACACTGGGTTGCTTTGTCAGGATTTGAAGCGCGGTTTGGTACCCCTCTGAAACTCCCTCCCTTCAGGTGCCCCTCCCCCAGCCCCCCCCCCCCCCCACCTGTGATGCTGACTGGCTGCGTGGGTCTGTCCTCGTCATCCACCGGCAGCCGCTCCATGGCACTCAGCACCTCCTGTCCGCCCACCACCCGCCCGAACACACTGTGCTTGAAGTCCAGGTGGCGGCAGCTCTGAGGGGGGGGTCAAAGACCATACCAAACCAAAGGAGACCACAAGTTAGGGCAAAGCAATGGGGGTAGGAGGGAGAGGGGAGGGAGGGAGAGGGGGGCAGAAGGGGGATGGGAGGGGAGGAGAGGTGCTGGGGGGGTAAAGAACAGCGGGGAGCAAGGGCACACCGATAAGACAAAGGGGCAGGGAAGGAGTGCGGAAGGGGTGGGGGTTGCAGTATGTGGCAGTCGAACTAGCGCAGTCGAACTCATGCAGCTGCTGTCCCCTAAGAGCAGGGACGTACCCCAATCCGTACCCAACCCCACCCCTTACCACTTATCTTATTTCTTCCCCCCTTCCCACCCCCCTCATTCCGTACCTTGAAGGTTATGAAGAACTGGCTGCCGTTGGTGTTGGGCCCGCTGTTGGCCATGCTCAGCACCCCCCGCCCCGCGTGCACCAGCCGCGAGTCCAGCTCGTCGCGGAAGGTGGGGCCGTATATGGACTCGCCGCCAGTGCCGGTGCCGGTGGGGTCGCCGCCCTGAAGGGATACATATTCCGCATTTCAAGGGGGTCCGGGATATACCAAAAGCACAGGTTAGGGCAAAGCAATGGGGACCGAGGGAGGCAGTTTGTCACGAAACACATGGGGGTAGTGACCCCTACCGATACTGTGGTGGCAGACACGGGCGCATGCATATGCGCCTCAAGTGACCCATGGGTCGGGGTGGTGTGGCGAGTTAAACGGACAGTGGCAGCGGGTTACTACGAGCTAACCCCACCCACCCATCTGCAACATGCAATGTTACCCCCCCCCACCTGTATCATGAAGTTCTTGATGCAGCGGTGAAACACCGTGCCGTCATAGTACCCCATGTCGCACAGCGCCAGGAAGTTCTCGCAGGTGCGCGGCGCCAGGTCGGCATGCAGCTCCAGGTTCAGGTCGCCCAGGCTGGTGTGCAGCCGCACGTAGCCCTTCTTGGAGGGGGTGCGCAGCAGCCGGGTGCGGGACCGCTCGTTGCGGGTGGTGGGCTGCCAGGCGGTGGAGGTGAAGGAGCGCGAGGCGGCGCCGGTGGTGGAGGCGGACTCGATGTACTTCACGTGCCCGGCAGCTTCGTACCATTGGGAGGGACTGGGTTTGCCGCCGTTGGCGTCGGAGGAGGCGGGTGCGGCTGCGGGTTGTTGTTTGCCTGCTGCTCCTCCCTGCTGCTGTTGTTTACCCTTGTTGGTCTTATTGGGGTTGTTTGCTCCCCCAGCGGCGGTTGCGGCGGAGGGAGCAATGTGGTCGTCTGTGTCCCAGGTGACAGCACCCGGCTTGAAGGTGGGCAGCTCCTGGCTGCGATCCGGCGCACGCAGCCGCCAGTCCCCACCACCTCCTCCTCCTCCATCTGCGCCTGTCCCTGCTCCTGCCCCTGCCTGCCCTGAGGAGGAAGGCGCCGCTCCTTGCCTCTCCGCAGCAGCAGCACCCGCACCCGCACCCGCACCCCCAGCTTGACTCCCTGCACCGCCCCCAGCACCCCCAGCTGCTTTGAGTTTGGCTTCCGCTAGCAGCCTCGCCGCCTCCGCCCGCTTGCCGCCGCCCCCACTCGCAAAGGCGTGCTTGGCTTCCTGCGAGTTGAGGGCGGCGAGGGCGCGCTTCATGTCCTCGGTGGTATTGCGCAGGCTGCTGGCGCCGGCAGCCCCGCCCTCCTCGTCCTCCTCGTCCAGGGAGAGTTGGCGCTTGACTGCGGGGAGAGGGGGGGAAGGCGGGGGAGAGGGCAGGGGCTGGGCAAAAGAATAAGACACCCAATGTGTTAAAAGGTAATGGCAGAGGGAGGGCACGCGGAGGGAATGGAGGTGCTGATCATGCGCGGGCAGGGAGGCAGGGATGACGCCGCACGTCCCCCGCGCCACCAGTCTCGTCGCGGCTGGCGGCGACTACGATGCTGCGACCAATCGCGGCCTGTTGCTGCCTGTTGTTGCTTCTCTTTAGACCTCCCCTGCCCGCTGCTCCGTGTACCATGTGTTTTGTTATCCCCTGCCACCATGCAACCCCTGGCCCCGCCAGCAGCCCCACCTCCTCTCCACTCCCCTGCTCTTACCCCTCTCCTACCCCTCCCCCCCCCCCACCATGGTCGAACTGGTCAATGGTCCTGCCCGACAGGTTGAGCGGGTCCTGTATGTGTATGATGTCCCGCCGCGTGAAGGGCGCGTCCGTCAACAGGTCGCGCCAGTTGCGCGGCTTCACGCACAGCTCCTCCACCGCCTCCCAGCAGTACACGTTGCCACTGGGCTTGACGGCCACGATGTGGGTGTGCTCGGTGAACACCTGGGCGGGGACGGGGGAGGGGAATTAAATAAGTGAACCAACGAGTCCCAATCCCATATCCCGACTCATGCAGTGAGCGCAGTGAGGGGGGGTTGGATGGGGGAAAAGATGGATAACCGTGCGTCGAGGGTTTGGGGGAGAGGGGGCGGGAGGGGAGGTTGGCTGAGGCGTGAGGGGTGAGGGATAGGCAGCAGGGCGGAGCAGGAGCAGCCCCAGCAACACAGGCCTGTAAACACCCGGGCTGTAACACCCGAGAAGTCCTGGCTACCGTAGCTCTTACCTTTCCCATGACAGGGCATTGGAAACGTAATGAAACGGGCTGTCACACCCGAGAAACGGTGAAACCTGAGAGCTCTTACCTTTCCCATGACAGGGCATTGGAACTCTCCATCCGCGTTCTTAGCAAAGTTGAGTCGCGTGATGTCTTTGAGCTGCAGCGGCTCGCCGCTCACGGGGTGGCGCTTGTACTTCATGATGTACGGCACGATGGAGGTAATGTCGTACACCGTACCGTCGTCCGTACAGGCGGGATCCTCGAAGGGCGTGAAGGTGATGGCGCAGCAGTGGAAGGGCAGGCGTTTGAAGGGCGCCGCCGCCTTGCCGCCCTTGAAGCCGCCTGGGAGGGGCATCAGGGACATGGAGTCAGCAGGGGCAGGGCTTCGGATGGCGCGGAGGTATGTGTAAGGGAGCCATGGCGGCCGATTTGGACTTTGCATGTGTTGAGCGTGCTTAGGGAGCAGAGGGTTGGAGAGGGGATGGTGGGGATGGCGAGGGCCGCAATCTACCATGGGACGCACGTCGAATATGAGGTGCCAGGAAGCTGATACTATGCAATCCACTATTGCTAATATGGAGGATTAGCCTAGCCAGATGGCATACACCTTGCGGGCGTAACAAACTATGTCAAAGATGCTGGGGTGCCCTCGCCACTTACCCCACTCCTCTTTCCATTCCTTCGTCGTTAAGAAAAGACGATCTTTCTGGTGTTGCTTTTTGCCCATACTTGGTTAGATTTTATTGGCTTTTAAGTTCTATTACGTGGTTGCTATGTTGCTCCTGTAAAGCCGAACTGAGCACTTGTTGTACGTATGTGCTGCACGGAAGCATCAATTTAGGCACAATGCACTTTAGATAGGAAGCCGTGTCTTGAGACAGTTCTTTGTTGAAAAGATGAGTACGACATGGACCATGGGACATCTTCCATTCCTCCTTTACCATACAGCTTTGCCACAATCGTTATCTACACGTTTTGATAGCGAGCAATTGCAACGCCATTGTTCAGACTTCGACCTATATGATTAAGAGTGCCTAGTCAGCAGCCTGCGCAGTAATTGTTTTTACTATACCTTGTGGTTCAAAGGAAATTACAATCGCCTACTTTTAGCTGGTCGTGTTCATACTAGCATGGTCGACGTCGGGGTGGAACCTCCTATACCGTCTCGCCTTGCAAACGTCCGTTATGCGGACAAAGATTATTGGAATGCGCGTTATACGTCCCAGCCATGTGAATTCGACTGGTAAGGCTGTCATATCAGTGCTTGCCACAGCCATGTCGGGAGCGATTGTGCAACAGGCATCCAACTACCGGAAGTAGCTTTTGTTGCCCACGTCTACACGCGTGTAATTCTGAGTGCTATTTCTGCTGGGGCCAAACCTGTCGAGCGCATTCAATTGCGACCCGTTGAAGTGCCATCTTGACAAGACTAGCCCTTCGCACACTAAATGGGATGGCCTTATATGCAGTAGCATTTCCTTTTAACCATCCGACATCTCTCCCTCACAAGCTCACATCCTCGCCATCCACAGCTCACCAAGGCCCCTTCCAATCTCACCCTTTCCGACACCCTAACAAGTGGCCGTGTCAAACTGTGTGTAAAGTCATTTCTCCCCCCTCCTTCCTCCCCCCCTCCCCTCCAGGTTCTACGGCTACACCGCGCTTCGCAAGGTGGTCCGCACTTTCGTGAAGCGCCGCAAGCCGGTGCTGCACTTGGGCTGCGGCAACAGCAACTTCCAGGAGGGCATGGCGCGTGACGGGTACACGCAGGTGGTCAATGTGAGTGCGTGAGGAGGAGAAGGAGGAGAAGGAGGAGGGGGGGAGAAGGAGGAGGGAAGGAGAAGGAGGAGGGGAGGGAGGAGGGGAGGAGAAGGAGGAGGGGAGGAGAAGGAGGAGGGGGGGCGTGACATGCCAGTATTGCCAGAGCACTACCCACAAGCCACACCAGCCGGTAGGACCGCAGCAGGGGGCCCCAGGGTGCTTCCTGCAGGGCGCCTCCTGCCGCTGGGGCCCTAGCAGCTGCATCGGCAGCAGAAGCAGCGGCAGCAGGGGGGATGGGGGCGGGAGGGGGGGGCGGGGCGGGCAGCTGCCGCCTGCTGTGCAGCTGCCGCCCTGCAGGACACCACCGACAGGTGGCAGCATCCCTCGAATACCCCTCCCCCTTCCTTTGATCTCCTCCCCCCTTCCCCAGACGGACATCTCGGAGGTGGTGATCCAGCAGATGCGGTCCAAGCACGCACACCTGCCAGCGCTGTCGTACCGCGTGTCGGACTGCAGGAAGTGGGTGGGGTGGGGCGGGAGGGGGGCGGGAGGGGAGAGAGACGAGGGGTGGGAGTAGGGGAAGGAGGAAGGGGAGTGGAGGGGGCTGTCCTAGGAGGGTGGGCTGTTGGACGGAGGGGTTCGGTTGCTGCCCCTGCTGCCCCTGCTGCCCGTGCTGCCCCTGCTGCCCCTGCTGCTGCTGCGTGTCTGTGTCCTCCCTCCATGTGACTTGTTGGCGGCCTGCAGGCCCCCCATGTGGGGCCGCCATGTGGGGCCGCCATGCCGCGTGCATAACCCTCCCCCGCCCCCCGCCCCACCCCAACCCCCCACCCCCCAGGATGCCTGAGTTCCTAGATTGCCAGTTCGGCAGCGTCATTGACAAGGGTGGGGGGTGGTGGGGGAGGGTTATTTAACTAACTGTTATATAACTAGCTGGGCGGGGTTGCTAGGCCGGGTGGCTGCTGGGGTGGCACGGCAGGAGCGGCTACCACCCTCCCAAACCCCGCCCCGCCCCGCCGCATGTATCCCCACCTCCCCCTCCCCCTTCCCCCCCGCTGCCAGGCACGGTGGATGCGCTGCTGTGCAGTCGCGAGGCCGCCTCCGACCTGCGGGCCATGTTCGGGGAGGTGTCCAGGTGGGGGGGGGAGGGGCGGGGAGGGGCGGGTGGTAAGCAGTTGGAGGCAGCGCCGGAATCCCATTGGGCGGCATCGCCATTGCACTGATTCTCTCATTCTCTCCCCTCTCCCCTACCTCCCCTACCGGTACCCCCTCCCCCCCCTCAGGGTGTTGCTCCCCGGCGGCGTCTTCCTGCTGGTGACGCTGGGCGGGCCGGCGCAGCGGGCGGCGCTGCTGCAGCAGCCGGAGTTCGACTGGAGTGTGCAGGTGTGTGTGTTAAGAAAACTGGGGGGGGGGGAGAAAGAGGAGGTGGGGAGGGGAGGATTGATACCCTTCGCTTGGAAGGCTGGACGAGGCGAGGCGGGCGGGGTGCGAGGGCTCTCAGCATGGCACGGCGGCAGGGGGTACCGGTGGTGGCGGTGGGGGCGCTGGCCCCTCCGCTTGGGGAGTCCCCCCCTCTCCCCCCCATCACACCGGGTGCCACCCACTGCGGCCCACTGCCTACCCCCCCCCTCTCCGAATGCGCTCACTGCATGAGTCGGGATATGGGATTGGGACTCGTTGTTTCACTTATCTAATTTCCCCCCCACCACCACTCCGCCACCCCCATCACCTGCATGCACCCCCCACCCCAGGTGTGTCTCATCCGCCGGGTGCCCGAGGACCAGTTCGCGCCCTCCGGCCCCGACCGAGCCATCCCGCTCAACGACACGCCCCGACCGCTGCCCTTCCTGGGGCCGCTGCAGCTGCAGCCGGATGGGAGCGTGGGTGAGGAGGGGCGGTGTGTGTGTATGTGTTTTGTGTGTGTGGGGGGGGAGGGGGTTGACGGGAGGGAGGGGTCATAGACCACACCGAACCACAGGACACCACAGGCAGGGGCAGGGGTTGGGGTTGGGGCGGGTGAGGGGCTTCAGGGCGGGGTGCCGCTTGCTTGGCCTGGCAGCATCACGGCTGTTTGATCGCAGCAGCGGAAACCCCCTTGTCGGGGCATCTTTGGCTACCGTAACCAGGCCATGTGGGCTCACTCCTTGCTTCAGCCTCCTCCTCCTTTCTCCCCGCCCCCACCTTCTCTTCCCCGGCCCCAACCCCCATTCCAACCGCCTTCCTCTCTCCTTCTTTACCCCCCCCCCCGCAGCTGGTCTGCCCGAGCCTTTCTCCCCCTCCGACTTCTTCTACGCCTACGTGTGTCGCAAGGCGCCGCTGGTGCTGCCTGCAGACAGCAGCAGCGGGCGGGCGGGCGGGGGGCGGATGCTGGGGGAGGGGTGGCGGGCGGCGGTGAGGGCGGTGGCGGAGGCGGTGGGAGGAGAGAGGGGAGGGCTGCCACGGGTAAGGCGGGAGGGAGGGAGGGGAGGGTTTTAGGGTTTTAGGGAGGGAGGGGAGGGTGTCAGGGTATAGGAGGAAAGAAAGGGTTAGGGGAGTAAGAGGAGGAGGCAGGGGAGGGGGAGGTCGGGTGGTGGGAGAGAGGGCAAGGCGGTGGGATGGGGGAGGGATTGCCGACACACAGGAGGCGGGGAGGGGGTTTCGTCAGGAGGCCTCTCACTGTGAGGAATCGGTCGGTTGGAGCCGCGGGGGCTGTGATGGGCGGTGCGTTGTTCGGTAGTGGTGGGTACCCTCCCTGCACCTCCCTTCCCTCCCTCATGCCCCTCCCTCATGCCCCTCCCTCCCTCATGCTCCTTTCTCACCCTCTCGCCCCCTCCCCCCCCAACAGGGTATCCTGGGTCGGGGCCGGAGGGTCAACGTCACCACCAGGTGGGGGTGGGGGGCAGGGGGGTGGGGGTACTGCAGGGGGTGGGGGGCAAGGGGAGACGCGCTGACCGCTACCTGCCGAGAGCTCCACACCGGGGCCGCTGCCGGGGCCATGGGGGCAGCCGGGTCCGCTGATTGCCCTTGCTCTCGCCCCCAACCGCACCTCATCTCTCCTCTTCACCTCAAGCCTTCCCCTCCCACCCGCCCCCCTCAGGGCCTCCTTCGAGCGGCAGCAGCGGCAGCTAGCGGAGCAGGCGAGGGCGGCAGCGGCAGCGGGCAGCGGCGGTGGGTTGCACCCCCACCACTGCCCCCCACACCCCCACCACTGCCCCCCACACCCACACCCACACCCACACCCACACCCGCACCCACACCCACACCCGCACCCACACCCGCACCCACACCCGCACCCACACCCGCACCCGCACTCACACCCGCACCCACACCCGCACCCGCACCCGCACCCACACCCGCACCCGCACTCACACCCGCACCCACACCCGCACCCGCACCCGCACCCACACCCGCACCCGCACTCACACCCGCACCCGCACTCACACCCGCACCCGCACCCACACCCGCACCCGCACCCGCACTCACACCCGCACCCGCACTCACACCCGCACCCACACCCGCACCCGCACCCGCACCCGCACCCACACCCGCACCCGCACCCGCACCCACACCCGCACCCGCACCCACACCCGCACCCGCACTCACACCCGCACCCACACCCACACCCGCACCCGCACCCGCACCCGCACCCGCTATCGGGCGACCTGGGGTGTGGGGAGCCTCGACGGGGGGAAGGCGTGCGGGAGGGGCCGGGGCAGGAGGGGCCGGGGCAGGAGGGGCAGGAGGGGCAGGGGCAGGAGGGGTCGGGGGGCGGCGGTGCTGAGCTGGGGGGCACGGATGGCGGCAGCAGTGGCAGTGGCGGCAGCAGCAGTGGCGGAAGGGGTGAGGCCAGCCGGGATGGCTGCGGAGGTGGTGGTGGTGGTGGGGATGGCTGCGGGGGTGCTGGGGATGCAGGTCCGGTTGGGCAGGCGGAGGGCGGGCGGCGGGGCTGCTGCTGCTCTGGGTCTGGGGGGTTGGCGCAGCACCAGGACCAGCAACAACAGCAACAACAGCAACAACAGCAGCACCAGGACCAGCAACAACAGCAACAACCGCAGCAGCAGCACCAGCACCAGCAGCGGTGCGGGGAAGGTGGGGACCCTAGCAGCAGCGGCAGCAGCAGCGGTGGGACCAGCAGGGATGCTTGGGTGGCAGCGCACCAGCACCAGCAGCACCACCACCAGCAGCAACAAGAACAGTTGTTGTACGGCACCGCCCCCTCCTCTGCCTCCACCTCACCCGCCGCTGCCCCCGGCTCCTCTCGCGGGCCGCCCCCCCTCCTGCTCAGCTACCGGCGGCTGTCTAACTCGGTGCAGGACGCCTTTGCGGTGCTGGGTGCGGTGGATGGTGAGGCGGGGGGAGGTGGTGGAGGAGGCAGTGGGTGTGGAGGCAATGAGGAAGAAACAAAGTGTGTGACTGCGGCGGTCAGCGGCGAGGGTGGCAGCGGGGAGCAGGGGGCGGGGGAAGCAGGGTCGCCTTCGCTGGTGCTGCCGGCGCCGGAGGAGGAGGCGGTGGCGGCAGGGGCGGGTGGGGCGGGCGGCAGCAGCAGTAGCTGATGGTCCGGGGAGGAGGCGGAGGAGGAGGAAGGGGCCTCCTCTGGGCTGGGCGTGTCGGGGTGCGTGGCTGTGGGGGGGGGCACTAGATTAGCGGGGCCGCTGTGTATACTGACCGCAACGGTCTTGTAGCGGTTGAGGTGGTGGTGGTGGTTGCACCGCTGGCGGGCAAGACAGCTTTCCCGATGAGGAGCGAACTGGCTGCTGGGGGGGTGGGGGGCGGGTGGGTGGGGGGGGGGTCCGAGAGGTGCCCTGTGGCTCACGTACGGCATGTATGCAGGTGTGTCTGTATTGGTGAGGGGGGGTGGTTACTCATGCGCCATGCGTCGCTTATCTGCAACCGTGATAATGGGATATTCCAAAGGCAATACATGTTGGAGGGGGGTTCAAGATGTTAATGGGGGTTTTAACGAGGTGCTTGGGTGCACCGACTTGTATTTCACGTGATGATGATGCTGATGATGCTGATGATGATTGTTTTAAGCGGTGACTCTGGCGGCGCAGAAAGAGGCGCAATAGACACGAATAGGCCTTTTATTGTGAAAGTGCCGTGTTGGGGAATCCAGCGCTCGATTGGGTTTCCTGTCATGGCAAAAGTGTGTTAAAGTGTAAACTGGCTTCTGTGAGTCGTAACGTGGGCGTGTGTGTATACTGTGTATGCCTGCGGGATGGTGGGCCCACATCTTGGATGGCTGCACTGGAAACATGGAAAGGCGCGCTTGCCAGGGTAAAGTAATTAACACCATGCGGGGGCACACAGCCCGTGCGTGGTGGCGATTGGTACCTAGGAGCGGCTTTGTGGGCTGTGGGTGCAGTTTGCCGTCTAGTGTTGTTACTGTTGTTGTTACTTTTGTTTGCCACAACAGACCGCTCCTGATGCTGCTTTGAATGCATGGATGCAGCCGCATCTGCGGCGGCGTGATGTGGTATGCAAAGGCAAAGAGTTATACTTACTTTCCTTTTTCATGTCAATGAAGGAATGATCGTTATTGTGGTGGGGGTGGAAATGTGGAAATGCGGGTGTGCTGCTATATGTGATGAGCAAATAATAATGTCCGAACGGAGCTATATGCTATCCAGCACTCAGTAATTGATGTGCCTGACAGAATAAAAGGTGGTGGATTTGGAGGATTCACAGGATTGTGGTTTATGGTGGACGGTGGAGGCGGCAGGACAAATGGGGTGAGTGGTAGGGTAAACGGCGGAGGCAGCATCCTTGCATCCGTGGGTTTTGATGGCTCGGCAAAAGCCATATCCGCGATGTTCTCATTCCTCGAATTACCCCAGCAGCCTTCCTAAGTATCTGAGAAGCTTGTGTGTAAGCGGACCTTACATGAGGATGATGATTGAGAGGAGAAGGCGCCAAGTTGTGAACTAAGAAAATTACATACTAGGTACGGCACCTGGAGTACGGCAACTGCAGAAGTTGAGAAGGCAACCGGCATTTGCAACCGGCGCAACACACAAGTAAGAACAGTTTTAGATAGGGACTACGGAATGAACCTGAATTGGCGCTAGGAAAGGCATGCTATGTTAATGAAAGCCACTGCCACTGTGCAACAGAATATGATAGCTTTTTCAGCACGCACGCATTGAATCCAAAGCTAAAAACCTACACCCCTGCCGCAATCAACGCTTGGAAATACCTTGCTAGGGATTCAGGAATCGAGTGGATTGTTGAGAAAGCCTTCCTGTCCTCCGTAATCTCGATGCGAAGGAGAAACGTAACGCCCGCTGACCCATGGGTCGTTGCCAACATTACCATCCTGACCTACAATCCGTCTAACAATTACAACACATCTAACAATAGTAGAACTCCGGTGCCGACTGCTGTATCGCCTTTTGCGAAAAATGCCGTGGAAGAACGGCTGACGACCTACCGGCCCTGCAAGCATCCCTAACCCGACGCGTAGCTTACTAACTCCTTACTAAACCTTACTGCTAACTCCCTCCCGAACTCTCGCTCGACAACATTAATAATTAGTAGCCTACTTCCGAATTGACATCATCCCGCAAACACGAACCTGCGGCGGCACGAAGTAAGGCTACACACAATCGAACAACCTACGGTTGACACGAACACCGCACACCTTGCTTGAGGCAGGAAGGGATGCTGCCTATACGCTGCATGTTGTGCCGTTTATTTTCGTGAAGGCAGGGCTAACCACGGGAGCCGTGGGCGAGCCTGGCTGGGGTGCTCCCCTAATTTGGAAGCGTTGGTTGGGCCCGTAATGGCAAATATGTTGCGCAAATTCGCTTGTGCCTGCATCCAGGAGAAACGCAAAGCCGTCAAAGCCCATCCCTGCGCATATTAATCTGGCTGCTGGTTGTTGCTGCTGAGAGTTATACACCAGCAGCAGCAGCATGTATAGCTCTTGGATCTCTGCTCAGACAAGCTGATTGTGCAAGCGCGCAATCAATCAAATGGCCTTTAATAGACTAATGTTGACGAGCTCACCGATGTTTGTGTCCAGGCATTTATTGCTATGGTAAGCAATGATGTGCACCTCTCCGGGCACACATGACTGCACGATCTTGAACTTGCGATTGGGACCAATACTGACGCCGTCAGACTCCAAGCAGGAGTACAGGAGAACCTGCATGTAACGTAGCGCCACAGGTCGCTTGATGCCTCCCAGCGGCGCTGATAATGAGGTGTTTGTTGGCCAAGTCTAGCTAATAAACGGCCAAACAAGGGCCTGGGTATGGGGCATAAGCTGCTGCAGAAGGCTGCAGCAGGTTGGTTAATGCATTGTCGTACATATGGTTTATTTAACAATGCGTCGTCGTCGTACATGATTGCTGACAACAAGATTGCTCTTTGTAGAGTTCTTTTAGCAGGCAGGTCAGCAAGGCACGCGCACTTACCCGTGCCCCAGCGTCCTGAGAGCCACCTTCAACGTCCCAACAAAGCGAGGGGCTGGCAGCTGGGTGGAATACATGGAGTCCGTTAGCTTGGTCAATCAGTCTGACGTGCCAAATCTGAGTCCAATCCTCAGCATACGGAGCAATCGGGATCATGAGGTAGGTTTTCGAAGCTTGGGATGCCACTTGCAGTTGGCGTCCGGCGGTGCCGTTCTGTTGGTAGATCCATGTGGCCGGACCAACTGTCAGCGAGGGAACAATGGAAGGGTAGACATGTCGTACTTCAGTTGCGTAGTTAATTCTCACAAACAAACAGTGCGTGACAACTTGTACGTACACATACAGCAGTTCAGATCACGGTATGCATGTATGCACTCCCTATCGACCCATCGAAGGACTACCGGTATCAGCAGGAGGTGTTTGTATGTAGCGTAAAGTAAGACAAGGCGACGTACTGTCCGTACGACCAAAGCAACCTAATGAGCCCGGATCCTGCTGCTAGCTTACGGTCTGAGCCATACGCCGAGCATCCTAACTGGCCGTCATTGTTGGTAAACGCCCAGCCGGGGTTACAGTTCTGGAGGTTCAAGCTGGTTGCCACCGTGGTCCCGCTAGTCCGTGTACAGCTGGTGCAAGTCAACACACAGCTGCTGCTGAGGGTGCAGCCGCTGCAGGAGCTGTTGTATGCGCCGGCAGGGGTCGTGTTGAAGGGGCAGATGATGGGCGGCGGTGGGCTGGGCGGCTTCGGTGAAGGCGGCTTGGGGCTTGGTGGGGAGGGCGTAGGTGGTGGGGGGCTTGGAGGAGTGGGGCTGGGCGGTGGCGGGCTCGGAGGTGGGGGGCTTGGCGGCGGCGGCGATGGCGGCTTGGGGCTAGGTGGTGGTGGGGAGGGAGGTGTTGGAGGGGGGCTGGGAGGCGAGGGACTGGGCGAGGGGGGGCTTGGGGGTGGCGGGGTTGGCGGCGGGGGGCCAGGCGGCAGAGGGCTGCTGCAATTTTGGACTGCGGCTGCAGTCGCAAAAGTAGGGTTAACCACTCCCGGACCCGGCTGGGCTGATCCTTGGATTCTGAAGCGTTGGTTGGCTCCGTAATGACAGACATGCTGCGCAAAGTCGCTTGTAACTGCATTCGGCGGGAGAAACGCAAAGTCAAAGCCCTTGTTCGACTGCTATAGGGCTAGGCATCATCTGATTAGTATGCTGGATGGTGGCGAAGCAGCAGCAGCAGTGGAGTCCTTAACTGGAGCTCTCTTCAAGCAACGGTGCTGGCCATTCATTCCATTTGCTAAAGCTGATCATGCACGCAGGCCATTGGCTCTAGGATAGGTTTGATGGTTATAGATACACCACTAGCTAGACGGCTACTGGCTGGACAGCATGCATGCATGCAGGCTCACCAAGGTTTGCATCCAAGCATTTTCCACTATGGAGCGCTATGATGTGCACCTCTCCGGGCACACATGACTGCACAATCCTAAACTTGCGGTTGGCAGCAATACTGACGCCGTCAGGCTCCAAGCAGGGGAACAGAAGCACCTGCACGAAAGTAAGCCGCACCACAGCAGGTTGCTTGATACCTCGCCCCCAGCGGTGCTTATGAGGTAGTTACTGGCCATGACAAGTCTAGACAGCGCAAACAAGGGCTTGGATTTGGAGCCTCCTTGGATGTATTCAAACTAAAATGCATACGCTTCGCAGATATCAGCTATCCGTACAGGGAAGTTTAATCATCCTGAGTATAACGGCAAGTTATGCACGACCCTTCAAAGGCAAATGTTGACTACCGGTACCTACAATTCTTTCCTACCTTTTTCCCTTGCAGATTGCACACAAACGTACCGTGTTTATCGTAATATTTAAGTTCGTAGACATGGGCGTAAACGCGCAAATTTGATGGCGGTTGGAAAGGTGTTTTAGCAGGCAAAGGTCAGCAAGACACGCGCACACACACTTACCTTTGCCCCCGAGTCCTGAAGAGCATGATCGACGTCCCAACATAAAGTCGAGTTGGCAGCTGGGTGGAATACATGGAGTCCGTTAGCTTGGTCAATCAGTCTGACGTGCCAAATCTGAGTCCAATCCTCAGCATGCGGAGCAATCGGGATCATGAGTTGGGTTTTAGAAACCTGGAAGTCCACTTGCACTTGGCGTCCGGCGGTGCCGTCCTGTTGGTAAATCCACGTGGCTGGACCAACTGTCAAAGAGGGAATATTGAAAGGGTAAACAAGTTGCCATACTTAAGTTATGTAGTCAGTTCCCACAAACAAACAAACAGTGACAACTTGTACGTACACATACAGCAGTTCTGGTTAAGGTATGCATATATGCACTTGCTTCCTATCGACCCATCGACGGACTGTCAGGTGGTGTCGTATGTAGCGTGAAGCAAGGCAAGGCTACGTTTCGTCCGTACGACCAGCAGCAACGTTTTGTCCATACGATCAAAGCAACCGAGTGAACCCTGATCCTGCTGCTTACGGTCTGAACCATACGCCGAGCATCCTAACTGGCCGTCATTGTTGGTAAACGCCCAGCCGGGGTTACAGTTCTGGAGGTTCAAGCTGGTTGCCACCGTGGCCCCGCTAGTCCGTGTGCAGCTGGTGCAAGTCAGCACACAGCTGTTGCTCAGGGTGCAGCCGCTGCAGGAGCTGTTGTATGCGCCGGCAGGAGTCGTGTTGAAGGGGCAGACAGGTGGCGGCGGTGGGCTGGGCGGCTGGGGTGAAGGCGGCTTGGGGCTAGGTGGGGCTGCGGGTATCGATTGGGAGAACCAGCAGGCGAGGAGGGCAGGGTCGTGGGTAAACAAGCCAACAGCAGCGCGAGATGGCCAGGAACCCAACTCGAGGTTCAGCCGTACGAATCGTACACAGCACCATTGCAAAACAATCAGCATATGCACAGATGCAAAAGAGCCTCTTGCGTAGCCAGCTTGCGGTGGCAACCACGGAGCACACCCTGTAGCTAGCCAGGCAGGTTCCCAGCAGTCATGGTCCGTAATACACACCTGGCGGTGGTGGTGGTGGTGGGGAGGGGGGTGTTGGAGGGGGGCTGGGAGGCAACGGTGGGCTGGGCGGTGGTAGGCTGGGAGGTAGGGGGCTGCACTGCGGTTGGACCGCGGGCGCAATCGCAAACGTGGGGTTAAGCACGGGGGCCGTGGGCGAGCCTGGCTGGGCTGATCCCTGGATCCTGAAGCGTTGGCTGGGTCCGTAATGGCAGGTATACTGCGCAAAGTCGTCGTTAGCTGCATTCATCAGTGGGATGGACAGACACACGCACAGAGTCAGAGCCCGCCTATTGTTATGCAGTCCTGACGGTCCTTCCCTTTGCTTGCGGTGACAAGGTACAGCCCTATCCATGAACCTCTCGTCAATCAAGCCCCAACCATGCATCATGCATGCATGCAGGCAGGCAAGCTACCTCATGCATCACGTAGCGCCAATGCACCCTTGCCCGGCCACACTGCTTCACTATCTACTGGCTAGACAGCATGCATGCATGCAGACTTACCAAGGTTTGTACCCAAGCATTTCCCACTGTGCATGGCAATGATGTGCACCTCTCCGGGCACGCATGACTGCACGATCTTGAACTTGCGGTTGGCTTGGAGACCCGACTCATAGCAGGGGTATAGGACAACCTGCGGGTACCGGGCGCACGCAGCCCCACCACACCATCAAATGAAGGTTGGTACCTCCCAGTGCTGACATACTTACATGTTTATCTAGCTGGATAGCTCCAGATAGAGTGCAAACATACAAGGGCATTGGTTTTTGGCCTGCCCTTGTGGGGCATATGAAGGACCAGCAGAGCGGCTGATTGCTGCAACAGCGCCTTGGTTGGCGTACGGTTCAACGGGAAGCCTGCTGTCCTGATGACGTGCAACAGTACAGCCGTACAACGGTTCGTTTCCTTATTTTCAACAGGTCAGCAAGACGTGTGCATGCATGCATTCATGCCAGCAGGCACGCATGCACACTCACCTTGGCTCCATCGTCCTGGGAACTCCATGCAACGTCCCAGCAGAGCGACGCGTTGGCAGCTGGGTGGATTATGCTGATTGCATTGGCTTGGTCAATCGTCCTGATGTGCCAAATCTGTTGAGGGTTCTCCGCATGCACAGCCACTGGGGCCGTGAGAATGACTCGAGGCTCTCGAGATGGCCACATCACGTGGCGTCCAGTACCGCTCTGGTAGACCCACGTGATCGGACCAACTGGCAACGAAAGGAACAAAGGGTGGGTTATCCTTAGTAGCGCGTACCACCAGCGGACATCGTACCGTACCCCATGTATGGGTGGCGGCATCCTAAAACCCTAAAGGCAATAACACATTTGCATGTACTTATCAGACACGCTGGACCGTCAAAGGGCTATAAAAAGGATTTGGTATCTTGATAGCTGGCATGCAAGGTGGGGACGTCCGAACCGAATGTATGATGAATACCCTGAACCTGCTTACGGTCGTCAGCAAACGCGGAGCAATCCAGCTGACCGTCATCCCTGCTGTACAGCGACCAGCCCGGCCGGCACGTCACGAGGCTCAGGCTCGATGCTACCGCGGTTCCGTCAATCCGGGAACAAGCAGCGCATTCCAACACACAGCGGCTGTCGACAAAGGTGCAGCCGCTGCACGTTGTGATGTAGAGACCAACAGGAGTCGTGTTGAAGGGGCAGACAGGCGGCGGTGGTGGGCTGGGCGGCTGCGGTGAAGGCGGCGTGGGGCTGGGTGGGGCTGCGAGGATCGATTGGGAGAATGGGGAAGCAGGAGCTGGAAGTAAGCCAACCATGCAGTCTAATAAGGACAGGAGGATGGATAGCATGTCATCTTGCGTTGTTGTCCCGGGGCCTGCAGGTGATTGGTGCCGATAAGGTACGACAACGACTTCGCATGGGTGGGCCCAGCTGAGCACGCCTACCTTGTCTAGCTTACAGCACGTACGGAACAAGTACGATGCTTGGAAGGCCACGCATACCATGTCATGCTAAAACAAGCACATACATGCAGTTTTCCGGAACATGGAAAAACATGCAAACTCATTCTTTAGTTGCAGCCTGCTTCGCCGCGCTTGCATGCAACACATACCTGGCGGTTGTGGTGGTGGTGGGGAGGGGGGTGTTGGAGGGGGGCTGGGAGGCGGGGGACTGGGTGAGGGGGGGCTTGGGGGTGGTGGGCTAGGCGGTGGGGGTGGAGGTGGCGGGGGCGGTGGGGGCGGGCTAGGAGGGGGTGGTGGGGGCGGGCTAGGCGGGGGTGGTGGTGGCGGGCTAGGCGGGGGTGGTGGTGGCGGGCTAGGCGGGGGTGGTGGGGGCGGGCTAGGCGGGGGTGGTGGGGGCGGGCTAGGCGGGGGTGGTGGGGGCGGGCTAGGCGGGGGTGGTGGGGGCGGGCTAGGAGGGGGTGGTGGTGGCGGGCTAGGAGGGGGTGGTGGTGGTGGGCTAGGCGGGGGTGGTGGGGGCGGGCTAGGCGGGGGTGGTGGTGGTGGGCTAGGAGGGGGTGGTGGGGGCGGGCTAGGAGGGGGTGGTGGTGGCGGGCTAGGCGGCGGAGGGCTAGGCGGCGGAGGGCTGGGGGGTGGGGGGCTAGGAGGAGGAGGGCTGGGCGGTGGAGGAGGTGGAGGGCTGGGGGGTGGAGGGCTAGGCGGCGGAGGGCTGGGCGGTGGAGGGCTGGGCGGTGGAGGAGGTGGAGGGCTGGGGGGTGGAGGAGGTGGAGGGCTGGGGGGTGGAGGGCTGGGCGGTGGAGGAGGTGGAGGGCTAGGCGGTGGAGGAGGTGGAGGGCTGGGGGGTGGTGGGCTAGGAGGTGGAGGGCTGGGCGGTGGAGGAGGTGGAGGGCTGGGGGGTGGAGGGCTGGGCGGCGGAGGGCTAGGAGGTGGAGGGCTGGGCGGTGGAGGAGGTGGAGGGCTGGGGGGTGGAGGGCTGGGCGGCGGAGGGCTGGGCGGCGGAGGGCTGGGCGGTGGAGGGCTAGGCGGCGGAGGGCTGGGCGGTGGAGGGCTAGGCGGTGGAGGAGGTGGAGGGCTAGGGGGTGGAGGGCTGGGCGGCGGAGGGCTGGGCGGCGGAGGGCTGGGCGGTGGAGGGCTAGGCGGTGGAGGAGGTGGAGGGCTGGGGGGTGGAGGGCTGGGCGGCGGAGGGCTGGGCGGTGGAGGAGGTGGAGGGCTGGGGGGTGGAGGGCTAGGCGGTGGAGGGCTGGGCGGTGGAGGAGGTGGAGGGCTGGGGGGTGGAGGGCTAGGCGGCGGAGGGCTTGGCGGTGGCGGGGGTGGTGGAGGAGGGGGTGGCGGTGGCGGGCTAGGAGGTGGCGGGGGGCTTGGCGGCGGGGGGCTTGGCGGCGGGAGGCTGGGCGGCGGGGGGCTGGGCGGCGGGGGGCTTGGCGGCGGGGGGCTTGGCGGCGGAGGGTTTGGAGGTTGTGGGCTTGGCGGCTTAGGGCTAAGGGGTGGTCGGCTGGGAGGCGGAGGTCTAGGAGACGGAGGTCTGAGAGGCGGGGGGCTGGGCTTGCGGGGTGGAGGCGATTTGCTGGGTGGTTTGGGACTTGGCGGAGGAGGGCTGGGCGGAGGAGGGCTTGGAGGTGGCGGCTTGGAGCTTGGCGGGGGAGGGCTTGGGGGTGGAGGACTGAGTTGTGGAGGTGGAGGCGGAGGAGGCGACTTCTTGCCATTGGCATTGCCGTTATTGCCGTTGCCATTGCCATTATTGCCGTTATTGCCGTTGCCATTAGCACTGCTGCCAATAACAATGTCGGTCCCAGCTCCCGCGACAACTGGGAGCGTGAATGTGAAGGATGGAATTCGTTAAACAGTCGGTGCATATTTAATAAGTATCATCCATTGTAGCTAGCTATACATTTTATGGTTATGAAACGTCAAGGCAACTACTGGACTATTTGCATTTGCCAGTGCCGCGTATCTCTCCCCTCTTAACATTCCATGGCATTAGAGCTAGGATGGCTAACCGCAACCACGGTAACACGGAAAAGCTAACACAGGCAGCATAGATCCCACAGGAATACCATTCCACATAAAACTCAGAGTAAGCGGTACAGAGAGCGCCTCTTGTGGAAAAAAGCAACCCCAAGTCGAGCTCGTACGTTTCCCAAATGAAGTCGCAACCAGTGGCAGCTGCCTGTGGGCAAGGTGGGCGCTTTGCAGGCTTACCTGCCGGACAAATGACCAGTTCCGCTACCAAGCATAGCGCCAGCAGAATGCCGGCGGAGCGCGCGGCGGACATGATGCCTCTGGGCATCACTACTAAAGTGCCTGGGCATAGAAATATGCCAGGACGTTGACTTGGATACACACACATGCCCTTTAGTGATCCTTCTATAGGAATGTGGAATGTTGGTATCGTACGGATGGTGTGCCCGTTCCAAACGGGCACCAGATCAGCCGTACGGCTTCCAATACCGTACATAAAGATTTAAGGGTATTAAGAAGTGGTCTTTGAGACTGTATATTATATTTCTACGTATTAAATGATGCCATCGGTAGTGGCATAAGTAATGACCATAATATTGGCTACGTACCATCTACCTAGATCAGTGGCCCTTAATCGTAAGGCTGGATGGAAACAAAGGTGTTATAGCTCATAGTCTTACGAATGTTTGAATGCGGGGTAATGGTTGTTGGCCGAGCGAGCCCCTGGCCCGATCGAGCCGCACGGAAACTTCTAACGGACGACCACGCATCGTCCAACCCCTCATGCGCTCAACTAGGCAGCTTAAGGTCGGTGCCAGTAACGTTCTATATAAAACACTGTTTTCTTTTGCTTTGTGCAGTTAGTGTAGATTGTAAGGAAACATTGGAGCACAATGCCCTCGATTAACGGTCCTTTGATATTGAGGCATAAATCGGCGTTACTTGTTATATTGTAGTTTTCTTGCAAACAAACAAGGAAGCATAGCTGATGCTGTACTGCGATATGACGTAATGTTACCGGATTAGGATTTGAAGGGTTCACTTCAAGTTGACCGGATCGGATTCCCGCCTTCGGCATATATTCTTCGACTCGTCCGCTAACATTTAAAATTGAGTTCCATAAAAGGAAGTGATGGCCAGCGGGCCATTCTGTAGATGGTCGAGCGGCGGCGCTCTAGCTCCCAATAATGGGAACGAGAAACTAACCTGAATCAAGCCTGCCCATGCGCCACATACCAACACCTGCGCCGCCCTGCATGCATGCGCCCCTCACACACGCACCTTACCAGACACGATTTCCACTTACCTGCCGGACAAATGATTAGTTCCGCTACCAAGCATAGCGCCTGATTCCGACCTAGCACCCGCCGACCTAGCACCCGCCGACCTAGCACGCGCCGACCTGGCACCAACCGACCTAGTACCCACCGACCTAGCACCCGCCGACCCAGCACCCGCCGACCTAGCACCCACCGACCTAGCCCCCGCCGACCTAGCCCCCGCCGACCTAGCACCCACCGACCTAGCACCCGCCGACCTAGCACCCGCCGACCTAGCACGCGCCGACCTAGCACCCGCCGACCTAGCACCCGCCGACCTAGCCCCCGCCGACCTGGCACCTGCCGACCTAGCACCCGCCAACCTCGCACCCGCCGACCTAGCACGCGCCGACCTAGCACGCGCCGACCTAGCACCCGTCGACCTAGCACCCGCCGACCTAGCCCCCACTGACCTAGCACCCGCCGACCTAGCACCCTTCGACCTGGCACCCGCCGACCTAGCACCCGCCGACCTAGCACGCGCCGACCTAGCACCCGCCGACCTAGTACCCACCGACCTAGCACCCACCGACCTAGCACCCACCGACCTAGCACCACCGACCGA